GACATTACAAAGGCATTGGAGTACTGTTAGTGCACTCGCCTCGCAAACAAGACGATCTGGGTTCGATTCCCAGGTGGGGCAAAAGTTTCCTTATTCCACACGTCTTTATTTACCTAGCAGTAAGTGGGAACCCGGTTCTTTAGTCGATTGGCAGATTGCTTTCCGGGGGTAATAATCCCTCACTCAAACCACGACTATTTGTGGAACACTGCAGGAAGGCTTAAATTATTACTGCCAACTGCTTTCTGTCCATGCGGGGAGAAGTATATAATTATTCAGGATCATGCTGTGAGGAAAAAGATACACTGTCACTGTTAGTAGGTTGCTGGAATATAGTCTTATTTGAGCTGTGAGGAAGGATTACACTATTACTCTCTATAAGATGGTTAATGCTGGGGCTTGCTGTATATGTAATATATTATAATATATTACAGGGCAAAGGCAGGTATTTGGAATTGAGGTACAGATCAGCCATGATCTAATAGAATGGCCTACTCCTGTTCCTATGTATATGTGTATGTATGTATATATATATGACCCTGATAATGAGAGCATCATCTGCACTGATTGTGTCTTATTTCAACAGCTTGGCTGAGGTGAAAGAGGCTTAAAGGAGTCAGACCAGGACTTGGAGCAGATAATGCAAACAACTGGATCACGGTGCATTTCGAAGTACATATTCACTGTAACCTTTATGGTCACTGTATAAAATAGCTTTTGTTACTGACTATCTAAACCTGACAAATGTACTGATATTAATCTGGGATACTAGTAACTGTTGTGACGTTCTGTCCCTCTCCAGTCTGCTGCTCAGTAGAGGAGCATGATAATAATAATCCTTGCATTTGATATAGCGTCTTAACACATCGTTGAGACGACTCAAAGTGCTTCACAGAATATGTGTAAAATGGATTGACTGTGTTTTTTGTGGGTGAAATAATGATCAACTCCCTATTGTAAAAGTGAATCATGATCACTGGTTACTCAAATAGGCTGGACCCACAACTAGAGCGCTGTTTGTTAACAAAGCATTAGGTCTAATATAAAGCTTAAAAAATTGGCTTGTTATCATCACAGGAAAAGAATAGTTGGACAAGGTATTGTCCAACATTTTGAACTCCTCCCTCCATAGGCTGCAGGTCATCCAGAACTCTATAGCCAGTGTCTTCTCCCGCACCAGGCTCTGTGACCCTATCAACCCCATCCTCGCCTGACTCCACTGGCTTCCCATCACACAGAGTATACAGTTCAAGATCCAGGTCCTCACCTTCAAAGCCCTCCATGGCTTTGCTCCCTCCCACCTCTGCGATTTCCTAACCCCCTACCATCCTGCCTTTTCCCTCCACTTAGAGGGATTCAGCCTGCTTCACGTCCCCCACCTCGCCTGCCCCACCCTCGGTAGGAGGATCTTCTGCCACTCTGCTCCTACCCCTGGGACTCTATCCCACGCCTTGGGACGTCCTGCCGACATGAAGGGCGAATACAAATAATTTTGTTGTTGTTATTGTTGTAGATAGGTACTTTAAAAGGAAACATTTGCAGGGCTATGCAGTTAGAGCGGGCGAGTGGGACTAGTTGGTAGCTCTTTCAAAGAGCTCGCATAGGCAGGATGGGACGAATGGCCTCCTTCTGTGCTGTAAGATTCTATGATTCTAAGCAGGCTGCCAACACTGAGAGATGGAAAAGTGTCATTACTGCATGTCAGTGTTGGAAGCGAGGGGAGCATTTCTGAAAATGACATTGAATTTTTTTTCCCAGTCAGTACAATTGGCCCTCTGTGGGGAAATTAACTGTCCAAATCAACTGGAATCTGCCTGCTACAATTATTGGGTAGCAGGCACAGACACACAGACACTTAGATACGCACACAAACACCCTCACACACACACAAAAACACCCCTCCCACATACCAGTCACAAACACGCACATACACACACGCACGCACACCTTCACATACACACAAACTACTGGAGAAACTTCAAATATGTATTTCTGTGACAGTTTCCTTACTGATTTCTATTGACTGGACTCTGCATTAGGTAGCAGGGCAGTGGAAAGAGTAGGCGAGAAATTATTTGATAAGATACTCTGAATTCATTCCATAGGTGCTTTATATCCAGTGATTAGAGGAACCAGTCTCAAATGAATTGGATGTAACCAGGACTGTGGAATCCTGTAGCTCAGTGGTTGGAATACTAGCTTTGCAAGAGAGAGACCTGGGGTTGATTCCTGGCAGGTTGAAAACTTGGGCAAGTTTCCTTACTTCACACGCCTGATAATAATCCCTCAAGAAAAAAAACAATAACAATTTGGTCACTCAATCCACGACTGTTTGTGGGACACTGCTGTGTGCAATTGGCTGCCGTGTTTCGCCCACAAATATACAGTCAATTCACTTTACAGTATATTCTGTGAAGCGCCTTTGAGAGATCTAGAAGACGTGAAAAGCACCATATTAAATGCAAGGATTATTATTATTATTCTAAACACCCCCTCACACACACACATTCCCATGGTAAGGCAGTGTTAAGGAAGATTTCAGTAGTGGGAGTTCAGACTGAAATTTTTCTAATGTTGTTAAAACCCAGGAAAAGCTTCAAAGAATCATAGAATTATACAGCACAGAAAGAGGTCATTTGACCCATCGTGTCTGTGCCAGCTCTTTGAAAAGAACTATCCAAATCAATTCCATTCACCCGTTCTCTCCCCATAACCCTGCAAACTTGTGCTCCCCAAATATCTATCTAATTCTCTCTTGAAAAACGTGTTATCGAATTGCCTTCCACCACCCTTACAGGCAATGCATTCCAGCTTGCAGCATGTCAAATGTCAATGTCATGCCATTGATTAGAAACTGGGGATTGAGATAAACCTGGAGACTGCAGGCCGGTTAGTCTCAACTGGCCAAATTACAAAGATTTGCAAAGAATGTGCAGTACGGAAACAGACCACTCAGCCCACATGCCGGTGTTTATACTCACACCAGTTTTCACCCATTTCTTACTCCCTCCCACACCCTTCTGTTCCCTTCTCCTTCATGTGAAGGTCTAGCTTCCTCTGAACGTTTGGACACATCTGATTCAAAAATGTTGTTAGGAGTTGATTTTAAATAATATTTTTGACAAACATTTAGGGAAGAATAACGTTTATTAAGCATGGATTGCGTTTAACTAATCGAGCAGAATTTTCTGAGGAGGTAACAGCAAAGATGAAGGAAATGTGGTGAACGTTTGAGATTTAGAAAGCCTTTGATAAGGTACTGGATAAGGAAACAATATCAAGAGTCGTGGCATTAACGTAAAGTGGATAGAGCTGTGGAGTCGTGTAGGGTAGTGTTTTACGCGTTCATCGCGCAAGCAGAGGACTCGGGTTCGATTCTCGGGCAGGGTGAAACCCTGGCAAGTTTCCTTCCTCCACACTCTGTTAGACCTCAATCAAATCACCTCTACTTTCTAAACTCCAGGGAATACAAGCCAAGTTTATGCAACTTGTCCTCATAATTTAACCCTTTAAGCTCTTGTCACAATATCTTATCTCTGGGTGAGAATAAATAAATCCTTCGTACTTTGACAGTTCGAAAACAGAAAACTCATTAACTCAACCGTTAACCATTGTTCAGACTAAAAGGCTCCGAAAGGACCATAACTCAAAAAATCTAACAAAGAAGCCATAAACCAAAAACATTTAATCAGCATTTTTACATCTTAACAGAGATAAACAGATTGATATCTCAATCTAACAAATTCAACAGACTATCTGGCTCTGAACACCTGTGACCCCTCTCCATGAATCCAAATATTCACCCTATTTCGATTAACCCTTAAGTAGCTCACACCCTGGTATAATTCTGGTGAATCTGCGTCAAGGAGAGGCTGTCCATCACAGCTACAAGGGAAGAGCGCTGGAGGGCTGGTAGGGAAAGTGAGGGTCAGGGGGAAGATACACCCAAATGTGGGTGGGAGACGGCCAGGGGTGGGGATTGGGATTGGTAGAGGGCCGAGCGAGGGATAGAGGGGCAAGAGAGAGCGAGGATTGGGGGGGAGAGAGCGATGGTGGGTAGAAGAGTGAGGGGAAGAGTTGGGGATTGGGAGGGTGGGAAGAGTGAAGAGGGTGGGTGGGGAGGGCATGAGGGTGGTGGGGTAAGTGAGAGCGTGGATGGTGGGGAGAGAGCAAAGGGTGGGGGGGAGCTCTGTTACCAGCACTACCCAGAGGCCACCGCTATTAGCCGGGGGGTGAGGGGAACATACTGGGATGGTCGGACAAACCTGACATCCCAAAGCTTCAGTCCTGCCTGTGGCGTGGTCGGGGCGGGAGCTAAACTGAGCCGCACTGGGTACAGTTGCCTCTGATGTTGGTTCTTGTTGGAAATTGTTGTAAAATGGGCAAAAGTGGAATTAATAAAAATCTGACAAAGTCCAAGGCTTTGTGTGTTTGGGTTGAAATTGCTGCAGTTTCCCTCAGGGAAGCCAGAGACGGGTAGAGATATCACCTGTGCCTCACAGTTTATTCTCACCTCTTCTCTCCCCCATAATTTACAATAATCCTTACATTTGATAGAGAGCATTATATCGTCAAGAAGTCTCAAAGCGCTTCACAAGATATACTGTGAAGTGCAATAACTGTGTGTTTGTGAACAAATGCAGCAGCCAATTTGCACATAGCAATGTCCACAAATATCCGTGAGATGAGTGACCAATTATAGCGTCTTATCATTCGGAATGTGGTCTCAAAGCGCTTAACAAGATATACTGTAAAGTGGAGTCACTGTGTATTTTGTCGGTGAAACGTGACAGCCATATTTACACATAGCAGCGTCCCACAAACAGCCGTAAAGTGAGTGATCAATTGTATCTGGGGGATTGTCAGCCAAGCCCCGGGGAGAGAGAAATTCCCTTCTCTTTTCCAATAGCACTGTTTAAAAATGAAGATGTCAGACTCCACTGTGACCCCCCCCCCAACCCTGACCGAGCCTCAAACATGAATGAACAGCAGCCACTGCCGACGATTGAAAGTTTTTTTATTTTATTTTCTCAACGCGACCGGGTGTTTACAGAGAGGGAAAGGCATACAATGAGCAACTGAGAGTCTGAGCCGAGCTGCCTGCGAGAGAGGCCTGAAGCCAGCACAGGGGGAGTGTGAGCGGGGCAGCAGTAGGGCGGATGTGCTCGCTCTGGGCTTCAGTTACTCAACAATAACAACTTGCATTTACATAGCGCCCTCATGCAGGGTAGCATCTAAGAGCGCTTACAGACTATATGTGTGTGGGTGCGTGGGGGGGGGGGGGATTTGAACACGTCAGAGAGACGGGGATGACTGTAGCCACCCCCGCCTCATTCTCCCTGTATCTTCCGGCTGGTGTCTGTGACATTGACAGTCACTACACGCACTCGGTTGCCCTGATGGTCTGTGTGAGGGGGCCCGTGAGGCTTTCGTGTGTGACGACACAGGAGAAGCGGGCGTCCGAGGCCCAGACCTGTGCGGGCAGGGTTAAGGTGCTGCTCACACTGTAACTGTGGTCCGAGCCCGTCACTGAGCCGCTGGTCTTGACTCCGTCGGTCACCGTCACCATGTCCTTCTGCCAAACCAACTGCAGAGTGTCGGGGAAGAAGTGGTTGGCCAGGCAGAGCAGCGTGGCCGTGCCCTTAGATATCTCCTCAGTCGAGGGCGGCAGTAAAGTCAACACCGGCTTAGCCACGTCTCTGTCTGTGGGACACAGCAACACGTTCGATTCACATCAGACACCGACAGGTCAATAGTCACACACACACACAGCAGTGACACTAACACACTGACGAACACAGCCATGTGCGCTCACACAATTACTCAAACATACATGTTCCCACAGATCTTGACGGACACACACACAGCAGTGACGCACAGCACAGTGACACACACACAGCAGTGACTGACACACACACACAGCAGTGACACACACACACAGCAGTGACTGACAGATTAGTATCCGCTTAAACACAGAAACAACCAATCACAACACAGGAAGTCAATTGCCGTCACATTCTGAATAGTCAGAGAGTGACTGTGTGTGTGAGTGACAGCCACAGCCACTCACTGACTGACATCTTCACCTGTTGGGCAGCTGCTGCACCGAGTCTGTGTCCACGTGTGGTTGTGCATGATTGTGTGCGTGTGTTTGTGCTGTGACTGTGTGTGTGTGACTGTGTCAGTGTGAGTTGGAGTGTATCAGTGAGATGATGGTGTGTGACTCTCCGTGTGACGGGAGGTTGAGAAATTGCCACGAACTCTACACGTATGTGAGGGCAGCCCAGGCTGGGACCAGCTCGTGATCGCAGTCAGTACTCGTTCCTGAGGGATTTGGGCCATTTAAAGGTGAGCGCCTCTACCGTATAATGTGTCTTTCCCCCCCTCTGTAAATAACTTTCCCCCCGGGCTCTCGGGATAGTGACTGACGCTATTGCTTAACGTTTAAAAACCTTGTCGACGCTCCGCAGAAAGTCTCCATTTAGTTTGTGTCACAGACTGTTAAACCATTGGGGCAGAGGCGACCCTTTAACACTGTGAGGCTGGAGTGACTGTGAAGACTGGGAGCCCAGGCGAGGTTTAACCACTCAAATGCCCCCACAGACAGACCCCCACGGCAGGTATTCTGCTCAACATTTAAATATAAATTATTCTTAAATATAAATAAATTATTATATAATCTACGAATTAAATATAAAATATTATTCCCTTGGTTATAAATTAAACCTTAAATCCATGGACCGCAAACACCTGATTAACAAACAGCCGGAGACATGGTAACAACGAGCCTTACAATTGATTCATGTCGGGACATCGTCTCAACGCGCTTCATGGATTGACGCTAAAGTGCTGTCATTGTGCGTGAACACCGCAACCAATTTGCGCACAGCGGTGTCCCACCAAACAGCCATGATTTCATGTGGGGGATTGTTGGCCAGGACACCTGGAGAGAAAAACTCCCTTCTCTCTTCAAATAGAGCTTGTTAATTTCCACCTGAACAGTCGCTCTGTTTAATGTCTAATTTGAAGGACAACAACTCTGACAACGCAGCTGATACCCAGATGTATCGTGGAGTCCTGTAGCTCAGTGGTTAGAGCACTCGCTTTGCAAGCAAGAGACCTGAGTTCATTTCCAGGCAGAGGGCGAAACCTTGGGCAAGTTTCCTTACTCCACACAGAGCCTAATAATAATCCCTCCAAAACCAAAAACAATAAAAAAAATTGGTCATTTTCAATCTACGACTGTTTGTGGGACATTGCTGTGCACAATTGGCTGCCGCGTTCTCCCACAAATATACAGTCAATTCACTTTACAGTGTGTTCTCTGAAGCGCTTTGGGACATCCTCCCGACGTGAAAAGTGCTATATTAAATGCAAGGATTATTATTATTATGTACTCTCTGCCCTCTGGAGCTCTCTACCCCATCCCCTGCTCTCTCCCCATTGTGTCTGTGCTGGTACTCACTCCCCACTGGAGCTCTCTTCTCTAATCCCATTCTGTTTTTCCCTATAAACCTTAAAATAATGTTTCCTTAAACCATTACGACCATTTGTTCCACAATCTAAATTCATTCGTGTAAAACCTCTGGTGATAATCCTTAACTACTCGACTTGATCGTGACTAGCCGATTGGCAGAAATACCCTCCATTTACTCTGTGAAACCACACAGCAGTTTGAAAACGTCCGTCTGATTTCTGCCCTCACCCTAACTTAGTGGTTAGAGCACTCGCTTCTCAAAAGGATCTGGGTTTGATTCCCGAGCAGGGTGAAATGTTGGGCAAGTTTCCTTGCTCCATACGCCTGTTTACCTAGCATTAATAGGAACTGGTTGTTACTCAATCACTTTTCCGGGGGTAATAATCCCACCAAAAATATATGAATAAACAAGTTATCCAGTGATTAGAGGAACCAGTCTCAAAATGAGTTGCATGTAACCAGGACCGTGGAGTCCTGTAGCTCAGTGGTTAGAGCACCAGCTTTGGAAGTGAGAGACCTGGGTTCGATTCCTTGCAGGGTGAATCCTTGGGAAAGTTTGCTTACTCTACATACCTGATAATAATCCCTCAAGGAAAAAAAAGCTATAACAATTTGGTCATTCAATCCACAAGTGTTTGTGAGACACGCCAGCATGCAGTTGGCTGCTACGCTTGGCGCATAAAACATAAATCAATTAATTTTCCAATACATTTTGTGAAACAATTTGAAACATCTCAAAAAGACGATATATGGCGCTATATCAAATGCCAGTATTATTATTTTATTCTGTCCCACTTTAAAAGCTGCTCTCTCATTTCTGGTTTTACTGAGCTAGTTCCGTCATCCCTGTGAAGGTTACAGCCCAGTGCTGGAGGAGCACTACATTGGCAGACCTGCCTTCCTTCATGTCATATCAAATAGCCCTCGGCGCAATTGAAAAAGAGGAGTTTCTCGTGTCCTGGCTAACAATACTCTGAATAAAATTGGTCACTCACTTCACGGCTGTTTGTGGGATGTTGCTGATGTGCAAATTGTCTGCCGCGTTTGCCTACAAAATATTCAGTCACTACATTTCACAGTAAATCTTGTGAACTGGTATGAGATGCTACAATGATGTGATAAACACAATATGAAATGGATTATTGTTGTTAGAATAAGTAAAATCCTTGATGTAAACATTCTGCTGGGTTAGGGAGTTTTGCTTTGCTTCGGGGTTTAAAGAGTTAAAGAAAGGGTGTCTGCCATATACTCACTCAGAACCAATTTTGTTCCTTTGCCGAACGACCACCACAGTATTACATTACAATGTGCCGTCTGTGCAATATCTCAGCCTCATCCTCCCCCATTGACTGCCCCCTTCCCCACACACACATACTGTACTGGGGAAATGTACAGCCTGCTTACCAAGGTTTAATAAAATAATCCTCGCCTTTCACACGGGGAGGACATCTCACAGGATATATTGTAAAGTGTAGTGACTGTGTATTTGTAGGTGAAATACGCTAACCTATATGAAGGGCACTGGAAAAATACAAGTTGTTGTATTAAGGTGGAGCAGTGATGGAAAATCCATTCTGAATTTTTTTTTCCCCGTTTCTTCAAACGAAACCAACTTCAAAACTTAGATTGGGTTAAAGGGCTTCCACAATTATCCCCCTTCGTAAGTTGATGATTTGAAGAGCAACAATATGAAACCTTGTAGGCAGTGAGGGGGGGGGGAGGTGGAATTACATAAAGCACTTGGTGAAGTGTGTAGGATGTAACTGTGTAACGTTCTATGTTAAATAACTGTTTTACTAGGAAATTCGAAACTGGTGAAACATGTCGTGACAACATTATAGCAACCAGCAGCTTGGGCTGTTTCTGCCTGTACCTGTATCGGGACTGTGTGATGGCTGTCTGTGTGTTTGTCAGAGCAAGTGTGCATTTGTGTGTTGTGTGAGTGTGTGTGAATATGTTTTGAGTGTGTGTGTATATCTATAAATGTTGAGTTTGAGTGAGCTATAATTGTTAAGTGTGAATAAATACGAGTGAGTCTGTGTGAGAGTTTGTGAGCCTATGAGTGAGTGTGTGTGAAGGCAGGAAGCAGTGTGTGTGAGGTTTTTGTAGGGCTGTGTATCACTGTGGGGTTGCTATAGCTCTGCATACAGTAGTAGTCAGCAAAATCCTCAGGTTGCACGCCAGTGATGGTCATTGTAAAAGTAGTGGAGGATTGGTGACCACTGAACCGGGCGGGGGTGCCCGTATAGAGAGTTGTTCCATAGTAAATGAGAAGTTTGGGACGATCCCCGGCTTTCTGTTGATACCAGGAAAGGTACTTGCTGATGCTGCTACTCGCTTTACAGGTGATGGTGGCTGTTTGACCGACAGTCACTGGCAGCATTGAGGGCGTCTGTGTCATTATAATCTCACCGCTGACACCTGTGGGGAAGAAAGACAAACAGATGATAAACTAACAGCAAAATCTTCCTGTGCAATCACAAGCCCTGATCCTTACACACTTCATTCCCACCAGCAAAGACACACAGTCTCTAGAGGTTGTGGTTACTCAGCTAATTCTGCAGCGAGAGCGCATGTGGAGCGGGGGAGAGAGAGCGGTTACCAGCGAGCCAGAACACTACAGGCAGGAGCAGGTGGGTAGAGGACAGCATGGTGACCACGTCAGCTCTCACTGTTAATCTGCCGTTCCCTCAGCCACTGCTTTATACTTGCAGCCAGGCTCAGGGCTGTATGCAAATGGCAGCGTATCCCCAGACACAGGGACTGGGCTCCACCCATCCCCACCCCTTTTATTTAGTGAATATTTTTCATGTTCAAGATGAGGGATATCATTAATATATCAGGGGATAGAACAGGCATAATCCCAGGTCACGGGTTAAAGACACAGTAAAGCTCCCTCTTTATTGTCCGTCCACGTTCCCAAGTCAGCCACAGCATGGGTTTGAGACAGAGTAAAACTCTGTCTACACTGTCCATTTAGTACAAATACTTGTCAATGTAACCATAATGTGCGACGGTGAGTGTTCTGGAGGGATGTCCTTCATCTAAACCAATTGCGTGGTTGTGTATTATCACTGGCTTTTCTCCTATTCCCAGTCACTGGAGCCCCGATGTTCCGTAAGTAGGGAGAGGATTGGAGATGATAAAGAGCTTTATGTAATCAGCGACTTGATGTACTAAACGTGGGGCCCGGCTGAGAATCATTGTATAGCGGTGATAATCACATATATGGTCCTTATTATAATTAATAATAATCCTTGCATTTGATATCAGATTCACATCAGGAGGACGTCTCAAAGCACTTTACCGGATAAAGCTTATCTTCACAAGATAAAGTGCAGTGACTGTTTTTGTGGGTAATGGGTTTTTGCATACAGCAACATCCCACAAACTGGCATGAAGTGATGATGTATTTTATTTGGGGGATTGTCGGCCAAGATACAGGGAGACTCTACATGACAGAATAACGACTATTATTATTCCAGAATTCCCCCACCGTGCCCGATCACAGCATCAGGCAGATTCTTAAACGATTCCCAGTATCCCAGCCTTGACTCTCCCTGATAACCCTGTCCCTGATGTTAATTCCCCTCTAGATAATCAAACATGTCCTGAAATTCGCCCAGTCTTAGGAAAATCCTGAAATCCAGTCTTGATCTCGAAGGAGGTTTTGTTTTAAGAACCCAGCTCTCAATTCAGACAATGTGACAATTCTCCACAATCGTATACCTTGTAAAGGCAAATGGTCTCCCAGGCTAAGATTGGGGGGAATTTCAGGACTCTGCTGTTGGTGCTAAACTTGTTCCTCATGTCTCTGAGCTGTGACCCCGACTGTACCAGACAGTGGCTACTGTGGACAATGGAGTTTCAGTCTATCCCCCTCAATCTCTTGCACTAAACCCTTATCATTCAGCCTCTACCTCACCCTTGGTCTCTCACTCTCCCCCACTGACTCTCGCCCTCCACGCTCAGTCTCAGTCTGTCTCACCCCATTTCTCCCCCTCGGCCTCTTGCCTCCGGCCAGCTGGCTGTGTGGTTATTTTCAGATGTACATCTGCTGTGCTAGCTTCCTGTCTTGCTGTCTGTCTTTCCGCTCTCGAGTTTCTGGGTTATTTTCTGTGGGGTATTTCAGTCTCACTGCTGGAACCTTTTAATAACGGTCCCAAGTGTTGCAATAACAGCAGGTGAGAACTGTCAGGGCTGAACGCTACCCTCAGTGCTGTGACTACAAGTATGATGTGGAAAACAACTGATGTAAACCTATTTAGAGTTACAGTTAATGTTAATAATTATTTATGCCATCTAATGGTGGAAGGTTATTTATTTAATTATAGGGTTTTCCTATTTAATAAATGTATATTACATTTATATTTCCTACATATAGTGTGTTGCGTGTCAGCTTGGTTTAGTGGTAATATTCTCATCCCTGAATCAGAAGGTTTTGTGTTCAAATCCCATGTCAGGACTTGAGTTCGCATCATCTAAGGCAGCGTGGACCAACTGTCGGCCCACGGGCCACATTCAGCTTGAGGGATGAGTTCATCCAGCCCAAGAAGTATTTCCAACTTCAGAGCGCCTGTTCCCTCTCTCCCCGGCGAATCGTTCTCTCATTACAGCAGCTTAATGTGCGGGGAGTGGAAGTAATGCTGCCAGTTGCTGCAGTCTGTCAAGAATTCCCTCCCGAGCTGAGGGGAAGGCAAGCAGGACCCCGTACAAACAACGTCTTCCCACCCGCCGAATCTTTCATCATTTGTATCCTCCAGTGCACGGCTTCCACCTGCAACTTAGCACCTGGTGTATGGCAATACTGTACATAAACTGCCCCTCCAGTTGAAATGGTGTGATGAGCCCCCAGCATGCTGTTCCCCTGTACTTTCTGGTCTAAGGTGAGTCGAGCACTTCCTCAGAGACAGAAGGATTTTCGATGGCTCTGGCTACAATTTGGGAGTCAGTCACCCAAGCATTTGATTCAGGACAGTGAATGACAGGAGAAGAGTGTATTTCAATAACCATGCACATAATCCCCTCCTCTCCACAAATAAAAAATATATATTTTTACACAGTTCAACAACAGCAGTCTATTTGGGGATCTCAGTGGAAACATCTCAGTTCAAATCGTTGTTCAATCATTCTGCTGAATTTCTTCTAGAACAAGAACTTGCTTATCTACTCCCCATCCGGTGCTCTACATCCTTCATCTTCTCCTGCAGTAGGCTCCACAAACCCATAGCCCCCACCCTCGCCTTGCTCCACCGGCTCCCTACGCCCCAGCAGATCAACTTGTAAGTTCCTTGTCCCAGTGTCCACATAACATACCTTACTGTTACCTGGCTCTTCTGATCGCTTGCTTCTGCTCACATCACATTAGGTGGTGCACCTCATGTCAGTGACCCACGTGTTTGTGGCCTCTTTGCCCAACAGGCTAAAGAGCCCTTCCTAACCTAAAATGATGAAAGTACTATTACTATATCTCATATATTCTATAAACACACATGTGAACAGTGAAATTACACATCAACATTTACAACACAGACAACCTGTAGCTGGTCATTGGCTGCTAATATTACCAGTGAGCTGCAGGTCACATCAGAGCGTTTACTGTGAAGATCATGGTGAAATCCAGATTTTGTTTAAACATCATCATTTGTAACCTGCTGCTCAAACAGTTAGACCAGAAAGGTTCTTCCTGTTTCTCTTTCTAGATAGATATATATACATATATCTATAAATACTCTATATTTATACAATTTTTTGTGGGACACTGCTGTGCATAATTGGATGCTGAGTTTTATCCATAAAATATAGTCACTCCACTTTACAATATATTCTGTGAAGTGCTTTAAGACATCTCAACAATGCGGTAAGGTGCTGTATTCAATGCAAGGATTATTATACATTATTATTTAAAAAGTATATTTTAAAGTTAGTTGTTCAGTAATATTCCACTCATTTTACAACTACTGTATATGATTCTCTCCTTTTGGATATGAATTCAATTGTGGAATGCAAGTTTGTGTGTAATTTAGGGCCTGATATAAAACTTCTACAGTATTTTCTGCAGTAGACTTATTGTTAAGTTGTATATTTTAACTATGAATAAAAATATATTGATCACTGTTCCCTAGTAGCAGAGACTCTTTGCTGGTGTTTGTGCTGTGATTATCTGCACACTTTCACACACGTGAAAGGAACTTCCAATCGGTTTAGCAGCAGCATGTTGGAAGCTGCTTCTAAACAAGGCAAAAATGATACCTCTGAAGGGAAATTAGCAACAAATTACATACAAATTTACAGTGCCTTTCATGTGGAGGATATCCCATGGTGCTGGACAGTCCAGGGTTTGCACCCAGGCTGGAGGTGGGAGGGATGAGGAGCAAAGGAAAGTGGCCAAAGAGGAAGGTCTTGAGGCGGGTCTTGAAGGAGGTGATGGTTATGGCGAAGTGAAGGGACTCTGGGCTGGAGTTCCAGACATGGGGGGGTGGGCAGATACACTGAAAGCCGAAAGTACAGTAAAGCCTGTTATGCTGTTGCAGGTGAGAGTCCATAAAATAATGCACAGGGTGTGGTGATCTCACTACGCCTTCATACAGAAAGCCAGCTGGCTCCATTGGTGTGCATCAAATCGTAATATCAATGTGTCATGAATGTTCCAATGCACCAGTGACAAATCTTGTTAATATAATTGGTTATGAAATATCAGATTTTTCATCCCATGATACGCCGGGAGAAAAATCCACATACCATAGTGATATCTTCACACACTTCATTCTGTGCTGCCATCTGCCAAAAACACAAAAGACGTAAAAATGTAAAATTTATACTTGATCACTTCTTGTTATAGTTTTTTTTAAAATCATGCCAACGGCACAATAGCTGTAGTCACAGTCACTGCAACAAAGTTGTTTTACTGTAACTCACATCGTCCCACTTGCTAGAACTTTAGATGTTTATAGCACTGAAGGTCGTTTGGCCTATTGGGAATGTGCTGGTTGTTTGAAAGTACAATCCAATCAGCCCCATTTACCTGCCTTTCCCCCATAACATTGCAAATGACTCCGTTATTTGGATATTTATCTGGTTCCCTTTTGAAAGCTAATACAGCACAGCCAGCCCGGCTCATGGGCAGGACCCAAAGCCCTAACGGGTAGGGTGGTCCAGGCTGGACAAGCAGCGGGAAAGCTTCCCAGACAGCGATATCAATGGCAAACTATGCTGTTTTAGGTGGTTACACTCCAGCAGTTACCCCAATCCACATTCTGGGGTCCCTAAGCCTCGGCTCTTGCCGACCTGCGCCTAATGTGCTCCGGAATCAGGGACGCCATACGCGTCCCTCCGGGGAGAGAGAGTGCGCGTTCCATTCCAACAGTCTATCCCCGGGATTTCCACGTGTAGGTGGGATGCCTGGAATCCTCAGCTTGGTTTGGATGCTCTTAAGCAACGGCGATGGGTTTCGGCGCGTGCCAAGGCACCCGGCCGACCGCGCAGAAAACGGATCCAACCTCCGCCACCGCACTCCACGTCCTAACTCAGACCTTCGCTGCTTCACGCCCCAAGTCCCAGGTGGGAAAGCTCACCTCGAACCCGGCTTCGCCGCTGCGCAACACAGATTGGAGGCTGAAGGTAACAATAAACTGCGGGAGACATCGGAACGTCTACTTTGGGGGCGGTCGGGCGGGCGGTGGGCGTGTGGGGGTGGGTGTGGGGGGGAAAATCAGTGGAATCATTTATCAAAACTTTTCATCACTTGCGGGACAACTGCACCTCCTCCAGGAGATGAATACAGAGCAGACGCACATGACTAATATCTTAATTATTTAGGGAAAAAATGGAAAAGGAGAGATAGAGAGAGAGAGAGAGAGAGAGATAGAGAGAGAAGAAAAAGTGAAATGAAAGAAAAGAGCAAAGAAAATGCAGGTATAAAGGAAGCCGAGACACCGCCTCAGCCTCACATTTACTAACGACCTTTATTTTAAAAATAAATTAAATAAATCAAAGCGACTAAAACGCAGCTCACGAGCCCCGAAGCTGAGAAACCCTGAGGAGAAAGAAAGGGTTGGGGGTGGGTGTGGGGGGAGGTGGGGGGGGGGGGGAGGGCTGGAGTTTCCCTCAATATAATATAATAAAATACATAAAAATAATCAGAAAAAAAACAACCAGATTTGGCTTTTCTGTCGCTATTTATAACCCGAGGATTGGCAATGAGTGAGGGAGAAGTTGGTGCTGTTTAGCCCTTTTTGTGAGGGACCAACGGTTTGAAGCGTCTTTTTTTCTCTAAAAACGGACTCACAAACGGCTTTTTTTTTAAAAAAAAAACGGTTTTAACGGACGTGGCCGCGCGCGCGCGCCGGCGGCGGCGGCCGCCATGTCGACGCCATGTCGCGGGGCTCCCGCTCGCCCTCCCTCCCGCCACCTCCGCAAACGGCTTCGTTTCGGTTTCTGATTCATTTATTTTTTTATATATAGATTAATTAATATGTCACGAGAAGCCGGCGGCGGGGAGGGAGGGGAGGGGCGGCTGTGCCGGCGGAGCCCGGGGCGGGCTTTTAAGAGCTGTTTCCTGGGGAAGGAAGGAAGGAGAGAGAGAGGGAGGGAGCGGCCGCCGCCCCCAACGTTAATCTGCTTCATTTTGGTCTAAAAACGGTCGTTTTGACTCGTTTAAAACTCGCAAAAAAAATTTTTATTGAGAGGTTAGTCTATGGTACCGTGTGTGGTATTTTTTTTCTTTTAACCCCCCCCCCCAAAAAAAAAATCACCTCGTTTCCACGCTCTGGGCCCAATTCAAACGACCTTCACAACTGTGTCCCTCAGGTACTTGACGCCTCCTCGCGCTGCCCCTCTCTCTGTCTGTCTCTCTCTGTCTGTCTGTCTGTCTGTGTCTCTGGGGGTGGGGAGGACAGAGCAATTTCTTTCCGTTTCTTCTCTTGATTCCTTGTCGTTTCTTCTCCGTGGTTGTGAGAGGGAGGGAGGGAGGGAGGGAGAGGGAGGGAGGAGTTGCTGCCACTGCGTATTCCAGGCCTTCCTGCCAGGCTTTGTCATGTTATACCAATCCCGACATTTACCCAATTGGCGGCCCGCGGGCCGGTTTCAGACAGACCTCCTCCTTCCCTCCCTCCCTCCCTCTCACTTGGCCCACCCGCTCCCCCCATAACCCGTAAATGTAATGTTTCTGGAAGGGAAACACACAAATATTGCTCATGCGGCCCCACCCAACAAAAATTGGCAATGGGGTTCCCAGCAACTAAAAGCTTGGACCCTCCCTGCTTTCTCACATGAAATGGCCAATTTTTATCCGGCGGTTGTTGACCAGGAGAGAGAAACTGCCTTCTCCTTTACAGTAGTGCAGATAGAGAGAGAGAGATCTTCCTGACGCCCACCTGCACAGGTGCAGGAGCCTCAGTTTTGGGACTAGGAATCGCTTAGCCTGGGGGCTGGCAGTGCAGTGCTGGAGGGAGCACTGTATTTGTCGGAGGTGCTGTCCTTCCGATGAGATGTTAAACCGAGGGCCCGTCTATACCTGCTCGGGTGGATGTTAACGATTCTGTGCGCTATTGGAAAAAGAGAAGAGAGTTTCTATCTCTCGGTGTCCTGACCAACAATCCCCCCCGCCCCCGCCGAATAAAATTGGTCACTCATTCCATAGCTGTTTGTGGGACATTGCTGTGTGCAAACTGGCCGCCGCGTTTTGTTCACAAAATCCGGTCAATCCACTTTACAGTACTTGCTGTAAGGCGCTTTGAGATGTCCTTCCAGCTGATAATTATTTTTATTACTATTCTATGAAGCACTTTTAGAAGGATCAATAATGTCATAAGGCAAATTGCAAAGAATATTATTATTTTATAAAATAAAGATCGTGTGTCTCTTTATCTGAGGTCTGACTAAGTTTAAGAAGAATAAAGAGCAAGTTTTTGCTTTGTATTTAGCGCAGGATGTAGTGAACCTGGAAGTGCTGGAAGGAACAGTACAGGAGAACATAATTCTGTATCTAACCCATACTGTACCTGGCCCTGTAGTGCTGGATGGATAGGGGGAACTTTGCTCTGTATTTAATGAGACAATGAAGAATTGAGTTGAGAGAACTCAGCCACTGTCCCAGTAAGACCCTACGTGTATGCACAAGATGAATGACCAGTTATTCTGAAGGATTTCTGGCTAGGGTACTAGAAGAAATTCCCCTCTTTGGGCAGGGACCTGGGATCTTTGACATCCACTAAAAGCAGACAGAAGGGGCCTCAATTTAATATCACACCCAAAATTCTGGCAGATTTTGGTGTTACAGAGAATCAAGAGTTATTGAGAGGGAATCCAAGTGGCATTAATAGAGGAAATCAAGATTCTTGGTGGTGGTATTTTAACAATGAAAAAGATGTGAGAGTCCCTGTTGAAATCCCAAGAAAGTGTGAGGCCAAGAATGTCACTAGAAGAAGGACTAGGAGTGGAGTCAATGATAAGAATCAGTCGCTGTTGGTGGACTTGTGAGAGGCACGAAGAAACTGTTTCTGAAAACAAAACAAGATTTTCACCCTCTCCCTCCCTAATCAATCGGCAAGGTAGTGATTCAGCCCTTGCACTGTGAGAGGACTGCAACAGTACACGTCATCTAAAGGAAGTTGCTAAATTGAACTGAGTCATCAGAATGAACAAGTTTGTTTAGTAAATGGATGAAGTCATTGGAGTGGAAAAGGAAGAAGTGATAGAGTAGAAAGTCTTTGTGAACCTCCAAGTTGTCGATGAAGAGCTAAAACATGAACTATTAACCATAACCAGTGATTCAGTGATTTAAGAGAAAAAAAAACAAGAATAAGGTTTTGGTGGGAGACAATGTGAAGGTAACATTGTTCAGAAATGCCCTGTGCAAGATCTTATCAAATGATTTGGGAATGTCCAAGGTGGTGACAAAACTGATACCAAATCCTTCACGAGTAATGTTCTGGAGATGCACAACATGGGCAAGATCACTGGTGGAACATCCAGACTGGATACGGGGGATATCTTTCACAAGTAATGGCGGCTGGTGACTTTTTATGACAGTTGAGACACTCTAAACATGGCCACATTGTACTCCTACTAGGAGGTCTGAAATTACCTTTGCCTTCCTGTATTTATGATGCAGCACTGGTATTATACTGCCTTTTTTTTACGATTATACCCATCTCATCTCGAGATCTGAGTTTAAAACCCTTTCGTTTAAGATTACACACAAATATCACTGTCAGTCTCAACCAACCCCATTTTCTAAGTAACATCCCAACTCAAATCCTATAAATTCTTATCTCTGCAGAGATTGTTGCGCAATTCCTCTTTAGGCAATGTGTGAGTTTGCCTAACCAAGCTATCTTATTACCATGGCATGTTTCCTAATGTAGCAATATTAACTAGTGATTAAAATTTATTACAAATCTATTACACTCTCATAGTTTGTTCTCATAATTTATTAATATAACTTAACTAATAAGAAAATACTGTTGGTTAAAGTGATTAGATTAAGTAAGTATGTGACCTGGAAATTCTAGGTGAGCCACCACTGTTCAAAAGTGATCCACAGAAAGGAACTGAGGGTTGGGTATCAAGTACGTGAGTAGATAAGGGTGAAGCTTTGCTATATTACTGTCCCTCTGATATGAGGGAGTAATTTCCTTCATGACATTGGCACCCAGTTTGGCAGAATTCAAAAGAGGCAGGTTGTGCATCAGCAATAGACAGAGTAACCTTTCTGGGCTGATTGGCTTTCTTGCTCTGTACTTTCTTAAGAGAGAAACTAAAACATTGTAGCATTTAGTGTTGAGTTGGGACGTTCTCTTGACGTGAAAGGCATTATACAAATGTAATTTATTGTTGTTGTGTTAGCTGTTCTCAGTGGCGCATTGATAGAGGTGCTGCAATTAGCTTCAGTGACTAGGCAAGGAAGAGGACAACAATGTGCCCACTTTCCTGGTCAGTGTCCCTTGGTTTGGGGATTGGATGAAGACGATATTGGGCTCAGCCTTATTACTATCTTTTAAAATTGAAACTTCCAACTTTTTTTTGAATAGGAAAGTTTAATAATGGTAGAAAATACGGATCGGGAAAATCTTGGCAAAAAACTTCAAGACCTTTGTAATTCTCCCAATCCTGATCTTGATGAAGCAAAAAGATTACTTCAAGAGGGTGCACCAGTGGATTACAATGTGTCTGGGCTCGAAACTCCATTATTATATGCCGTGTCACATGGCTATGAAGATCTTGTTGAATTACTCTTGAGGAGCAAAGCAGATGTCGACTATAAGATGGAGGGCTTTGGCTGGTCGCCTTTGCTAAGTGCTGTAAAATCAAATCATGAGAACATTGTCCATTTATTATTGAAATATGGAGCCAATCCGCAAATCAAGAAACTAAATGGAGCTACACCATTCATTGTTGCTGCCATAGTTGGTAATGTCAAGTTGCTCCAAACCTTTCTCGACCTGGAAGTAGATATCAATGAGGCAGACAGCTTTGGTTTTACCGCATTCATGGAAGCTGCCCAGTATGGTAAAGAGGAGGCTTTACGCTTTCTTTTTAAGAACAAGGCTGAGGTGAACAAACACCGAGAAGTGAATGAGGAAACAAAGACGTTAGGAAAAGGTGGAAAGACAGCTCTGATTGATGCTGTGCGTAAAGGGCATGAAGATATTGTCGTCATCTTGTTGGATGAGATGGAAGCTGAAGTCGATGCCCAGGACAACCTTGGCCGAACTCCATTAATGTATGCCTTGGAGGAGGACAATGAGACAATTGTGACAATTCTGTTGGATCGTGATGCTGATGTTAGCCATGTGGACAAAAACTACGGCACGCCCATATACACTGCATTAAAGAAAGATACAGTGAATACCAGTCTGGTGAAGCTGTTGATGGAACACAGGCCAGACCTAAATGTCTGTGAGGAAGCTGAAAGTACCCCATTGATTCTTGCTGTAAAAAAGAAAAAAAAGGACTTGGTCAAGCTTTTCCTGAAAGACGAAAACATCAACGTCAATGCAAAAAATAATAAGGGAGAAACGGCCCTTCTGGCAGCAGTGGAGGTGGATGACCTAGCGATGGCTAAACTACTGTGTGATAAAGGAGCAGATGTAAACTGCATCAACAAGTCAGGAGACACACCAGCCAGTGTGGCCAGGCGAAAATACAACCTAGATATGCAAACGTTATTGAGGAAATATGAAGATTTGCGGGGAAACAAAGATGTATCACCTAAAAGATGGAAAGTGCGGAGTCAACGTTGGCATGAACAACTGAAGCTTCTGAGGAACGTGCACCCATTGCCCATCGGGAAGCTAAATCTGTCCAGGTTGGAGGCTTATAGAATGAAAGAATTTGTCTACTTGGGTTTCTTGAATGAGGAAACTGAAGTAGCTGTGAAATGCTTCCGGAAGGACAGTGAAGAAGCGCGCAGAGAAATGTGTGTCCTCTTACACCAACAGATCGTCTCGCACAGCCAGTTTGTACGATACATTCATCATGAAACTGACTCACAATGCGAATATATTTGCCTGCAGATTTATGAGTATAACCTGCAGGAATTGGTAGAACAGAATCCCGAGGAAATCAAAGAGAAAGCACCGAATGTAATGAAAGAGTTGATCAAGGCTCTTGAGATTTTGCATGGAGCTAAATTTGCCCATCGGAATTTGCATCCAACTCATGTCCTGAAAGGTGATTTTCATTATATCTTCAAACTTATAGCATTGCCTTCAATTCCATCTAATGCAACACATGTGCTCCACCAGTAGAGGGTCCCATGGAGGGGCAAGGGTGGGCTAGATTAGTCTCTTTTGAGACACGCAAACAGCATAGACTGAGACGTGACATAGCGAGCCCCCAATCCACTTGTTGTGGCTCTCCACTGCACCATCAGGGCTGCCTCACAAGCTCAGATTTTAAAATGAAAACGGGTAAGAGTGAAAAGTGCTATATCAAATGCAAGAATTATTATTATTTATTATTAATTCTCAGCTGCTTTGCTGGACTCCCAACTTTGCGTGAAACCATTCTTTCTGACCATCATCCTAAAGATGTCCCACTAATGTCAAAGCTGTCGCAGGCAAAGCTTTCTGAATGTTTAATGGACAAACTGCAAGAATAGTTGTTGAGGTTTAAAACTCTTACCTGTTTTCATTTTAAAATCTGAGATTGTGAGGCAGTCCTGATGGTGCAGTGGAGAGAGCCACAACATGTGGATTGGGAGCTCGCTATGTCACATCCCAATGTGTGCTGTTTGCTTGTCTCAAAAGAGGCTAATTTGGCCATCCTTATCCCTCTATAGGACCTTCTACTAGTAGAGCACATGTGTTGCAGTAGATGGGGAGTGGTCAGGCTCACACATGAACCGTGGGGAGTACCTTGATTAGTGTAATAAGAAATGAAAATTCTTACATTTTAAGATGATGATCTTCAGATCAAGGGGAAATTTCAAACCAATCTCCATTTCGTCAGCCCCTTCTGGCTGAAAGAATTAAATCAATGAATATTCCCCCCCATTCAGTTTACTCACTCTGCTCTCCAGAACCGGTTCTGTATTTGGGTTCTTTCTGTGATTAAGCATTAAATTGTTTCTGTTTTACCAGTGTTCTCCTGTTCATCTGTATCAATCCTGTTCAGTTAATTCAGTTCAAATCTGTGAGTTGATCAACAGGGTTGAATCTATGTTCTTGGTTCCAGTTCTGCTCTGCTTTGTCTACATTTTAAGTTCCTTAAAATAGTAACCAGAGCCTCCTATTTTTTGTTTTTGTTCAAAGATTCTAGATTGTATCCAAAATTAGATGGAAAAATTCCAGTTACATTTTTTTCTCAAATAATGCAAGAAAATATATAGAAATTGTCTTCAGCTAGAATATCCCAAGGAATTCCCTTGGCAGTAAGCTACCAAATTGATTACTCATAATTATATGTAAAAATTGTTGCTGCATATAAAGAACGAAGAAAGCAAAAGCAAAATACTGTTCGAACGCAGTTGTTTGGAGTATCAACTGATTTAACGCATACGTGTACTTTTTAAGTTGGTTCAATTTTTTTTAACCAAAACTAAAGGGTCATAGCTATGAGGAAGAATCGTTCAAATGCTTCAAGAACAATAACTTGCATTTAAGTAGCGCCCCACAAGCAGAGCTGTGTCCAAGAGCGCTCCGAGACGCCGTCCGGCGTGAAGGACGCTATATAAATGCAAGTTGTTGTTGTACACAATTCATTGTCAGCTCCAATTTGTTGCCTCTAAAAATAATACATTACGGTATTTGCAATTTCTCTTCAATTTATTTTTAAAAAGTCGATTGCCTATACGTCCAATAACCCAACTGTGATAAACAGGATGAACCATATTGTTATGGTTTTACAGATGTTGGAGAGCGGATTTGTCTGGCGGATTTTGACTCGAGTGTCCATTTCGATGAGAATAAGAATGTGGTGTTAGAATCAGAAGGTACTTGGGAGGCCTCTGAGGTCTTGCAGAAGATGAAAGAATCACCCCCTGTGACATTTACTGAAGATGAGCTTTTTAGGGCAGATTTACAGGTTTGTTTTGCGCAACTCTAAAGTATGTCACCAGTCTTCACTTTTGTTGTTGTTGTGAAAGGTACATTTAGTGCCAAGGTGATGGGAAACATAACCTGTTTGCATTTACTGTGCACAACTAAAGCAGTTCCTTCCCCAATCTTATCCCCTTGATGCAGTTCCTCACTCATTGTTACAGTTCCATTGGTCGTATCTCTTCTCTTTGGTAGCTTGTTCAACTGTGCCGCAAACGTGTAAGAATTGCCAGCCTGAAGCACATATAATAACCATACATTTGTACACAAGTGCTTTTCTTCTTCCTCCAGGCATTGGGACGGCTTTTACACTATATGGTGACTGGAGGAAAGGATGCCTACAGCAGCCCAGCAGACGTAGCCTGTAATAGGCCATCTTTGGAGGAGGAGCTACTTTCTGCAGAGGCCAGACATCTGATCGAGTGGCTGTTGGCACCAGCAGCAGAACGAGCTACCATCAGTGATGTCAAACAGCACCCATTCCTCTGGAAACCAGCAGAGTAAGTCAGCCTGGGGAGGGTGGATGGTGAGGGGTCGGTAAGGGGAGGAATAGTGTCCTTTGAACTATATATTGCTGACATTGTCTAAAGTAATGGTATTTTGTTTGTTACTCCAGAAAGATCGGGTTTCTCCACAAAGTGGCTAATGAGGAGGATGTACGAACTCGCAAAGAAGACACTCCCATCACCTTGTGTCTCAATGACAAGGTGGATGAACAAAAGACCTTCTATACTTGGACAGAAAAGGTCTGTTTTTCATAATTCGGTTTTCTTTGATCAGATGATATCGCTCAATGGGATGATATGTGTGTCCGAGCTGTGGCAATGCTCTCATGTATTTCATGCTGAGTTGTGTTGCCCAACAAGGAAGCTCGAAGGAAGTTCCACCTTGTGAGAGCTGAAACCTGTGCTTGTTCAATATCAAGTGAGCAACTGATGATTGTCCTCCAGTGGGGGTGGTAAACATGGGACCTCCTTGGAGCTGAACTGGCTCCAAGATGACATGCTTAGCAACGGAATGTTGGAATCAAGTCAATCCTCTGATGGTCTTAGTCCGGTTCCTGAGCCAGGCTGGTCTGTAGTACTCCAATGTACTGCTGATTACAGAACAGCCCAGCCTGGCTGAGAATTCCACATGTGCCACCTACACAGGGAAATATCCCTGTGTATGGAATGCACGGTCTCTCCCTGGTGGGACTCATCCTGTTTACCTAATTGGAGAGATGGGAGGTGCAAGGGTGTGGAGCAAACTAGAGATGAGAATCTGCTGAGAGTCTGGCAAAGACTGGGGGATGGGTGTGTGGGGTTTGGTGAGAATGTGGATGAGTTGAAGTTAATGGATTGTGGAGCTCGGGATCAGTAAGGAGAGCGTTAGAAAAGTCCGGGCTGAAAGCGACGAAAGTGTGGATAAGGGTTTTGGTGGTGTTTCGAGTGAGGTAACGGAGGAGGCAATGTGGTTGAGGGAAAGAAAAGCAGTCTTGGTCTAAGCAGGGACTGAGTGGACTCCATGAGAGGCTAGCTACTGTGCACACTGGAAAGCACTGCCTAATGGGCTGAATGGCCTTTCACAATTTGTTCCTGTCTTATGAAGTTAGTCTTCAGCTACTCTTGATCTAGGTGGGGAGGGAGAGGAGAGCCGGCTGTGTGGATTGGGGTTAGATCAAGGTACAAGCTAGCGTGAGCCAAGGAGGTTGACATTGGCATTGGCAGAGATCAGGAAACACTATTGGGTTCAAAGGTATAGCAGGTGGAATTAACCACTCTGTTGAAGACTGTTGAAAAAGTGTGGCTGGAAAAAGCTTATTCTGTTAGCCGAAATGTTATATTAGGAGCCCATGAACAGAGGAACCAAAGTCACTTGTGTATTATGTTTTAAAGCACATTTACTTAATAGGCAGAAAAGTTGCATTAATTCAGTAACATAGTTACAATAGACAGGGTTACAACAAACAAAATTTGCTGTTATGCTGACTTATCACAATGTTACTGTAATGACCATATCCGAGTTCATAAGCAGTAGGTGAATATCTCTTGCATGGCAGGAACAGCCAGTAGTACAGCTGGTAGCGGAATTAATTCTCTGATCCTGGGAAGCGGCCAGTGGGAGTAGTAACCGCTGTGTTGAGCTGGTAATAACGGGCATCAAAGTTGAATGTCTAGCTGTTGTGTTCCAGCTGTGTTCTTGTATCGTTGCAGTTCTTCTTCTTTTGCTTTTTTCCTTTTCCGATGTTGCTGGAACCTTGGAATGGTCGAGTGTCTCGAGCCGTAGTTTTCTGATAGTTTTCTGGTTGGTTTAAACAAGCTGGGAGTGTCCTTTAGTTTGGCATCCATGAGCTGATTCTGATTAAAACAATGCAGTTACATCAATAACTAATGAGAGCTGCGATAAACACATTGCTTCTGAACCAATTGAACTCTTCAAAGCACACATATCTTCATTTTTGCATAACATTTTATGTAAAGTTACACCAACTACCCCTAACATATGTTACGCTAAGACAAACTCTACAGCCGTCCAACTCAATAGAAATGGAAGGTGGAGAACAATGTCCTTTTCTGGTTCTGTGTGTTCGTATCTAATGCACGCACGCCTATTTGGTTAGGTCTGGTGAAGATTCTGTGGGTGGTCTATGGGGGAGATTGGACTTGGATTGCAGTAGAAGCATAGAAATCTAGAGCAGTGACTCAAACTTAACATCTCTTTTTCCTTTCCCCTCAGATTGATGAAGAAGTTCTGAATTGCATGATCATGGGAGCACAAAAGAAACCGCAGAAGAACTCAAAGACAAAGTTCAAAAACACACCCTGCGATCTGCTGAGGCTCATACGAAACCTGACAGAGCATTTGGGAGAGAAGTCCAAAGAGTATGTGACTGATGCCAGTTTGTACCACTTCCTGTACTCATACAATACTCAACTCGGCCAAGCGCAGATTAGGCCTCAATGAGATTCAGTCAGACAGAGAAATTACAGCACAGAAAGAGGCCATTTGACCCTTGGAGCCAGCCCTCCGAGACACTTTCCCATGTGAAGAGTGCTGTATAAATGCATATAAGTTGTTGGAGCTGAGTTATCTGCCTAATCCCATATTGTTGTATCTTTTATAGCACCTTATAGAATCGTGGAACATCACTGCACAGACACAGGTCATTCACTCATCCACTCAGCGAGATCCCACAAGCAGTCATGAAATGAGTGACCAATTTATCTGGGGGATTGCTGGCCAGGACATCAGGAGAAAGTCCCCTTCTCTTTTCCAATAGTGTCAAAGGATTTTTAATAGGGCCTAAGGAAGGAAGAACATATTGGGCTTAATATGTTTTTTTTCTTCTTTAGGATACAGGAGAAAGTTGGAACGCCAGAAGAATATTTCTTGGGGATGTTTCCTGACTTCACCTTGTGGGTCTACAATGCCTTGAGGTCCACTGAATGGGAGAGACGCTTTCTGAAAGACTAGAGGCCAGCTCCTATCAAGAGTGCCTTGGGACATCCTCCTGACGTGAAAGGCGCTATATAAATGCGGTTTGTTATTGAAGGGCAATTTGCGTGTGATGAGCAGAGCTGGGTGCCAAGCAACAATGGGACAACAGCAAGAGAATAGCGGGGTGGGGGGGGAGGGAGCGAGGGGCAAATGACGGAGAGGATCAGGAGACTGCGCAAAACAAGAAGAGTGAAAGGTAGCCAAGGAGGGGTCTGAGACCAGGGCATTGAACTGATTTAAGAAATGTCTCGATGCTGTAATGGACAGACGGTGGGGTTAGGATTCTGAAAGAATGAGATGTAATCTGACCCTCGCCTGTAATCTGACCCTTGTCTGTAAGTGATTTGTAGTGTTTTGCTGTGGATCTGAGGCCTGAAATTCTACCTAGCCTCAGCCTGTTTCGGAAGTCAAGATTTTTAAGACAAAATGTTCTCAGGCTGACAATGGGTGAAAATGTGGAGTCTTGTTCTCCAGGATAATGTAATTATCCCTCATGATGCTTTCCTTCAGTCCGTATATTTTATATAATGGAGTCAATGGGTGGCGGGTAGATTTATTTTTGTAATTCAGCTGATATGAGGCGTTTTTAAAATCAATCAATAGATTTTAATTTAATCAGGGAAGAGGGGAAATTGCCCTCCCTGAAATTCCCGATATTTGATTCTGCCATTACTATGTTTACCTGTAACTGGGCAGCGAAACCTGCAGTTGTTTGCGGGAGACCACTCTAACGATGGAAGCACTGAAACCTTCATTGCTTTCAGTACATGAGATCACAGGTGTGCAGGGGGAGAGTTTAGCACAGGCACCAAGAAGTATTTCTTTACACAGAAGAAATTCAACAGGTGGAATCTGAGTTAACAGGAAGGCTGTTTGTGGCCAGGATATTGTGATATCTATCCACACTTTGGTCTCTCTCGGATGACCATAGTGAGACCAAGAACTGCTGAGGAATCTCATTGATATCAGAGGCGCTTTGGGTAGTCACTAGATGTGTATCAGATGCACTGGAGAAGGAACGGGCTGGATTCCGTTCTTTTGAGGACTGGGGGAATCACAGGTTGTGGCTTTGTTTGAGAAAGTTGTAAGGCTCGGGGAAACCTACCTAAATGTATTCTTTGGGGTGGGGCTGAGGAGGAAGGGCTGGCACTGGAGGTGAGGGGCTGGCACAGGGGGTGAATGGGAAGGGCTGGCACTGTGGGGGAGAGGAAGGGGGTGGCACTGGTGGTGAGGGAAGCATTTTGAGACATCTCCATGACATGATAAAGCACAATGTCAAATGCATAGTTACATTGTGTGCTTCGTGTTTTAGATATTCTATTAGCAGCACAGAATATACAGCACAGAAACAGGACATTCGGCTCAACTGGTCTATGCCGGTGTTTATGCTCCACATGAGCCGCCTCCTGCCCTTTCTCAACTAAGCCTATCAACATAACCTTCTATTCCTTTCTCCCTCATGTACCTATCTATCTTTCCCTTAAATACGTGTATGCTATTTGTCTCAACAACTCCTTGTGGCATGTTCCACATTCCCACTACTCTCTGTGTGAAGACATTTCTTCCGACTTCCCTATTTGATCTATTTGTGACTATTTTATGTTGATGACCCCTGGTTTTGGTCTCTCCCACAAGTGAAAACATCTTCCCTATGTCTGCCCTATCCAAACCTTTCATAATTTTAAAGACCTCCATTAGGTCATCCCTTATCCTCTTTTCAATAGAGAAGAGTCCAACCATTTTCAGCCTTTCCTGATAGTTATAACCTCTCAGTTCTGGGATCGTCCTTGTGAATCTCCTTTGTACCCTCTCCAGTGCCTCTACATCCCTTCTGTAATGTGGGGATCAGAACTGCACACAATATTCTAAGTGTGGTCTAACCAAGGTTATACAGAAATTTACCATAACTGCCCTGCTTTTCATTTCTATCCCTCTAGAGATGAACCCCAATGCCTGGTTTGCCTTTTTTATGGCCTTATTAACCTATGTTTAGTGAATTGTGTATGTGTAACCCTGGAACCTTCACTCCTCTACTCCATTTAGGTTTTTATTTTCCAGGATGTATGTGACTTCCTTATTCCTTCTACCAAAATGTACCACCTTACACTTTTCTACATTAAAATGCATTTGTCATTTAAATGCCCATTCAGCAAGTTTATTAATGTCTCGCTATAATTTGTTGCAGTCCTCCTGTATTAACTAATCCTGCAATTTGGTGTCATTTGCAGATTTTTAAATTGTACTGCTGATTCCCGAGTCCAAATCATTAATGTATATTGTGAACAATACCACTTCTTGTGGAATACCAATGCCCACTCCCTGCCAGTCTGAGTAGCTACCTTTTACCCTTATTTTCTGTTTTGTAGCCAGCTTACTCTCCATTCTGCTATTTTTCCCCTGACTCCACACAGTCTGACTTTATGGTACCTTATCATACGCCTTTTGGAAAACTAAATATACTTTATCTTCGAATGCCTTTTGGAAATCTAAATGCATTACATCTATTCTTATACATTTTGTTAAATAAACCTACTTCTGGTGTGATTTTGCCTGAGTCAATACCATGAACTTACAGCTTGTTGAAAGAGAGCAATTCTCCTCATCTCCTGAGGCCACTGTACACAGCTCAGACATTATACATAGGGCACAGCCTGGACACAGCTCAACACTGGGCACAGCTTGGGCACTGGCTCAGCTCAGACCCTGGGCACTTCTAATAGACTCATTCCTCTGAGCATTGACATTGTGATCACAAACTAGCCTGTTCTTGTCCACACCTGGTTTCCCGCAGGAGGCATTGGCTGGTGATGAGGAGCAGGAAGCTGCTGCTGATTCACTCCTCAATGTGGGTATACTGAAGCCACCCGAACATCACAAGGGTGAGATCAACCAACAGTGACATGGGACTTCCTGACGTGTGTGTGGCTCAGTACATCTACCCAGCAAGTGAGATCCAGAGATCCATCTCACGCCAGTCACATTAAGGTGATTTTGTGCCATGTGCCTCCCAATGCAGATTGAATGTGACAACAATGTAAAGGCTCGCACATCAGGGGACAGCAAAGCGAATTCAGAACAATAGACACTAATCTCTTGGGAAGTATTTCTTCCACCCCATCAACCTTGCACACTCGTAGACAGGTACAGAATGTACTGGAAGCTTTCTCAGCGAATATTTTGTTTGATCCTCAACGAGAATCCTTAACCTGAAGCCTCACAGCTAGTCTGATCCCTCTGAGTGCTTGTTACCAGTCTTTGACCTCTGGCTCTTGGTTCTCACGTCCTGTGAACTCGCTCTGTGTCTTGATATATTTCATTCAATTTCTTGGTTCAGGTGAGTGAGTAGTAAACATATGGAACAGGCTCCCCAGGGAGACGGTGAAAGCAGAAAGTGTTGATTTGTTCAAGAACAAATTAGATAGCTTTCTGTTAGAAAACAATATATAGTTTGGGACATAACATGTCGTGCGACTGCCAGGATGTTGGAAGGTGAACTGGATGAACCGTGGTCTTCTTTCGCCAGCAGACTCTTATGTTCTCAGTCCCAGTAATTTGTTTGATTATAAACGTGATTGTCCCAAATGACACGGTTTCATTCCTCCCAGTTCCCAGTGTCCCTCTGCTGTATTCTCCCCACTTTGCTGTACAGGCACTGCTCATCCAAAGGATGGCGCCTCCACAGATGTACCTCTCCCCCAGCACTACACTGCAGTGTCTACTTTGGAAATGTAAGTTCCGAGTCCTGACGTGAGTAAATACACTGAGCTACACAGGTCGCTGGTTGGCTGTTAGCTGGGCTGGTGTTCGGGTTATTTCTATCAACTTCCAGGTCCCCACATTGAGGAAGCATCAGTCTGGCTCAGTCACTTGTCTCGGAGTCAGAGGTTGGGGGTTCAAGCCCCATCTAAGGGAATTTGAACTCACATTCTAGGCTGATGCTCCAGTGTAAAACTGGGGGAGCACTGCCTTGTCAGAGATACCTTCCTTTGAATGAGATGTTAAACCAAGGTCACGTCTGCCCATTCAGGTAGATGTTAAAGATCCCATGGCACTATTGGAAAAAGGAAGGGAGTTTCTCTCTCCTGGTGTCCTGGCCAACAATCCCCCCAGATAAAATCAGTCACTCACTTCATGACTGATTGTGGAAGATTGCTGTGCACAAATTAGCTGCGCATTCGTCCATAAAATACAGTCACTCCACTTTACAGTAAGTTCCGATGTGAAAGGCGCCATATGAAATGTAAGGATTATTATTACCACTCTACTCTCATTCGCTCTGCCCCACCATCAGTTGTTAACCTTTAGTCACCCTCCGGAACTTGCTCTCAAACTCCCTTTGTCTCGTGCCTTCAAAATCCTCTTCGACTACCTTCAACAGCTTCAAACCCACCGAAACCTTACCACAGTCTACAAGTGGCTCTGGCCGGGTGGTCAATAAATGAGGTGGGGAGGAACGGGGAAGAAACAAGGGAGGGAATAGGAGGAGTCAAATTGTGATTGATTGATAGCCTGGAGCCAGCTATCAATCACCTCCGAGTTGCCACTTCCTTTCCTCTGCTGGGCAGGAAGGAAAGAAGTAAAGGAACTTCGGTTGCCCTCAGACACTGCTTAAAGTCCAACAAAACAGCCAGCCCTGATGTATCCAGCTTAAGCAACTTGCACTTTAAAAATATAATGTATATATTATATATTAAATAAGAAACCCCTATAACTAAATAAATAACATTTTATATAATTACATTGCATAAATTATTAATATTGTCAGTAACTACATCAAAGTTGTTTTCCACACTACCCCTATACTCACAGCACTGAGGGTAGCGTTCAGCCCTTACAGTTCTCACCTGCTGTTGTTGCGATACTTGGGACCGTTATTAATAGGTTCCAGCAGTGAGACTGAAATCCCCCACACAGAAAATAACTCAGAAACTCACAGAGCGGAAAGACACAGACAGCAACACAGGAAGCCAGCACTGCAGGTGCACATCTGTAAATAACTGCACAGCCAGCTGGCCGGAGGCAAGAGTTGAGGGGGAGAGACCGAGAGTGAGACAGACTGAGGGTAAGAAGGCAAGGATGGAGGGCGAGAGATAGAGGGGTAGAAGTGAGAGGCCAAGCATGAGAGAGTGAGTGATCCAAAGGCGAGGGGGAGACTGAGGGGAAGAAACTGAGACCAGTATCCACTCCATTGTCCACAGTAGTCACTGTTTAGTACAGCTCGGGGACATGAGGAACAAGTTTAGAAGCAACAGCAGAGTCCTGAAATTCCCCCCAGTCTTAGCCTGGGAGACCATTTTGCCTTTACTAGGGTAAGATTGTGGAGAATTGTCACATTGTCTGAATTGAGAGCTGGGTTCTTAAAACTAAACCTCCTTCCAGATCAAGACTGGATTTCAGGATTTTCCTAAGACTGGGCGGAATTTCAGGACATGTCTGATTACCTGGAGGGGAATTAATGACAGGGACAGGGTTACCGGGGAGGGTGGTCAAAGCCAGGATACAGGAAATCATCTAAGAAGCTGCCCGATGGGGGGGAATTCTGGAATTCTGTCATGTAGTCTCTCCCTGTCTCTTGACCGATAACCTCCCAAATGTGTAGATGGGATGCATGGAATTCTCAGTTTGGTTTGGATCTCTTAAGCATGGTGATGAGTTTCCACGTGTGTCAGACAGCCGGCTGACCAAAGGCAAACAAAAAAAAACTTGGTGCCTGTTTGTGGGCCTTTGCTGTGCACCAAAAGCCATCACTCACAAAAACACAGTCACTACAACACTACTTTATCTTGTAAAGTAAGCTTTATCCTGTGACGTGCTTTCAGCCGTCCTCCTGCTGTGAAATCCGATACCAAACGCAAGGAGTATTATTAATTGTAATAATGACCATGTGTGTGATTATCGCCCCTATACAATGAGCTCAGATTGAATCTCACACTGGCCCCTTGTTTGGTACATCAATGGGAATGGGAGAGAATCCAGGAGACAAAGCAAGAGGAGAAGGGGAGAGGAGGGAAAGAGAAGAATGGAGAAGAGGGTGAAGAGGAGGGTGAGAGGAGAGGATGGGTGGAGCCCAGTCCCTGTGTCTGGGGATACGCTGCCATTTGCATACAGCCCTGAGCCTGGCTGCAAGTATAAAGCAGTGGCTGAGGGAACGGCAGATTAACAGTGAGAGCTGACGTGGTCACCATGCTGTCCTCTACCCACCTGCTCCTGCCTGTAGTGTTCTGGCTCGCTGGTAACCGCTCTCTCTCCCCCGCTTCACATGCGCTCTCAGTGCAGAATTAGCTGAGTAACCGTGCCTCTTTGCCTCTTTCTCTTTGACCGTGCCTTCAGCTCCCCTCTCGACTCTCTTCCTCCTCCTCGCTCCCTCCCTTCCCTCCCCTCACCCTGACCATTTCCCCCTCCTCTCTCCCTCCCTTCCCTCCCCTCACCCTGACCATTTCCCCCCTGCTCGGGTCATGACCCAACTGTGCAGCGCCTTGGGACGTCCTCCTGACGTGAAAGGCGCTCTATAAGTGGAATCTTGTTGTTGTTGTTGTTGTTGTAACCACAACCTCTAGAGACTGTGTGTCTTTGCTGGTGGGAATGAAGTGTGTAAGGATCAGGGTTTGTGATTTTACAGGAAGATTTTGCTGTTAGTTTATCACCTGCTTTTCTTCCCCACAGGTGTCAGCGGTGAGCTTGTAATGACACAGACGCCCTCAATGCTGCCAGTGACTGTCGGTCAAACGGCCACCATCACCTGTAAAGCGAGTAGCAGCATCAGCAACTACCTTGGCTGGTATCAACAGAAAGCCGGGGAGCGTCCCAAACTTCTCATTTACAGTGCAACAACTCTCTATACGGGCACCCCCGCCCGGTTCAGTGGTCACCAATCCTCCACTACTTTCACAATGACCATCACTGGCGTGCAACCTGAGGATTTTGCTGACTACTATTGTATGGGGTACCAGAGCTCTAGCGACACAGTGATACACAGCCCTACAAAAACCTCACTCATTCATAGGCTCACAAACACTCACACTCACAGACTCACACATAGACTCGTATTCATTCACACTCAACAATTGTACGCACTCACACACTCAAACACATACGCACACACATTGGCACACTCAAACACGTTCACGCACTGACATTCACACACTTATATTCTCATTCACACACACACACACACACACACAAAGACACAGCCATCACACAGTCACTATACAGGTACAGGCAGAAACAGCCCAAGCTGCTGGTTGTCACTGGACACGTTGTAGATTAATTTCACCAGTTTCGAATTTTTTAGTAAAACAGTTATTTAATACAGAATGTTACACAGTTACATCCTACACACTTCACCAAGTGCTTTGTGTAGTTCCAGCCTCAGAGATCCCAACCTCCCCTCATGAGCCTGTATTGTTACTCGCTCCTCCACTGGAGCTAACTGCTCAGTTGTCTTCTCTCACTGCCTACACTGTTTCATGTTGTTGCTGTTCAAATTGTGAACATACGGAGGGGAAGAATTGTGAAAGTCTGTCTGTTTGAGTTTAGCAGCCAGTTTTATTTGAACAAACTGGGGAACAAACAGCTTTCAAATACAGACTGGATTCTCCATCACTGCTCCACATTACAGATTACAACAACAACTTGCAGAGCTGGGTATTAAAATGTGATTAAAGATGGATAAAGAGGGGATGAGGTGGAGGGATTGAGGCAGGGAGATCGAGAAGTTAGTTTTAGCAGTGGCTAAAATAAAGAATTCTGAGGCTGAGACCAGGTGAAATTTCATGCATTGCTAATGCTCCTGCGACGGGAACTATCTACATTAAGAGGCTTGAGCACTTTTATACACTTTAATGGACAATATTTTTGCCAGATATGAAATTGATGGATTTTTGAGAATGTTTGGATTCACTTAATGTTTGTTTGTGGGACGCTGCTGTGCACCAATTGGCTGCTGCGTTCACTTACACAGTCACTACACTCTACAATATATCTTATTAAGCTCTGTGAGACGCCCTCCCCATGTGAAAGGCGAGATATCAGGTGCACGGTTTATTATTTTATTATTAAATAAATCCTAGTGAGCAGGCTGTGTGTTTCCCCAATGCAGTGTGTGTGGGGAAGAGGGGAGGGGGGGCAGTCAGTGGGGGAGGAGGAGGCTGAGATATTGTACGGGCGGATCATTGTAATGTAACACTGTGGAACACGTTTGGTAAAGGAACAGAATTGGTTCTGAGTGAGTACATGGTGGAAACCTTTTCTTTTAAGCCTTTAAACCCTGAAGCAAAGCAAAACTCCCTAACCCAGCAGAATGTTTATATCAAGGATCTTACTCATCTAACAATAATAATAATCCCGGCATTTCATATGGTATTTATTGCATAATTGTAACATCTCATAGCAGTTCACAGGATTTGCACTGTGCACTGCAAAGTGCAGTGACTGAATTTGTTAGGCAAACAAGGCAGCCAATTTGTGCACGTCCCACAAACAGCCATGAAGTGAGTGACCAATTTTATTCAGACTATTGTCAGCCAGGAATCGGGAGAGAGAAACTCCCTTCTCTTTTCCAATAGTGCCGAGGGATATTTAAAAATGTTAAATGGAAGAAAGCACGTCTGACAATGCTGCACTCCCCCAGCACTGCACTGGGCTGTGAGCTTCAGAGGGATGACAGGACTAGCTTGGTAATATCAGAGATGAGAGGGCATAACAGGTGGGGGCAGAGAAGGTTATTAGGTGGCGGTGAAAATCGGACAGAGGTTTTCAAACTGATGAGTTTCACAGAGTAAATAAACAGTATTTCCACTGATCACCATCAAGTAGACAGTAATTGAGGATTATAACCAGAAGTTTTACACAGATAAATTTAGATGGTGGAACAAATGGCCATAATGGCTTAACGAAAAAATATTTTGAAGGGTTGTATGGAAAGAGCAGACAAGTAGAGAGCTCCAGTGGAGAGTGAGCACCAGCCCAGACGGAATGCATTGCCTGAAAGGGTTTTGGAAGCTGATTCGATAACAACTTTTAAGAGAGAAGTAGAGTATTATTTGGGGAGGACAAGTTTGCTGGGCTATGGGGAGGGCGCAGGGGAGTGGGATTGATTTGGATAGCTCTATTGAAAGAGCGGACAGGATGGTCCGAATGGCTTCCTTTCCTTCTGTGCTCTATGATTCTATGAGACAATGGGGAGAGTGCAGGGAAATGGGGTTAAAGAGTGGAGATCTCCAGATGATTGCAAGTAAATCTGGGGATTAGCTGCATTGTCAGAGTTGCGGTCCTTCAAATGGGACATTAAACTGAGCTCCTGTTCAGGTGGAGGTTAAAGAACTCAAGGCACAAGGGAGTTTCTCTCTCCCAATGTCCTGGCCAACAATCCCCCACATGAAATCATGGCTGTTTGGTGGGACACCGCTATGCACAAATTGGTTGCGGTGATCACGCACAATGTCAGCACTTTACAGTCAATCCATGAAGCGCGTTGAGACGATGTCCCGACGTGAATCAATTGTAAGGCTCGTTGTTACCGTGTCTCCGGCTGTTTGTTAATCAGGTGTTTGCGGTCCATGGATTTAAGGTTTAATTTATAACCAAGGGAATAATATATATTTAATTAGTAGATTATATAATTATTTATTTATATTTTAACAATAATTTATATTTAAATGTTGGGCAGAATACTTGCCGTGGGGGTCTGTCAGAGCGGGATGAGGTGCCGGGGGACCAGAGCTGATTGTGGGGGTGGCAACATGGGAATTGTGGGCACATGGGGAGGAAGGGGATCAGAGGGGAAGAGCAGGCGATAGGGATCCCAGAGGCTCACTGTACAATGTGGGTGGAATGGGCTGTGCTGTGTGGGGGCATTTGAGTGGTTAAACCTCGCCTGGGCTCCCAGTCTTCACAGTCACTTCAGCCTCACAGTGTTAAAGGGTCGCCTCTGCCCCAATGGTTTAACAGTCTGTGACACAAACTAAATGGAGACTTTCTGCGGAGCGTCGACAAGGTTTTTAAATGTTAAGCAATAGCGTCAGTCACTATCCCGAGAGCCCGGGCGGGAAAGTTATTTACAGAGGGGGGAAAGACACATTATACGGTAGAGGCGCTCACCTTTAAATGGCCCAAATCCCTCAGGAACGAGTACTGACTGCGATCACGAGCTGGTCCCAGCCTGGGCTGCCCTCACATACATGTAGAGTTCGTGGCAATTTCTCAACCTCCCGTCACACGGAGAGTCACACACCATCATCTCACTGATACACTCCAACTCACACTGACACAGTCACACACAAACAGTCACAGCACAAACACACGCACACAATCATGCACAACCACACGTGGACACAGACTCGGTGCAGCAGCTGCCCAACAGGTGAAGATGTCAGTCAGTGAGTGGCTGTGGCTGTCACTCACACACACAGTCACTCTCTGACTATTCACAATGTGACAGCAATTGACGTCCTGTGTTGTGATTGGTTGTTTCTGTGTTTAAGCGGATACTAATCTGTCAGTCACTGCTGTGTGTGTGTGTCACTGCGGTGTGTGTCAGTCACTGCTGTGTGTGTCAGTCACTGCTGTGTGTGTTTCACTGCTGTGTGTGTCTGTCACTGCTGTCACTGTGCTGTGTGTGTGTGTGTGTGTGTCACTGCTGTGTGTCTGTCACTGTGCTGTGTGTGTCACTGTGCTGTGCGTCACTGCTGTGTGTGTGTGTCACTGCTGTGTGTGTGTGTCACTGCTGTGTGTGTGTCGCTGTGCGTCACTGCTGTGTATGTGTGTCCGTCAAGATCTGTGGGAACATGTATGTGAGTAATTGTGTGAGCGCACATGGCTGTGTTCGTCAGTGTGTTAGTGTCACTGCTGTGTGTGTGTGTGACTATTGACCTATCGGTGTCTGATGTGAATCGAACGTGTTGCTGTGTCCCACAGACAGAGACGTGGCTAAGCCGGTGTTGACTTTACTGCCGCCCTCGACTGAGGAGATATCTAAGGGCACGGCCACGCTGCTCTGCCTGGCCAACCACTTCTTCCCCAACACTCTGCAGTTGGTTTGGCAGAAGGACATGGTGACGGTGACCGACGGAGTCAAGACCAGCGGCTCAGTGACGGGCTCGGACCACAGTTACAGTGTGAGCAGCACCTTAACCCTGCCCGCACAGGTCTGGGCCTCGGACGCCCGCTTCTCCTGTGTCGTCACACACGAAAGCCTCACGGGCCCCCTCACACAGACCATCAGGGCAACCGAGTGCGTGTAGTGACTGTCAATGTCACAGACACCAGCCGGAAGATACAGGGAGAATGAGGCGGGGGTGGCTACAGTCATCCCCGTCTCTCTGACGTGTTCAAATCCCCCCCCCCACCCCACGCACCCACACACATATAGTCTGTAAGCGCTCTTAGATGCTACCCTGCATGAGGGCGCTATGTAAATGCAAGTTGTTATTGTTGAGTAACTGAAGCCCAGAGCGAGCACATCAGCCCTACTGCTGCCCCGCTCACACTCCCCCTGTGCTGGCTTCAGGCCTCTCTCGCAGGCAGCTCGGCTCAGACTCTCAGTTGCTCATTGTATGCCTTTCCCTCTCTGTAAACACCCGGTCGCGTTGAGAAAATAAAATAAAAAAACTTTCAATCGTCGGCAGTGGCTGCTGTTCATTCATGTTTGAGGCTCGGTCAGGGTTGGGGGGGTCACAGCGGAGTCTGACATCTTCATTTTTAAACAGTGCTATTGGAAAAGAGAAGGGAATTTCTCTCTCCCCGGGGCTTGGCTGACAATCCCCCAGATACAATTGATCACTCACCTTACGGCTGTTTGTGGGACGCTGCTATGTGTAAATATGGCTGTCACGTTTCACCGACAAAATACACAGTGACTCCACTTTACAGTATATCTTGTTAAGCGCTTTGAGACCACATTCCGAATGATAAGACGCTATAATTGGTCACTCACCTCACGGATATTTGTGGACGTTGTTGGGTGCAAATTGGCTGCTGCATTTGTTCACAAACACAGTTATTGCACTTCACAGTATATCTTGTGAAGCGCTTTGAGACTTCTTGACGATATAATGCTCTCTATCAAATGTAAGGATTATTGTAAATTATGGGGGAGAGAAGAGGTGAGAATAAACTGTGAGGCACAGGTGATATCTCTACCCGTCTCTGGCTTCCCTGAGGGAAACTGCAGCAATTTCAGCCCAAACACACAAAGCCTTGGACGTCAGATTTTTATTAATTCCACTTTCGCCCATTTTACAACAATTTCCAACAAGAACCAACATCAGAGGCAACTGTACCCAGTGCGGCTCAGTTTAGCTCCCGCCCCGACCACGCCACAGGCAGGACTGAGGCTTTGGGATGTCAGGTTTGTGCTATCCAGACAATTATACCCCCGCCCGGCTAAAAGCCTCCAGGTAGTGCTGGTAACTGTACTCCCAGCCCCATCCTCACCGCTCTCTCCCCCCTTCTCTCTTCATGCACCCACCCTCACTATCTCCTCACCCTTACTGTCTCCCCTACCCCCCTCACTTTCCCTTCATTCCCCCTCACTCTTTCTCCCCCACCATCACTCTTCCCTAACCCACCCTCCCCCTCTCCCACTCCACCGTCACTCACCCCCACCCTTGCTCTCTCTCCCACCACCCTTGCTCTCCCCCCAATCCCCCATCACTCTCTCCACCCCCCACCCTTGCTCTCCCTAACTCCCCCTTCACTCTACCCCCAATCTCGCTCTTTCCCAACCACTCGTATTGACAGGTGTTTGCCCACAAAATACAGTTGGTCCACGTTACAGAAAATAATAATAAATCCTTGCATTTGATATTGCGCTTTATCACAGCGTTGAGACATCTCAAAGTGCTTCACAGGATTTACTGTAAAGTGGAGTGATTGTGTATTTGTGTGCAAAACATGGCAGCCAGTTGTGAATATTGCCATGGGATCTTTAACATCCACCTGAACAGGCAAGCAGGTCCTCAGTTAAAGTCTCATCCAAAGGACGGCATCTCCGACAATAAAACACACCCCCAGCACTGCATTGGAGCGTCAGCTTAGCCTATATGATTTCAAATCCTGATGTGGAGCTTGAATCCTGGGAAACGCTTTGAGATATCTGTTCTCTAACACCACCCTCCTGCCCTGGGAACCTATTAAGAGGTTGAGCAAATACGGGATGCACATGGACTGAGGAACACAAGATCGTGATGGGAGTCACAGTGTTTTACTTTGAGAACATACACACAGTCACTGCACAGCTGTTCGGATGTGGACAGTAAAGTCGGGTCAGGGGTGGAGGCAGAGTCCATTGTGGATGTCATGAGGGACGTGGACGGGTGGATGAGGATAGACTTTTGATAAGGGGGATGGGGAGAGGGCAGTGGTAATGAGAGCTGGGACAGCCTCGCTGGCCTGTGTGTGACTGTGTGTCAGGCACCAGCCAGACACCTCACCACGAGGGGCCTTGTTCAGCGGCTAACAGGATGGAGAGAGAGAGCACAATGGTTCCCACAAAAAGATGTCAGCCGTTTGTTTATGGTTACAATTTGTCCAAATTTAATCTTTTAAGCTTCTTGAAATGATGGTGAAAGAAAAGGGTTAAATGTCCTATTCCTGGCTATAAGCCAACACTGCACATCGCAGCGCAGCAGGACAGAGGGACCTTTCTACCCAGAGAGACAGTCGCACATATGGACTGTTACAGCTGAGACAGACAGCTGTCTCTGTCTCTCTCACACATATACTACAAGAAAAGCCAGTCTAGCTGTGGGGAGCAGTGGTATTTACAGGCTGCGGACAGCAGGGGACGTTGCAGGCAGGGCAGGCCATGCAGTGAGGGTGACGTTGTCCGCTCACAGCCACCAGAACCTGACGTAGACGATCAGCATAACGAAGAAGACGGCCACGGCGGCCAGCTTGGCGTAGGTCGAGCGCATGTTCAGGTACTTGGCGTCTTGTCGGTACTTCTTCGACAGGCTGGAGAGGTTACTGGCCTTGCTGTCCAGTGCTGCAGCCCAGAGGGAGAGAAGGTACACACTGTTACTGCCTCCACTGCAGCTTAGTGACCAAAACAACAGCAACAAATAACATTTACGTAGCGCCTTTCAGGTCAGGAGGACGTTCCAATGCGCTGGATAGTCGGAGATTTACACCTGCGATGGGGTTTGGGATCAGGAGGGATGGAGGGCAGGGAGGGTGGGGAGTGGGAGGGTTGACTGAAGGCGCGGTTGAAGAGGAGGGTCTTGAGACGTGCCTTGAAGGAGGGGGCGAGGCGACGGGACTGTTGGATGAATTTCCAAAGGATAGCGGCAGAGAGGCTGGAGGCCTGACCGCAGATGGTGGGGGAAGAAGGCGGGGAGAGTGGTCAGCTCTGTATGGAGTTAGCAGACCACAGGGGTAGGAAGGCGCAAGGAGGATGAGGATTTCCCCCCCAATTGCTCTCCCCAACCCAGTGTCGCCCCAGCTGATCTGGCTCCAAGGTGACACGTTTGTCAACAACAGAATGTCAAAATCGAGTCAGCCCTCAGTGACGGCCTCTCGTCTGGTCCCTGAACCAGACGATTCCACAGTATTCCAAGCACTGCTGATGACAACACAGCCCAGCCTGGCTTCATCGGCTGGACTGGGAAGCACTTGGAAGAGCAAACCAGTCACTGGGGCAATGGAATCCTCTCACTCAGCTCCTGTTAACCCTGCAAGCCAAAGCCCTAGGGTAGGATGATCCTAGCTGGACAAGCAGCAGGAAAACTTGCCAGAGAGCGATATCAGTGGCAAGCTATGTAGTTTTTGCTGCTTTGTACCAGTCCAGACTGGGGTGAAGCTGGGATGGCTGGCAGGGCTGTGGGGAGGCTGGACTCTCACCCCGAGGCCCAGCTAATGGTGTTACCTGACAGAGCTTCCCCTCTCTGCAGCACTTCCTCAATGTTGGCCACCATAATTCTCTGTACATCCTGCAGCTCGGTATTGATGGAGCCCAGGTTTCGCCGAGCTCTGCTGTCAATGTAGGATTTCTTTGTTTTCTGAATGTAAGTGTCTGAGGCGAGAGAGAGAGCGAGAGAGTGTTAACCCTACACCACTAAGCCACCCAGAGTTAATAATAATATTAACTCGCATATTAACCGGTGAAAAGCACCATATAAAAATGCAAGGATTATAATAATAAATAATATCACGTCGTCGAGACATCTCAAATATCTTCACAGCCTATATTGTAAAGTGACTGTGTATTTTGTGGACGAAACGCGGCAACCAATTTGCACATAGCAACATCCCACAAACAGCCATGGAGTGAGCAACCAATTTTATTTGGGGGAATGTTGGCCAGGACAGAGAGAGAAACTCCCTTCTCTTTTCTAATAGGGCCATGGGATCTTTAACGTCCACCTGAACAGTCAGACGGGGCCTCAGTTTAACGTCTCACACCTCTAAAGTGGCACTGGAGTGTCAGCTTGGACTGTGAGCTCAGAAAGCCCTGATGTGAGGAATGCTCTATTGTGGTGGGGCCTCAGTAATGGAAGCTCACAAACACACACACTGACCGAACTCGATGAAAGAGTACGGCCGGGACACAGTGGGCACCCGCTTGCCGTGCTGCTCGTCAAACTCAGCCTGTAGGTCCTCCAGGTAGGCAAAGGCCAGCTTCTTGGAGTAGGTTGCCTCACACAGCACCAGGTAACACACGCCTTTCTCTATGATGTAGCTGCAAAACAGCAACACAGCGCTAAAATAACGACACGTTACATTTACATAGCGCCTTTTGCATCGGGAGGATGTCCCAAGGTGCTGGATGGTCAGAGATTTGGATCCGAGGTGGAAGTGGGATCAGGAGGGGTGGACGGCAGGGATGGTGGGGTTCGAGGGTAACCAAAGCCATGGTTGAAGAGGAAGGTCTTGAAATGGGAGCTAGGCAAAGGGACTGTGGGATAGAGTTCCAAAGGGCGTGGGCAGAGAGTCTGACGGCCTGACCGACCACTGATGGTAGGGCAGGCCGGAGAAATGGAGCAGGCCATTGCCTTCTGAACGGAGGGAGCAGACAGGTTGTGAAGGTTTTAAGAGACCACGGAGGTAGGATGAAGCAAAACGTAGAGGGCTTTAAAAGTGAGGACGAGGATTTTAAACTGGATCCTGCGGGGGTTGAGAGCCAATACTGGCAGCTCCCGCTGAGCAACGAGGTGAGTGAGAGTCAAGCTACAACGTCACAAGCCATCAGAGGGTTTACACTGTGAGCAGAGACTGGGGGAACTGGGGCTCTCTCCACACCTACACCGGAGGTTGGCAAACCTGCTGGAGGTTTTTAAACAACAAGAGTTTTGAATAATGTGAACGTGGAGGAACGATTGTTGCTGTTCCGTAACTGGAGGCACAGGTAGAGAGAGGTTAGATGAATTTTCACACAGACAGACGGGAGACACAGACAGATGCAGATAGACGGACACAGACGCAGACACAGACACAGACACAGTGGAGGAAGGAGATTAGAGTTTGGACACACGGACACAGAGACTTACTGGAAGGAGGCAGCTCCGGCCTCCAGAGTGCAGCGGGTGGGCGACTGCTCGTTCAGTTTGCGGAACAGCTGCTTGGCCTGGCTCTGATAGTGCTGCAGGTCCCGGCCCGACTGAAACACAGAGAGAAAGTCAGTCACTAGGGGCCCCTGAGTGAGCAACATCCCAATACAACAACAACAAATTACACTTGTAAAGCACCCTTCATGTCGGAAAACATCCCAGGGCGTTGGACTCGGGTTTTTGAACCCGAGATGGGAGTTGAGGTCAGGAGGGGCGGAGGGGAGTTGCGGTGGCTAAAGGTTCAGTCGAAGAGGAAGGTCTTTAAGACGGGACTTGAAGGAGGCAAGAAAGGGGGTGAGGCGGAGAGATGCGGGAGAGTTCCAGAGTGTGGGGGCAGAGATGGTGAGTGCCTGACCACCATCTCTGACCCTACACTCTGGAACTATCCCACATCTCTCCGCGGCGGGAAGTGCGGGGGACCTGAAGCAGCCGGTGTTCGCCAAGCAGAGGGAACGGACAGGCTGATATGGGGTTAGGAGGTAGGAGAGGTAGGGGAGAGCAAAACCATGGTGGACTTTGAAGGTGAGAACGAAGGTTTTGTGCTTGATTCTCTGAGGAATGGGGAACTAGTGCAAGAACTGGAGTGATTGGTTCGCGGAGCCTCGTGCGAGAGAGGACACGAGCTGCAGAGTTTTGAATAATCTGCTGCTTGTGGAGGGAAGAGTTGGGAAGTTCTGCGAGCAGGCAGTTGGCATAGTCAAACCGGGAGAGTAGATCATCACAGGCAATTCCTCTCCGCTGATCTACCCCAGAAAATCACTCACTCTCTCCATGGCTGTTTGTGGGATATTGCTGTGAATACTGGCAGCATCATTCACCTAGAAAATACACAGTCACTACACTTTACAGTCTATCTGTGAAGTGCAATGAGCGGAGCCTCCCAATGTGAAAGGCGCTGCATCAGATGATAGGATTATTAGTGTATTAATAATGATAATCCTTTCATTTCACATAGCGCCTTATCACATCATCAAGACGTCTCACTGTGCTTCACAGGATTTATTGTAAAGCGTAGTGACTTGTATTTTGTAGGCAAACGCAGCAGGAAATTTGCACATAGTAGTGTCCCACAAACAGCCACGGAGCGAGTGAGTAATTTTATCAGGGGAATTGTCGGTCAGGACATCAGGAGAGAGAAAACTGCCTTCTCTTTTCAAATAGTGCCGTGGGATCTTTAACACCCACCTGAACAGGCAGATGGGATCTCGTTTTAAAGTCTCATCCGAAGCACATCTCTCACAATGTAACACCCCCAGCGCTGCATTGGAGCTTAGACTATGTGATTCCAACTCCGGAGGTAGGACCTCACAACCTTAGAGGCGAGCGAACCATACTGATAAGAACATAGGAATTTGCTCAGGAAAGAAGATCGAGGTCCACCCAACTCCCTTCCTCCAACTGGCATTTCCATGGCAATCGCTTGACAAGTTGTGTCCCAGACTATATAAGAACATAACACATAATCTGTATGTATTGTACTACTCGCAGTGTGTGCGATAGATGGGGGGGGGGAACAGTGTACTGGGGGGAGGGGGGGCAGTGTACTGGGGGGGGGGGCAGTGTACGGGGGGGGCAGTGTACGGGGGGGGGGCAGTGTACTGGGGGGGCAGTGTACTGGGGGGGCAGTGTATGGGGGGGGCAGTGTACTGGGGGGCTGTTATGGGGGTTGGGGCAGTGTAGGGGGGAGGGGGATGTTATGGGGGCAGTGTACTGGGGGTGTTGTTATGGGGGGCAGTGTACTGGGAGGGCAGTGTAGGGTTGAAGGGGCTGTTATCGGGGGGGGGGCAGTGTAGGGGAGGGGGTTATCGGGGGGGGGGCAGTGTAGGGGGAGGGGGTTATCGGGGGGGGGGGGGCAGTGTAGGGGAGGGGGTTATCGGGGGGGGGGGCAGTGTAGGGGAGGGGGTTATCGGGGGGGGGGGGGGGGGGCAGTGTAGGGGGAGGGGGTTATCGGGGGGGGGGGGGGGGGGGGGGGGGGGGGCAGTGTAGGGGGGGGGGTTATCGGGGGGGCAGTGTAGGGGGGGGGGGGGTGGGGGGAGGGGGGCAGTGTGGGGGGGGGTTATCGGGGGAAGGGGGGCAGTGTAGGGGGGAGGGGGGTTATCGGGGGGAGGGGGGCAGTGTGGGGGAGGGGGGTTATCGGGGGAAGGGGGCAGTGTAGGGGAGGGGGTTCGGGGGAGGGGGGGGGGTATCGGGGGGGGGGGGCAGTGTAGGGGGGAGGGGGTATCGGGGGGGGCAGGTAGGGGGGGGGTAGGGGGGGGGGGGGCAGTGTAGGGGGAGGGGGTTATCGGGGGGGAGGGGGGGCAGTGTAGGGGAGGGTATCGGGGGGAGGGGGCAGTGTAGGGGAGGGGGTATCGGGGGGGAGGGGGGGGGGGGGCAGTGTAGGGGGAGGGGGTATCGGGGGAGGGGGCAGTGTAGGGGAGGGGGTATCGGGGGGAGGGGGGCAGTGTAGGGGGAGGGGTATCGGGGGAGGGGGGGCAGTGGGGAGGGGGTTATCGGTGTAGGGGGAGGGGGTTATCGGGGGAGGGGGCAGTGTAGGGGGGAGGGGGTATCGGGGGGAAGGGGGGCAGTGTAGGGGGAGGGGGTATCGGGGGAGGGGGCAGTGTAGGGGGAGGGGGGTTATCGGGGGGGAGGGGGGCAGTGTGGGGAGGGGGTATCGGGGGGAGGGGGGCAGTGTAGGGGGGAGGGGGTTATCGGGGGGTTATCGGTTACCAGGAGGTGTTACCGGGGGCGGTTACCGGGTGTCACCTGCTCATCTTCCTGCATGGAGGCCGCGAGTGGCAGCCCGTCTGCCACCCGCGCGATCATCGTCAGGAGAACCATGGCGCCGGGCGGCTGTCAGTCCGGGGCCGGTCTCCGCTGTGGCCTCTCGCGGGCTGGGATGAGCTGGCCGGAAGCTGCCGGCGGCTATGGCGTCCCCACCGCCCCGCACCAACATGGCGGCCTCTGTACGGCACCGCATCGCCCTCGCCCCGCACCAACATGGCGGCCTCTGTACGGCACCGTGTCCCCCCCCCCCATCGCCCCGCACCAACATGGCGGCCTCCTTGTACGGCTTTGCGTTCCCCCGCCCCACAAATATGGCAGCCACTGCGCAGCCGAGCCGAGCCGGACCGGGCCGCCAGGCTGCACGCGCGCTAAGTCATCCGATGGGCGGACGCGGGCGCCGGACTCTGGTTCCGGGTGCGCTGACGTGGCGGTGGAGCCGGTGTGTGTGTGTGTGTGTGTGGGGGAGAAGAGAGCGCGATAGTGACGTCAGCGTCACGTGCCGTGAGTGTGCGTCACGTGCCGATCGCCGCCTGACCTGCAGTGACCTCAGCGGGTCACGTGCTCTGCTGGATTTTCCAGCTTCTCAAGTTAATTTGGTTAATGAAGAAAAGTTACCGAATGTTGTTGGGGGGCGGGTGTGCAATAATAATCATCATCACCATCATCATCATCATCTCATCTTTGCATTTGATGCAATGTCGTTATCACGTGGTTGAGAATGTCTCGAAGCGCTTCACAGGATACACTGTAAAGTGCAGTGACTGTGGATTTTGTGGGCGAAACGTTCTTTGTCCTTCATTGCTTTCCTCAGTTCAGGTGATGGGTGAACACACGATTGCTTTATCGTTTCACAACAACGACAGATTGTGTTTACCGAAGCGCCTTTCCCGCCCGGGGGGGTGGGGGGGGGGGGTTCTTGCCGGATTGCGGGGCGTTGCTTTGAGCAAAATCGGCTGCAGCGTTCACCCACCGCAAAGCACACAGTCACTTTGCTTTTGTCACGGTCACCCATTTGTTTTGTACTCCTGTCTGTTGGTTAAGATATGTTCTGTAAAGCTTATGTGTTCACGGAAAGCGTTGGCCAGTGTAGGTGCGGTTAGTAATTGCCGATTGCGGTCGGAAAGTGACGAAGTTCGGTAGGACCCGGTGCGTGTGCATTGTAAATATATTGAGTCGCCCTTTAAATACATTTTTTTTTAATGTGTTTAACGTTTTTGATACTTATCAAACAAGGAATAGACCAGCAAAACGTGGAAAGAGACGGGGGAGAAATGTGGAGCGGATTAAGCCCGTCTTGGAGTGCATGTGTGTAAAAGCACCAATAAACGTGGTGAGCTGCGGCTCAAGTTGCCACATGGGGCTACGATGTAGTGGCAATTACGGAGACTTGGTTCAAGCAAGGACAGGAATGGGAGCTGAACATTCCTGGCTACAACCTATTCAGGAGGGATAGGGAGGGGAAAAAAGGAGGAGAGGTGGCAATACTCCTTAGGGACACGGTCATGGTCCTGGAAAAGGACAATGTGTTGGAGGGTCCAAAAACTGAATCTATTTGGTTAGAGTTACGGAGCAGAAAAGGAGCTGTTACTCTATTAGGTATTTACTATAGACCTCCAAATAGCGGGAAGGAGATAGGTGAGCAAATCTGCAAGTAGGTTTTGGAGAGATCCAAAACCAATATAGTGATAATGGGGGATTTCAATTATCCTAACATTGACTGGGAAACACACAGTGTAAAGGGCAAGAAAGGGGAGGAATTCCTGAAATGTGTGCAGGAGAACTTTCTGGATCAGCATGTTTCCAGCCCAATGAGGAAGGAAGCAGTGCTGGATTTTGTTCTGGAAAAGGAAGTGGGACAAGTGGAGCAGGTTTCAGTAGGAGAGCATCTGGATAACTGTGATCACAATATCATTAGGTTCAGAATAATTATGGAAAAGGACAACAATCAATCGAAGGTAAAGACTCTCAACTGGAAGCGGGATAATTTCAGTGAGCTAAAAAGGGACCTGGCCAAGATAATAATAATAATAATAATCCTTGCATTTGATATAGCACTTTTCACGTCGGGAGGATGTCCCAAAGCGCTTCACAGAACACACTGTAAAGTGAATTGACTGTATATAATTTTTGTGGGCGAACGCGGCAGCCAATTGTGCACAGCAATGTCCCACAAACAGTCGTAGATTGAAAATGACCAATTTATTATTGTTTTTGGTTTTGGAGGGATTATTATTAGGCTCTGTGTGGAGTAAGGAAACTTGCCCAAGGTTTCGCCCTCTGCCTGGAATTCAGGTCTCTCGCTTGCAAAATGAGTGCTCTAACCACTGAGCTACAGGACTCCACAGAGATAGATTGTAAAGAAAGATTGGTAAGTAAGAGAGCAAACGAACAATGGGAAGCCTTCAAGGAGGAGATAGTTCGGGGACAGAGCAAATACATTCCTACAAAGGAGAAAGGTAGGACAGTCAAACTCCCTGGATGACTAAGGAAATTGGGATTAAAATAAAATAGAAAAAGGAGGCTTATGACAAATGTAAGGTCCAAAACACACAGGATAATCAACTAGAATATAGGAAGTACAGAGGAGAAATGAAAGGGAAATAAGAAAGGCGAAGAGATTGTACGAGAAAAGATTAGCAGGAAACATAAAAGTGAACCCTAAGGTATTTTATAAGCATATCAAGAGTAAAAGGTTAGTCAAAGGTAGGATGGGTCCAATTAGGGACCCTAGTGGAATTTTTCTTGTTGAGGCAGAGGGCATGGCTGATGTACTAAATAAGTAACTTGCAACTGTCTTCACAAAAGAAGACGATGCAACCAATGCCGCAATATTGCAGAAATTGGATGTGATAAAAATCAACAGAGAAGAGGTACTAAAAAGGCTGTCGGTGCTCAACAGAGATAAATCACCTGGTCCAGATAGGATGCATCCTAGGTTACTGAGGGAAGCAAGGGTGGAAATAGCGGAGGCTCTGGCCACAATCTTTCAATCCTCTTTGGACACTAGAGTGGCGCCAGAAGACTGGGAGGCTGCAAATGTTACTCCCCTGTACAAAAAGGGGCAGAGGGATAAACCTGAGGATAAATAAAGGATAGTCAACACGGATTTGTTGAAAGCAGATCGTGTCTGACAAACCTAAAAGAATTTTTTGATGAAGTGACTGAGAGGGTGGATGAAGGTAGTGCAGTAGATGTAGTTTATCTAGATTTTCAAAAGGCATTTGACAAAGTGCCACATAAGAGACTTATAGAATAGAATAGAATAAAATAGAATAAAATAAAATAGAAGCCCACGGTATTAAAGGACCAGAACTAGGAGACAGAAAGCAGAGAGTGGTAGTAAACGGTTGCTTTTCTGACTGGAGGGAGGTATGTAGTGGTGTCCCTCAGGGGTCGGTATTGGGTCCACTGCTCTTTCTGATCTATATTAATGATCTGGACCTGGATATAGGGAGCAAAATTTCCAAATTTGCAGACGATACTAAGCTAGGAAAAGTAGTTAATGGTGAGGAGGACAGCACCAGACTTCAAGAGGACTTAGACAGATTGGTAAAATGGGCAGAAACGTGGCAGATGAGGTTTAATGTGGAAAATTGCGAAGTGTTGCATTTTGGTAGGAAGAATGAGGAGAGGCAGTATAAGCTGATGGTATAATCTTAAAGGGGACAAATAAACAGAGAGACCTTGGGGTCCACATAAGCAAATCTCTGAAGGTGACAGGACAGGTAGATAAAGCTGTTAAAAAAGCATACGGGATACTAAGTTTTATAAATAGGGACATAGAATTCAAGTCAGGAGGTTATGTCGAATATTTATAAAATGCTGATTGGGCCTCAGTTGGAATACTGCGTTCAGTTCTGGGCACCGCACTTCAGGAAAGATGTTAGGGCATTGGAGAGGGCGCAAAGAAGGTTTACCAGGATGGTACCAGGAATGAAGGATCTTAATAATAATAATAATAATCCTTGCATTTGATATAGCGCTTTTCACGTCGGGAGGACATCCCAAAGCGCTTCACAGAACACACTGTAAAGTGAATTGACTGTATATTTGTGGGCGAACGCGGCAGCCAATTGCGTACAGCAATGTCCCACAAACAGTCGTAGATTGAAAATGACCAATTCATTATTGTTTTTGTTTTTTTGAGGGATTATTATTAGGTGTGTGGAGTAAGGAAACTTGCCCAAGGTTTCGCCCTCTGCCTGGAATTGAACTCAGGTCTCTCGCTTGCAAAGCGAGTGCTCTAACCACTGAGCTACAGGACTCCACAGTTATGAGAAGAGGTTAGTGAAACTAAGATTATTCTCCGTAGAGGAGAGAAGATTAAGAGGGGATTTAATAGAGGTTTTCAAGATCATGAGAGGATTTGATAGGTTGAACCGGGAAAAACTGTTTCCATTGGCATGTGGGTCCCGAGGACACCGATTTAAGATAGTTGTTAAAAGAAACAGAAGGGAGTTTAGGAAAAAAAATTCACCCAGCGAGTTGTTCGGATCTGGAATGCATTACCTGAAAGGGTAGTGGAAGCTGATTCAATAACAACTTTTAAGAGAGAAGTAGATGGGTATTTGGGGAGGACAGGATTGCAGGGCTATGGAGAGAAAGCGGGCCAGTGAGATTGAGTTGGATTGCTCTTTTAGGAGCCGGCGCAGATACGATGGGCTGAATGGCCTCTTTCTGTGCTGTATGATTCTATGATTCTATGATCAAGTCTGACTAGTGTTGATTGCAAAAATTTGGCGGGGCAACTGACTATAATTTACATAAGTGGATAGGAAGGTGTTCTGTTTCCCTATTGGGTCACTTAAATGATGATTTTGATTGTACCATAAGCCAATTAACACTGGGTACCTTAATTTGGAGAGGGGCACAATATCCATAAAAGAACGAAAGCCATGTGCTCGGAGTCCCTTTTTTCTACCTGATAACACTGCTGTACGCAATTGGCTGCCGAGTTTCGCCCACAAATATAGTCAATTTACAGTATATTCTGTGAAGTGTTTTGAGATGTCTAGAAGACATGAAAAGCACTATATCAAATGCAAGGATTATTATTATTATTATAACAAAAGGTACGTGCTCTGACTATTTGATGAGTCATAGTCAGAGGTTGGTTCTTCGTGCACTTTACATTAACTTCATTACAATTCACTGCTAGGATGTACAGTTTAAATGTGATGAATGTTTGTTATCTCATAGTTGGGTTTGTTTATATTTATCGTGTTGCTGAAGATTTACTGCCGAGGGTTGTGGATTTCATCAAAGTTACAATAAAATTCTGTTGAGTTTACTTAACCGTGCTTACTCAAGTTTTCCGTATAAATCAAAGGAGGGAATACACAAATAGGTTTAGCATAGGTCACAGAGGTGTAAAATAAACCTCTGATTGACTGAAGCTTCCCAATTTGCTTTAAGTTAAATAACAAGTTTCCTTACTCCACATGTAAGTAGGAACCCGGTTGTTAGTCGATTGGTGGATCGTTTTCTCGGGGTAATAATCCTTCCAAAAAAACGTGGTCACTCAATCCATATTGTTTGTGGGACATTGCTGTGCACAAATGGCTGCCGCTTTTAGAGGTCTCAACGATGTGATGAGGTACTATATCACAGGCAAGGATTATTATTATTAGTATTGTTTGAAAATGTAAAGTGCTGGAGGATTGCTTTGGGTGTTCTTTCAGTTGAAAACAAATTTCAGAGAAAGAGAAACAAGGCCTGGCAGACTTTATTCCAGGGTTGCACTCACTGTAAACAGCCCGGGTGATCCCTTATAAACTCTGGTTGTTTTGCACTTTGTCCCAGCGGCTGGGGGAGAGATGGGCTCAGTGTGCCGGGCTGGTTGTGGCTATCTCCTGGCGGTGTTGTGGCAACTGCACTTTGGCAAAGTGTAGAGCAGCTAGAGCGCACGGCTCCAGGATCTCTAGCCGGGTCCTGAGATTCACGTCGGTGGGAGGAGGGGCGGAGAGAAGCAGGATACACGTCTCTCCTGGGCTGACTGGAGACACGGAAAGCGATCCTTACACTGGCCATCCTTATCACAGTAACCTCCACACAGAGGGCAAAGCTCAGCCTCGCTCTGTGCACACACCAGGCTTCACAAACACAAACCAGGCTGACCCAGGAGAGACGGAGAGCGCTTACTGTACGTTTAAACACAGACGCGACAGTAAATCCAGGGAGACGCTTTCAGAAACCTGCCTGATAAGGAAGGCGCTGTATCAAACGTAAGGATTATTTACAATGGTCGCGTCACACCATTGGAAATGTGGCTGTAATTAGCACGATTGTCAGTATTTCTCTGACCGACAGTCGACTGGCTGGTGACAGAGGTTAAGGTTAGTGTGCGGGGATTATTTGGTAAAACAGCACAAAGGGAACTCCATTCCCACAGTCATCTCGGTCAAGGTCCGTCTTGAGAGTCCTGTAGCTCAGTGGTTAGAGCCCTCGCCTTACAAGCGAGACACCTGGGTTCAATTCTAGGCAGAGGGCGAAACCTTGGGCAAGTTTCCTTACTCCACACACCTAATAATAATCCCTCCAAAACAAAACAATAATAAATTGGTCATTTTCAATCAACGACTGTTTGTGGGCACTGCACTGAGTAATTGGCTGCCGCGTTTCGCCCACAAATATACAGTCAATTCACTTTACATTATATTCTGTGAAGCGCTTTGAGACGTCGAGAAAACGTGGAAAGCGCTATATCAAATGCAAGGACTATTATTATTATTACCTCCTCTGAACATACTCTGGATTGTCTTTCATCTTCTCCCAACCCCCTCAGCTCCCAATCCCAGCAGCGCTTTGTAACATCCTCCCAATGTGAAAGGTGCTGTATAAATTATAATAAATTATAATAAATTGTAAACTCATGTTCAAATCCCTTCACTCTCCAGCCCATCCCTACCTCTTCAATCTCCTCATTTCCCAATCCACCACCCAGCGCCTCCACTCGACTGGCACCAGCCTCCTGCTCATCCCTCACACCCTCCGCCCACACCATCAGAGATCACACTTTCAGCCACTACGCCAGAAACTCTGGAACACTCTCCCTCAATCCCTCCATCTTGCCCCCTCTCTCCCGTTTTCAAGTCCCGCCTGAAAACCTTCCTTTTGGACCGTGCTTACGCCATCTCCCACCCCCATTCGGCTCGGAGTTAGGCTCTGCCACTGTTAAGCACTCTGAGCCACTACCCTGCATGGAGGGCGCTATATAAGTGCAAGTTGTTGTTGTCGAAAACTGAATTGTCTTTAACCCGTGCTGTGGCTCACTTGGGAGTGTGGATGGACAATATAGAGGGAGCCCAGACGGGAATCAGGGCAGTGAGCTCTCAGCCTGCTCAGGCTCACATTGATGAGGAGCTGGGGAGGACAGGATTTGGGACAATAGTAGCAAGTGGGAAACGCCCGAACCATTGGAATGTTTTACAAATGGACTAAATGGGATTCGGTCATTGGGATTCTATACAATGGGGGGTATGGGAGGTGGGTTTAGGATGGGACTATCCTCCTGGGGGATGTGGGTGGGTGGGGAGGAGGCAAGTGGAGTCTCCTTGAAGCTGAACTGGCTCCATGTCAAATACAAGCCAACCCTCTGTGACGATCTCTAGTCCAGTTCTTGAGCCAGGCCGGTCTAAAGTATTCCAGGGCGCTGCTGATGACAGCACAGCCCAGCCTGGCTCACCTCCAAAAAAACAAAACAATAATAAATTGGTCATTTTCAATCTACGATTGTTTGTGGGACATTGCTGTGCGCAATTGGCTGCCGCATTTGCCCACAAATATACAGTCAATTCACTTTACAGTATAGTCTGTGAAGTGCTTTGGGACGTCCTCCCGACGTGAAAAGCGCTATATCAAATGCAAGGATTATTATTATTATTATTATTATTGGAGGGGCAGATCAGTCACTTGCGGCAGGGAATCCTCCCACTCAGCTTCCATTAATCCTGCAATCCAAATCCCCAACCGGGAGGGTGGTCCTAGCTGGACAAGTAGTGGAAATAGAGTGATGGGAGGGGGTTGGAGTGGATGAGAGGGGGTTGGAGTGGATGGGAATGTGTATTTGACTGACTTTGTGCTCCTGCCAGAGTGGCCGGGCACTGGACAGAGATCCCGAACACAGTCAACGCCTCAAATGAGCTCCAGGACGGGGTACCGGGCTGCTCCCGAGTGCAGAGTGAGCTACCCCAGGGGACCTACTGATGCTGGCTATAGTTGTGAAGAACGTCTGCCTGAGGGGCCGCAGTACAGGCCTGACGGGCACTACAGGCCCAGGTCCAGGGCAGGCCTCCCCAAACCCAGCCCCCTGACACCACAGCCCAGCTCAGCCCCTTCCCCTCACAGACCTCCCCATAGCCTTCACTCAAGGTAAGCCTGACCCACTGCCCCTGGCTCTCAGCAGCGAGGGTGGGTGGGGGTGGTCGGGGGGGGGGCGATATTTACTGCAGCAACTCATAACGTGAGATTTTAATGGGAAATCTATTCTTCCTCTTTCTCTAGCGCTATCTTCCTCTTCCTCTACCCTCACAACCATTGTAATATTTTAGAGCAGATTATGAAAGCTCGTACTATTATGATTCTGGCTACGGACACGGACACCGAGGAGCATATGGAGACTATGGACATTATGGTGGAGATTACGGGGGCTATTACCAGGGTTACCAAAGACACCAGCACCCTTACCAGGGTGAGTCACAACAACAACAAATTATATTTGTACAGCGCCTTTCATGTCGGGAGGACGTCCCAAGTGCTGGACACGTCAGGGATTTATACAGAGTTATCTAGGGATACTGCAGGGTAACAGGCCATTGGGTCCAACACCATGCTGATGTTTATTGACACTCAACTGGGAAGTGATTATGTGTCACAATGCGCTGGAATACCATTAAATTAAAATAAACTCTTTTTCTGTGGACGTCTCAATGATAACGTGTGTTAATGGGTGGCTGCTTGGATTAGTTGGCTGCGCTCTCACCTCTGGACCAGAAGGTTGAGGGTTTAAGCCCCACGTCAGGGACTTTGAGCTCACAGTCCAGCCTGACGCTCCAGCATAGTGCTGGGGGAGCCCTGCATTGTTAGAGGTGCTGTTCTTCAGATGAGACTTTAAACCGAGGTCCCGTCTGCCTTTTCAGGTGGATGTTAAAGATCCCAGGGCACTATTCTAAAAGAGAAGAGAATATCTTTCTCCCAGTGTCCTGGCCAACAATCCCCCAAATAAAGTTGGTCACTCACTCCATATGTGTGTATATGGGATATTTCTGTGCGCAAATTGTTCACCTACAAAATACACAGTCACTACATTTGACAGTATACCTATAAAGCACTTTGAGACAACCTAATGATGTGATAAGGCGCTATAATAAATGTAAGGATTATTGCCGTTAATATAGTTATGTAATTATTCTGAATGTATTTGCTGTGAAGCTATCGGTGATAATGTTTAGGGTAATTGTGGAGTTCCATAGTGTAGTGGTTAGTCCGCTCACCTCGCAAACGAGAGGACCCGAGTTTGCTTCCCGGCCAGGGCGAAACCTTAGCCAAGTTTCCTTACTCCACACGCCTCTGTTTACCTAGCAGTAAGCAGGAACCCGATTATTAGTCAATTAGTGGATCGCTTTCCCGGAGTAATAATCCCTTAAAAAAATGTCACTCAATCGACAACTGTTTGTGGGACACTGCAGTGAGCAATTGGCTGCTGTGTTTTGCCCACAAATATACAGTCAATTCACTTTACAATATATTCTGTGAAGCGCTTTGAGACGTCTCAGCAACCTGATCAGGTGCTATATTAAATGGAAGGATTATTATTATTATAATAATGGGTGTTTGTCTCTGTAGATGGTGACCGTTGGAGTGAGTATGCGGGAGGTCAGCACCGGGGGCCGAGGGCAGAGCCCAGTGAGCTCCCTCGTTACCCCCCCATTGGATACCACCCTCACTGGGCACACGATGCTCCGAGAGACGTCTGGCACAGGTAAATACAGCCTTCTTCATACTGAGCGCCTCACTCACCCTTCCCACACACACCAGCGGCCTTCCCACACACACAACATGGCCAACTCTTGGGTCCGGGGAGAGGGAGGGTGGTGAGTCCTGTAGAGTTTAGGAGGAAGGGAAGAGCGAGGGAGATAATAATAATAATTCTTGCATTTGATATAGCGCCTGATAAAGTCTTCGAGATGTCTCAAAGTCCTTCACAAGTTATGCTGTAAAGTGAATTGACTGTGTATTTTGTGGGCGAAACGCAGTAGTCAATTGCGGACAGCAGTGTCCCTCAAACTATTGTGGATTGAATGACCCAATTATTATTTGATGAGGAGTCCTGTAGAGTGTAGGAAGAAGGGAAGACTCTTAATGGTGATCTCTGTGAGGACCATCTCCCTGAAACAGTGATGGGGAACTTCCTGTGTGAGATGTGGATCTGTTGCAAATTGATGATTCCAAATACGGCAAATCTTCAGCAATCAGACAAATACTAACGTGTGGTTTCTCTCTTGTTCTCTTGTCTGTCTCTCTCTGACTCTTTCCCTTTGTCTCTGTCTGTCTCCCACTCTCTGTCTGTCTCTCACTCTGTGTCTGTCTCTCACTCTGTGTCTGTCTCTCACTCTGTCTGTCTCTCACTCTGTCTGTCTCTCTCTGAGTCTCTCCGTCTGTCTCTCTCGCTCCCCCTGTCTATCCTTGCTGTGTCTGTGTCTGTTTTCTCTCTGTCTCTGCCTCCATCTTTCTCTCGTTCTCCACACACCGTGATCACCATCCCCCTGAATCCAGGGGGACCCAGGAAGCTGGTTACGTCCAAGGTTATGATGACTGGCTGCCTGACCACTCAGATCGCTATGATAACCACCGACCTGACCACGCAGATCGCTACGACAACCATCGTGGAGATGCCCATGGAGAGGTATTGACGCTGTTAACCCCTCGATCATCGAACCATTTCCTGATTCACCTCCATGTCTCTCCCAATCACAAGATGGGTTTGGGTGAAGGAGACCCTTTGGCCCATTTGATCTCCTCCTTCCACAACACCCACCCCACCCATTACCCTCGCACAGCGCCAGCCGTTCTAGATATGAATCTCTTTCCCTTACAGGGCTGTCCTGTGCTGTGTCTTTGTCGTGAACATGGGGTGTAAACCAAATGCAATGAGAGAGGCTTTTTTATTCTACATTTCCTTGAGTTTGCAAGGTTGAGGGGTGTTTAAAATAATAAAGAGTTTCAATAGGGTAGATACAGAGAAATTATTTCCTCTGGTGGGGGAATCCAGAACAAGGGGGCATCATCTTAAAATTAGAGCGAGGCCATTTAGGAGTGAAATCAGGTAGTGGAAAGAGTAGTGGAAATCTGAAACTTTCCCCCATCAAAAAGGCTGTGGATGCTGTATCGATTTAAATGTTCAAGACTGAGGTGGATAGATGTTTGTAAGGTCAAGGTATCAAGGGATATGGGGCAAGGGTGGGTAAATGGAGTTGAGGTACAGATCAGCCATGATCTAGTACAGAGTGAGCCAATCTTGTAGCTGCTGAGGGCCGGATGCCTATTTGAGAAACGTCCGAAAAGCAAATGTTTTGTGTCTTCCTTCTAGAAACAGGTTATAGAAGGACCGGGTGGTCCAGATGAAATGGAGGGAGGGAGAGGGCAGAAGAAATCGACCCGTGGGCTGCCAATTGGACCAACCTGATGTAGTAGAATGGCAGAACAGTCTTGAGGAGCTGAATGGCCTCCTACTGTTCCTGTGGAATGGGGACTGATGCTGTTTCCCTTTCAGACGGTGAAGTCTGGCCTGGAGGTCAGGAGCCTGGCAGAGATGCAGGAGTCGGGGCTGACTTCCAGCAGTTATGAGCTGAGCCAGTACATGCAGGGCTGTGTTGGGTTTGACAGCTCACCTGTGCCCCAGGACTGGAGCTCGGCCCCAGCAGGTAACACACAATCCGTTAGCGATCCACTGAACTCACAGGGGATTCAGTCGGGGCTCTCTGCTGGTTCAGGGCTGGTTTAAGGGAAATCTATTTGGAGAAAGCTCTTTTTTAATAATAATAATCCTTGCATTTGATACAGCGCCTTATCACGTCTTCGAGACGTCTCAAAGCACTTTACAGAATAAAGTGAATTGACTGTATATTTTGTGCGCGGAACGTGGCAGCCAATTGCACACTGCAGTGCCCACAAACAGCTATGGATTGAGTGACTAATTTATTATTATTATTTATTTTGGAGGGATTATTACCTTGGAAAGCAATCCCCCAATCAACTAACAACCAGGTTCCTACTTAGTGCTAGATAAATAGAGGAGTGTGGAGTAAGGAAACCTGCCTCAGGTTTCGCCCTGCCCGGGAATCGAACCCGGGTCCTCTTACTTGAGAGGCAAGTGCTCTAACCACTAAGCTACAGGACTCCACTTTTTAATATAGTTATTACATGCCTTGTTATAGCGTTGACTTGGTTATAACACCGGAGCCACGTGGACCTCCTTTACCCCGTGTGCGTGCAGCTGGACGCCTCTCATGTTCACATGGCTGACTTCCAGGTCATCAGATCACCACCGACATCACTTCTTGTGTGCAGGCAGAGAGAGATCTGGCGACCTGGAAGTTGGCCATTTTTTCATCATCCTAATGGTAATAACCCTTACATTTTATACAGTGCCTTATCAGTCAGCAAACCATCCCAAAGCACTTCACAGGGATTTACTGTTAAATTATAGTGACTGGGTGTTTGTAAGGGGAAGGGGCGTTAGTGTGGACAGACGTGTGTCATTGCTGGGTGTTGGTGCAGACAGATGTGTGGCAGTGTTAGCTGGGTGTTGGTGTACCTCTCTGTCTCGCTGTCTTACTGACTGATTCCCTGTGTGCAGTGATCTCTACTACCCGAAGGCCAGTCACTCCGCTGAAGTACAACGTTCCCCATGTCAGGGCGTCGTTCAGCCCGGGAGGTCACATCGTGCAAGTCTGCCCCACCCTGCCTTCCGATGGAGAGCCAGCCTTGGTGGAGCTGCACAGCCTGGAGGTGAGTGAGTGTCAGTTTCTCCATAACACAGCCGCAGCCCCCAGTGTCTCTCCCTAACCTAACCACAGGCACAGCCCCCCCAAGCCGTCGCAGCTTCACCCCGGTCTGTACTGTTACTAACCAACTAAAACCACATAGCTTGCCATTGATATCGCTGTCTGGTAAGCTTTCCTGTACTTATCCATCTAGGACCACCTTACCCGTTAGGGCTTTGGCTTGCAACATTAACAGGAGCTGAGTGGAATGACTCCTTGCCCCCAATGACTGGTCTGTCCTTCTAAGTCCTGCTGATGATCCGGGTTGGATGCACTGTCATCAGCAGTGCCCTGGAGTACACTCTGTTACCTGAGCTGGGCTGTGCTGGCCTCAGGCCTGTATGCAGCCAGCGGACACTCTGACACTCACTATCGTTCCTACAGGTCATCCTGCACGGCACACAGGAGCAGGAGGAGATGAGAGCTTTTCCTGGGCCTCTAGTGAGGTAATAGCTGCTCACAGTCACTGGCTGAACAGCTGGAGACTGGGGAATACCCAGCGGGGCTGTGGTGTGGGGGAGGGGCACTAGGCGTGGGCAGGTGGGGGGAGGATGCTGGGCGTTGTTGAGTCTTGGGGGCATGGTGGGAACAAGGAGGGTCGCCATTACACACAGGCGGGGTGCACCAGGCGCGAGCGCGAGTAGCACTGAACACAGTTTGGGGGCCAGTGGGCATGGGTTGGGTGGGTGTTGCCCAGGTACAGGTGTGTGTGGCCAGCGCTGGGCAGAGGTGAGGGGCACGGTGGGGCTTTGGCAGTGAGAGGCCGCGTGACGGGAGCTGCTCTCCTCACAGGGCGCAGCTACCCAAGGTGGAGGTGATGATGTTTTGCCAGCGGAGAGCGGAGGAGTGTGGGCAGAGTGCCAGCCTGCTGGATCGCCGGTCTGCTGCCTGTATCTGGGATCTACTGGCCTTTCTGTGCAGGCACAATGGGGTGAGCGTCAGTGACTACAGTAAGACTCGCACAAGTCTTACCTTTATTAATCATATAATCGCCTAAGTCATACATTCATCTGAGTCCCGTTCAGTTTCCTATCAAAACCACTTAGGATTAATATCACTGGTGCAATGAAATCTAACTCGTAAACGCTGCTCCCCTACTCTCCATTACTCCCTGCACTTACCGCAGGCCTTCAATCATGGGAAATGACGTCCTGACCCATTGACTCTTGCGCACTTACCGTCTGACAGCACTGAGTCACGGGAAACGTAGTGTTCATCCGTTGACGCGTGCGCAGAAGAACTTCCCTTCCCGAGATTCAACATCATTCCAACGCTTGCCGGTAAGTGTACATGTGGCGACCCATTGACTCACGGGAAATTAGTCTTGACCCGTATCCACTTGTGCACTTACCGGCTGCATTAAAACCGCACGCGCAGTGTAGATTGTCGATTAAATCAGATTTACTACGACTTCCACAGTTTGCCTGTAACTCTGACTTTGTATAAGTCACATATAAAATGTTATGGTCCCGACTGATACGACTTGCGTACAAATAATAATCCTTGCATTTGATATAGCGCCTTATCGTGTCGTTGAGACGTGTCAAAACGTCTGTATAAACTGTCCTGTATAAATGCAAGTCGGTATGAATACAAGATGCTCGCTGGGTCTGGCTGCCAGGACCTGTGTGTTGAAGCTGATCTCCCCTCAGTGTGTTGTAGGCAGCGAGGTGGCTGAGTTCCTGCTGCAGGACGGCAGGTCATCATGGCAAGTCCAGAGCGGGTGGGCATCCCTGGGTGAGGGCGAGAGGCTGGTAACTGTGCTGGGCGAGAAGCCGGTGCCTCTGGGCAATGGAATGCTGGACCTGCTGACCGGAGAGATCCCGAGCCAAGCGTGCCCAGCGAGAGCACTCCAGACCTTCACAAACCTGTTGCTCTTCGGGAGGAAAAGGGTAAGAGAAAGAAGGCAGAGGAGTCGGTATGTTTGATTGCAGCCAGGAGGTGGGGGGAGCAGAGATATCTACAGGGTGTCCACAAAGTCCTGTAACCCCCACCCCCCCACCATGTTTTCCCTGCAGTGCACTTGACCAACACCTGAAATATGTGGAAGAATGATGATCATTGTATTTATAAGTACTTAATTGTATTCAGTACGAATGTGTAACTGTGTTTAGACGTCCAGAGCGTGTGTGAAAGCCATCATTTTCATGGCAGATAATGATCCATCACAATGTTTGGTGTCACATCTTCTATAACATGGATGGAGTCAGTGAGGAGGAAGTTACTGGTGTCAGACATTGTTACACTCGACTCATCTATACCAGAAAATAAAAATTAATTGCAAGAAAAATAAACACACAGGGAGGGGATAACAGTACAGAGGGCGGCCATTTGGCCCATCGAGTTTACACCTCTCCAGAACAAGCTGCGACACTTATTATTATTAGCAGTATTATAATAATTATATACATGGAGTCTCAGTCTGGCCTTCTGTGCTGGGCATGTCTATGGTTTGGAGAACACTTAAGCACAGTGATAGGTGTGCCAGATGCCCAGCTGACCAAAAAACAATTAATAATTAATAATAAATAATAATTCTTGCATTTGATATAGCACCTTATCGTGTCTTCGAGACATCTCAAAGTGCTTCACAAAATAATACTGTGAAGTGAATTGACTTTAAATTGAACTTCAATTTGGAAGCTGGTTTCTTTTTGGAGAACAGCAGAAAACTGGCTAACAAATTAAGTTTTCCAAAATTCTGCACCAGCTTAAATTTAGACCATGGTCTTAAAAGCTAAAACAATGAGGAATTTGGTGTGTGAAGTGCCTTTGCTCTGTGACCCTGAGGACAAGGTGATATGTGATGTGGAGCTTACTTATCTCCTTTATTACAGTTATCAAAGTTAATGTTAAACAGTGTGTTTGTATTTGGTCAAGTTGGAACTCTGTCTGGCCTCTGAGGCAGAAGATTCTGTGTTTGAGCCCCACGTCAGGACTTTGAGCTCACAGTCCAGGCTGACACCCCATTACGGTGCTGGGGATGTGCCTCATTGTCAGAGATACCGTCCTTCAGATGAGACATCAAACCAAGGTCCTGTCTGTGCCTGTTCAGGTGGACGTTAAAGATCCTGTACACTATTGGAAAAGAGAAGGGAGTGTCTCTCTCCCGATGTCCTGGCCAACAATCCCCCAAATAAATTTGGTCACTCATTCCATGGCTGTTTGTGGGACACTGCTGTGTGTACCTGGCTGCCGCGTTTCACCCACAAATTACACAATCGGGTGAACTTTACAGTATATGTCCTGTGAAGCATTGTGAGATGTGCTGCTGACGTGAAAGACTCTGTACAACTGTATGGATTATTATTATTGATACATTTCTGTGGTCTAGGAAGCCCTGGAATCTGCAATCAAGAGTGGTCTGTGGGGTCACGCTCTGTTTCTCGCCAGTAAAATGGACCAGCGGGCGTACAGCAGCGTCATGTCCAGGTCAGTAGCCACCTTAACCTCACTCACATTCTCCTCTTTATTCCACAGCCTTACTCCTCCCTACTTCTGTGACTTGCTCACTCCATACCGACCTGTCCGCTCCCTCTACTCAGTGGGCTCTGGCCTGCTCCATGTCCCCCACCCGACTCGCTGGTCATCGATGGTCGGGCCTTCAGCCTTTTTGACTCCACCCTTTGAAACTTCATCCCACATACCATTCTCCTCGTCCCCTCCCTTGCCTCAGTCAAGACCCATCTCCTTCGACCATACCTTAGGTCACCCTCCTACCTCCTACCCTCCTACCCTATCCTCCCTGCCCTCCAAACCGCTCCTGATCCCAACCCCCAGCTCGGGTGCAAGTCTTTCACAGTCCAGCGCATTGGGAAGTCTACTGACCTGAAAGGCGCTGTTGTTGTTATATTGGCTGTTCCGTCTCCTGTGTTGAACCACAGAACCTCCTACACTCCACTATCCGTGCTCCCTCCTCTATCGATCTGATTTCCAATCTCTGCTCTCCCCGCTCCTCTCATCCCCTCTCCGCATGTGCCTGTCTCATTTCCTTTTAAATGCCTAGAAAAATCACAAGTCATTCCACTTTGCAGTGAAGCTCTTTCAGACATTCTCCTGACGTGAAAGGTGTATCAAATGCTAGAATTAGAGTAAAACTTGTTTCAATGCGATTCCAACAATTGCTGGTAAGTGCACAAGGTGTGACATGTCAAGACCCACTAAGTCATGGGAAATGTAATCTTGACCTGTCACTGCATGTGCAATAACCGGCTGCATTGAATTACGCATGCGCAGGGCAAATTATTGATTAATCAAATTTTATACAACTTCATCGTGGAGTCCTATAGTGTAGTAGTTAGAGCACTTGTTTCACAAGCGAGAGGACCCCGGTTCAATTCCGGCAGGGAGAACCTTAGGCAAGATTCCTTACTCCACTGTCCTCTGTTTACCTAGCGCTAAGCAGGAAACCGGTTGTTAGCCGATTGGTGGATCGCTTTTCCATCGGGGTATAATCCCTTCAAAAGTAAACAAATAACAACAACAACAACAACAACAAGATTCCATTTATAGAGCGCCTTTCATGTCGGGAGGACGTCCCAAGGCACTGGACAGTTGGGTCGGGACCCGAGCAGGGGGAAATGGTCAGGGTGAGGGGAGGGAAGGGAGGGAGCGAGGAGGGTACGGGCAGGTAGGTAGGGGGATAGTAGGTCAGAGAGGTAGGAGGGAGCAAGGCCGTGAATGGCCTTGTAGGTGAGGATGAGGATCTTGAATTCGATCCTCTGGGGAAATAAATAATTTGGTCTCTCAATCCATGACTATGGAACAGTGCCGCGTTTCACCCATAAAATACACAGTCAATTCACTTTACAGTATATTCAGTGAAGCACTTTGAGACATTTCAACAACTTGATAAGGCGCTATATTAAATGCAAGAATTATTATATATTATTAATCTACAGTTTTCCTGTAACTCAGAGTTCGCGTAAATATTATGGTCATGACTGATACGATTTACGTAACTTTAATTGTATTATTATTTAATAATACTATTACTAATTGTTTCTGTTCCCACACTCACCCCTGATATGCATTCCATGTTCTGACAACCATCTGGAAGAATAAGCTCCTCACCCCATAATGCTCCCGACCATTTAAATGTTCTCCACCTTGTGGAACGCTTGATCCTGTGAACACTCCCAATCCCATGACCCTCACTGACTGTTGCTGATTTTGTTGACTCTCAGGTTTACGAGCAGCTTACCCCACAACGATCCCTTGCAGACTCTGTTCCAGCTGCTGTCTGGCAGGTTACCGGCATCTGCTACGGTAAGACACGGAACTCAGAGGAGTTCTTATGTAAATGATAAATGAGGAGGGGCAGATTAAGAGCCTGCAAGCCACAGGAGAGGAACGTTTAGAGGAGCAGTCACTACAGCAGCCTCTATTAAGAGAGAAAGATATCAGCGGGTGTGAAGCAAGGATGGAGGATGATCTGACAATGAAGATGACCAGGAGATGATAATAATAATCCTTACATTTGACATAGCACCTTATTACATTGCTGAGACATCTCAAAGCACTTCACAGGATATATTGTAAAGTGAGTTGACATGTATTTTGTGGGCGAAACGTGCCAGCCCATTGCGCACCACAGTGTCCCACAAACAGCTATGGGTCTTCTTAATGCCCTCCTCACGTGAAACCTGATACGAAATGCAAGGATTATTATTAATGATCATGTGTGTGATTATCGCCTCCATACAATGAGCTCAGATTGAATCTCACCCTGGCCCCTCATTTAGTACATCAAGTCTCTTATTACATAAAGCTCTTTATCGTCTCCAATGTGGTTCATACAGTGAGTCCCTTTAACTGGCTGAATTTCCTCTCCAGCGGCTACAAGGATAATCTCAGCCTGTCTGAGCTCAGTAACTTCATGGCCACAGCCCTTCTGTCCTCTCCTCACTGACTAGAAGCCTTAATTAATGAGTCATTGGGGCATTGGAGCCTCAGTGACTGGAAATGGGAGAGAAGCTGGGAATGGAACCTCGCTTGCAAGGCGAGTGCACTAACCATTACAAAACGGGGCTCCAAGTTGTTCTTCACCATGGGTCTTCTCAATGCCCACAGCTTGAGTCTCTCACTTTCTGGAGGTTAACATTACCTATTGTCTCTTTTGTGTGTCAGAGCTGTGGAGATGTGAATTGGGGTGACTGGAGACCACACCTGGCCACCATCCTGTCCAACCAGACCAACAACAATGAGTTCAACAAGAAAGTCATGGTTACCATGGGTGACACCCTGGGTATGTATCGGGGTTGGACACATTCACTATCATGACTTTCGTAGGAGATTGTTTTGCTGTGGGGTTTGTTTGGTCGGCCATGTGTCTGACACATGCAGAAACCCATCACTAGGCTTAAGAGTATCCAAACCAAGCTGAGATTTCCATGCATCCCACCCACAAATTTTAGAGATAGATTGTTGGAATGGATTGCATACCCTCTTCCTGGAGGGACGCATCCTGCTTACCTAATTCCGGAAAGTATTAGGCAGAAATTGGCAAGAGCCAAGGCCTGGAGACCCTAGAATGTGGAGTGGGGTAACTGCTGGAGTCTAACCAGCTAAAACCGCATAGTTTGCCATTGATATCGCTGTCTGGCAAGCTTTCCTGCTGCTTGTCCAGCCTGGACCACCCTACCCGTTAGGGCTTTGGCTTTGAGCTGAGTGGGAAGAGTCACTCAATCCACGACTGTTTGTGAGACACTGCTGTGTGCAATTGTCTGTGTTTTGCCCACAAAATACACAGCCAATCCACAATCCAATATCTACAGTATATTCATTGAAGTACTTTGAGATATCTCGACAAAGCCTCAGTGCTGAATTCCGGAATCTCATCTTTATTATGTCCTGAATGTGTTTATTAGGTACACAGTCCAGCAAAAAGGTAAATTCTAATTGGATATAGCGCCTTATCACGTCATTGAGACATCTAGGTTCAATTCTCAGGCAGGGAATTAGGGAAACCTTGGGCAAGTTTCCTTACTCCACGCACATGTTTAAGGAGGAACCTGGTTGTTAGTTGATTGGCGGATCGCTTTCCGGGGGTTAATAATCCCGTCCCTTCTGCACTTCACACACACGCACGCATGCACGCACTGAGGTCTCTTGTCCCCAGATGAGATCAGTGACTCAGGACTGAGTAGGACCCACCGGAGCCGTGGGGCTGTGTGACTCAGTGCTGTCCTCACACTCTCAGTTCCTGGTCAGTGGAGAGGCTGTGGGTTCTGACCATGTCCTCTGTCTTCTAGCTGGGAGAGGTTTGCTTGAGGCAGCTCATGTGTGCTATCTGATGGCCCAGGTCAGCTTCGGCCACTGCTCAGTAAAGACCAGCAAGTTAGTGCTGCTGGGCAGCAACCACAGGTGAGAGCTTCTTAACCATCAGTATATTGACAAGGAATTCCACTACCCATTGCCTCCACTCGACTGGCTGTGGCCTCCAGCTTGTCCTTCATCCCCTGAACTCCACCGTCAGTGGCAGTCCTCTCAGCCACTACCCCTACCGTTAAGGCTTTGGCTTGTAGTGTTAACAGGAACTGAATGTGAGGATTCCCTGTCCCCAATGACTGAGCCAGGCTGACACAATACTTCAGGGGTCCGGGATGGGTAGAATATCTGGAGATAAACTTGCCTTGATTAGACACGTTCTGTAAACCGCTACATGCCTAATGAACTCCAACACTTTTCAGCTCTCTGACTGCCCTGGCTCTGTCCTATATATTAGGGATGACTGAGGTGGTTCACAATTAGATTGAGAGGTAGACTTCAAACTGCTCTTAGCTCCATATTATTTCCCTTCCTCTCCTCATTTAATGTCCATCTCAAGAACTACCTTTAACTCCACAATTTCAGTCATTTTTCTCCTCCGTTCCACCTCAGCTCCCACTCCCAGCTCTCTCTCTCTCTCTCTTGTTTTGTCTCTCACTGTGTCGTGGTCAACAACCCCCCAAATAAAATTGGTTGCTCACTCTATGGTTGATCGTGAGACATTGCTTTGTGCAACTGGCTGCCGTGTTTCGCCCACAAAATGTATAGTTTACACTATGCTTTACACTATAACCTGTGAAACCTTTGAGATGTGAAAGTGCACTGTTTCAAATGCAAAGATTATTATTATATCCATATTCTCTGGTCCTTGATACTGATATTGCCTTTATTCTTCCTCTCACCAGTTTACCATTTCCTCAGTTTGCCACGAACACAGCTATTCAGTGTACTGAAGTGTACGAGTATTCCCAGCGGCTTCACCAACCTCACTACATCATTTCCAACTTCCAGGTAAATCATTCCCTCAGTGCTCCCAGGTCAGCTGCAGCACAGGCTAGAGAAAGAGTAAATCTCCATCTACACTGTCCGTCTACACTCCCAGGTCAGTAACATCACATTTACAGACAGTAAGGCAGCAGGAGTAAAGGGAAGAACGTTCTGAACCTCTCCTATGAATGTGTGGCCTCCTTCATAGAAATCATAGACATTCACAGCATACAAGCAGTCCATTGGGCCCATTGTGAGAGAGCTGTTCTTTGACAGAGCAAACTCTTTCAGTCCCCTTTATCCCATATAATAATAATAATCCTTCCATTTGGTATAGCGATTTATCATTTCATTGCGACGTCTCAATGCACTTTACAGAATATACTGAAACGTAGATTGACTGTGTATTTTGTGGGTGAAACGCAGCAGCCAGTTTGCGCACAGCAATGTCCCGCAAACAGCCATGGAGTGAATGGCCAATTTTGTTTGGGGGATTGTTGGCCAGAACACCGGCAGAGAGAAACTCCCTTCTCTTTTCCAATAGTGCCGTGGGATCTATCTGAATGAGAGCACCTCTGACAATGAAATACACCCCCAGCACTACATTGGGGTACCAGCTTAGACCATGTGGTTGAAAGTCCCAACATGGAGCTTAAACCCATGACCTTCTTCAACAACAACAACAACTCGGATTTATATAGCGCCCTCCACGCTGGATGGTGTCTCAGAGCGCTTTACAGTAACGGATCCTGGGACCGAGCCGGGGGGAGGGGGAGGAAGGTGACCAAAGGCGCGGTTGAAAAGAAAGGTCTTCAGCAGAGACCTGAAAATGGGAAGGGAGGGAGCGAGATGAAGAGGAGAGAGTGCTACCACTGCGCCAGACTGACAGTAGGAACAATTACAGTAATACTGGGGGGGAAAGCCACTCATTTATGTTAAGGTCGATGCTTTGTTGAGCTACTTAACTTTGACATTAGTTAACCACCTGATGTATACATCTCAATATTATTTCTTCCTCTTCAGGTCTTTAAGTTTGTGTACGCGTGCCGACTGGCTGATTATGGTCTGCCTGCCCAAGCCTTCCAATACTGTGAGGCAATTGGGCGAGCCCTGGTACAGCAGTGTGAGGCTCACTGCACAGTGCTGACAGGCCAGGTGATCAAGGTGAGGCGTCTGACACATGCGGAAACCAAAGTATCCAAACCAAACTGAGATTTCCATGCGTCCCACCTACATGTGGAAATTCCTGACTTATTGTCCAATCCCATGGTTTATAGATGGCGGACAGACTCGCGTTCTTTGACCCGGAACGATTGGCCGATCAAGGGCAGGGGTATATTTCGGAACCGGATTGGTTGAAACAACTGCGAATCTTGCACAGCAAGCAGATGGTAAGAAAATACAGGCACCTCCTCTGGGTAAAGAAACACTTCCTGATGTCTGCAGGTGATTTTTACGGGTGTCTGACACATACGGAAATCCATCAACATGCTTGAGAGCCTCCAAACCAAGCTGAGAACTCCATGCATCCCATCTCCACATGGAAATCCCAGAGATGGATTGTTGGAATGGAGTGCGCACTCTCTTCCTGGAGGGATCCATCCTGCTTACTTAATTCCGGAAAGTATTAGACGCAGGTTGGCAAGAGCCAAGGCTTGGGGACTCCAGAGCGTGTGTTGGGGTAACCGCTGGTGTCTAATCAGCTAAAACCACGTCGATTACCATTGAGAGCACTGTCTGGCAAGTTTTCCTGACACTTGTCCAGCTAGGACCACCCTACCCATTACCAGTGAAAAGAGAAACAATGACCAGCAGTTCCGCACACAGGGGTCAGAATGTGCCTGTGTTTTATCCACAGACACACGGCGTCTGGGACGGTCACGAGCACGCCCAGACAGTTAACTGGGCAACGGACAACCAAGAAATGAGGTCTGCACACTATACAGGTGCGGTTTTCCTGATTTATGTTAACACATGTACACACACGCGCACACGCACGCACACACAGACACGCACTTCTGTACTGATGTTCTTCCCGCTCCCTCACACTGTGAGGCTTGGTCACTGCAAGCTTTCTCTCACGCTCACCAACCCTTTTGTTCACTATTCTCATCGGTTTACATTCCCTGTGCCAAGCTCCTCCTTCTCCTCCCTGCTCCCAGTATTTACAGCAAGATTCATCATATTGTTGCCAACGATGACCTGAGTGACTCCGCTTTCCCTTCGTTCCTCCATTGTCCACCCTCAGGGCCCGAGGAGCAACCTGAGGAACATCTTCCAACAGCCAGGTCCCAGCCGTTGGCACCTGGTGGCCCTGACAGTGGGCAGGTCCCTGAGCCAAGTCCTGAACAGCAGCAGCAGTATCAACCTTCTGCCATCAGTGCTAACGGGTTGCCCGTCCCTCACACAGCACCAGCACAGACCCTGATGCCCCCCAGTGGATGTAATGGTACCTGGGGCCAGCAGTCAACATTGACAAGCAACATGGAGCTGAACCCGAGATCCCAGCTTGGTCCTCCTCCTCAGGAGAGAGGCAATGGTATGTGTTACTCCAGCCTCAGCTGAGAATCAATACAGTTTACATATTTATTATTTGTATTTTATATGTAAATATATTTTATATATTCAAGATCCTCGTCCTTTAAAGCCATCCATGGCCTTGCCCCCTCCTACCTCTCTGACCTGCTGACTCCCTACCAACCTGCCCGCTCCCTCCGTTCTTCAGGCTCCGGCCTGCTCCATATCTCCCGCTCGACCTGCCCTACCATCGGTGGCCGGGCTTTCAGCCTCTCCGCCCCCACACTCTGGAACTCCATCCCATGGTCCCTTCGTCTCGCTTCCTCCCTTGCCTCCTTCAAAACCAGTCTTAAGACCCTTCTCTTCGACCGTGCCTTTGGTCTCCCTCCCACCTCTCTGCCTTCCCTCACCCCTATACCATCCCTCCTCCATGCTCGGGCCCCGACACCTGACTGTTCAGCGCTTTGGGACGTCTATCCAACGTGAAATATGTAATTTTGTTGTTGTTATACAGAGCATGGTGGTCCAACTGGTGGCCCACAGGCCGCATCCAGCCCATGAAGTGATTTCATCCATGCATTAGCTAGGCTTGACTCCACCAACTCCCTGCTTGTCGGCCTTCCCAAGTCTTCCCACCCAAGCTGCAGATCATCCAGAACTCTGCACCTTGTGTCCTATCCCGCTCCGTGACTCTAACATCCTACCCTTGCCCGGCGCCACTGGCTCCCTATCCTAAGAGGATAGAGTTCAAAATACTTGTCCTCGCCTTCAAAGCCCTCCATGGTCTTGCTCCTTCCTAACTCTGTGACGTGCTAACGCCAAATCAAGCTCCAGCTTCAGTCCAACTCCCTGACTGTCCAGCGCCTTGAGACGTTCTCCCGACATGAAAGGCACTATACAAATATAATTTGTTGTTCATGTTGAGTGGGAGGATTCCCTGACGCCAGTGATTGACTGCCCTTCCAAGTCCTGCCAATGAGTCCTGTCATCAGCAATGCCCTGTGGTGTACACTCCTTTACCTACTGACAGGCTGCAACCGTGACTGTCTCCCTGACTTACTTAACTCTATTCTCTTGTTAACCTGGGTGAGCGGCTTCTGTAACCACATGCCGTGTATTCACTTTCTCTCACACACACTCTTGACACTCACTCGCTCTCTCACACTCACTCTCTCTGACACTCCCTCTCACACTCACACATTCTGACACTCATTCGCGCTCTGACACTCTCCAGCACTTTCTCAATCTCTCTCTCAAATCTCTGTCACTCACACTCTCATTCACTCTCATCACTCTCTCTCAAATTTCTCTCACACCCACATTCTCTCTCTCTCTCTCCCACTGTGCTAGGTAGGGCAGATGCTGGTGTGGAGCCATTGCCTTTGGTGACCATGAGGGGAGACGGTGCAGAGTCCGGTCAGCATTATGCCCCAAGTTTGGCAGAGGGAATGGTGAGCAGCTGTTTGTGTACATCAGTGGGGAGGTGTGTGTGTGGGGGGGAGGGGTTGGTGGGGGTGAGGGGGCTATAAATTACTGAATGACATTAGGATAGCTGAAAAGCCATTGAGGTTTGTGAACGTATGGAGCAGAGTTGATGTGTGCTGGAGGCAGATCAGTCACTGTGTGGCCTGAATACTGACATTATCTCACTCCCTGGGATGGTTTGGGTTTGGATTTGCGCTGGTGTGTCTGAGGCTCAGTGAGTGAGACTGTGATACTCAGCCACACAGCCTGGGAACCACACCAGTAAAGCTCTGGTTTAGGTTGGCCTTAGTTGAGGTAATGCTCGGAGGTCAATAACCTGTACTGGTATTTTCTTCCCTCACCCATTAACAATGAGAAGGGAGTTTCTCTCTCTTGGTGTTTTGGCCAACAATCCCCCCAATATAATTTGTCACTCACTTCATGGGTGTTGTGGAACATCATTGTGTACAAATTGGCCATGTTTACCTACGAAACCCACAGTCACCGCACCTTGCAGTAAATGCAGTGAAGCGCTTTGAGACGTCTCAATGACGTGATAAGGTGCTGTGTTTCCCATGCCACCACCTGCCGCTTTGGCTCAGCTAGCTCTGACCTCCTACTTGTCCCTCGTCTCCTTCGCTCCATCATTGGCAGCTACTACTCCCCAAGACTCTGGAACTCCCTCCCGCAATCTCCGCCTTTCCCCATCCTTCCCCATTTTCAAAAAGAGTCTCTGTTTAACTAGCAGTAATTAGGAACCCGTTGTTAGTAAATTTGCTTTCCCAGTGTAATAATAAAAAAAATTTGGTCACTCAATCCACGACTGTTTATGGGACACTGCTGTGTGCAATTGGCTGCCGCATTTCGTCCACCAAATACACAGTCATTCCACTTTACAGTATATTCTGTGAAGCGCTTTGGGATATCTCGACAACATAAGGTGCTATATCAAATGCAGGGTTATTATTATATTAATATATTATATTGTATCTACAGCACATTCTACAACCCCGAATTAGGACCACATCTGAGGTGTCTTCTATCTCTATGGAGGAAGACGTGACCTGGGACCACCATCAGCCAGGGACAGATGACAGGACGGCTGCAAACCAGACCAGGGGAGGGCAGCCAGGCCAGGAGAGAACAGGAGGAGCGAGCAATGAGGTGGAGAGGAAGGTGAGAAACAGGAAATTCATGTAGGAGAGCTTATATTGCGCTGCTTCACACTCTTGCTTCTCAGTCAGGAGATTGTGGGTTCAAGCCCCATATCTGGGGACTTTGAGCTCACATTCTAGGCTACCGCTCCAGCACAGTCCTGGAGGAGTGCTGCATTGTAGAAGATGCCATGTTAAATCAAGATCCTGACTGTGCCTGTTCAGGTGGACTTTAAATGGCACTATTGGAAAAGAGAAGAGAGTTTCTCTCTCCTGGTGCCTTTCCCCCCCCCCCAGATAAAATTGGTCGCTCACTCCATGGATTTTTGTGGGAATTCGCTGTAAGCAACTTGGCTGCTGTGTGGGTTGAGTGAGCACATTCTTTGTATTGCCCCAGAAAGTGATCAACCGATTGACTAACAACCGGGTTCCTACTTACTGCTAGGTAAACAGAGGCATGTGGAGTAAGGAAACTTGCCTAAGGGTCCTAAAATTTGAACCCAGGTCCTCTCGCTTGTGAGATGAGCGCTCGAGCCCTTACCCTACTCGACTCTGATTATTGTCAGTGAGGTGCCTGTGGATGGAGTTGCTGTGCGGATTTGTGCTGTGGCCCTCGCAGAACCGGCTGACTCTCTTGTTTCTTCTCCAGGGCGGGAGGTTCTCTGGCTGGTTCGGATGGTTCAGATCAAAGCCGGCAAAGCATCGTGAGGAGAATGGGGTCAGTGTTTCTGTGAACACCAGTCACATTCAATTAATATGTCCGTCAAGATACCCATCGGCACTGACATACATGGAAACCCATTCACGTGATTAGCCGGGTGTCTGAACATGCAGAAACCCACCATGTTGATTAGCCGGGTGTCTGAACCACGTGGAAACCCATCGCTAGATTTCATAGTCTCCATACCAGACTGAGAGTTCCATGTTCACCACAGGCACATGGAAATTCCTGTGTTTGGAATGGCATGTGCACTCTCTCCCTGGAAGGAATGCATCCTGCTTACCTAATTCCGGAGAGTTAAGACGCTAGAGTTAACAATTGTGTCCTGGCCAAATAAAATTGGTCACTCATTCCACAACTGTTTGTGGAGCATTGCAGTGCGCAAACTGGCTGCCATGTTCACCCACAAAACACAATCAGTCCAATTCACAGAAAATCTCGTGAGGCACTTTGCGACGTCCTCTCAACGTGAAAAAGTGCTGTGTGAATTACAAGGATTATTATGGTGTGAGGTGAATGATTGTTTTGTTTTCAGGAGCAGAATGTGATCCCGTGTCCAGAGGATGAGGCTGTTCCCTTCTACAACCCCTCACAGTTCTCACAGGTTCAGACTTAATTTACTCTCAGTCAAGTCCATTGGCCACAAACTTATCCTAGCTCAGTCACTTGCACTCTCGCGTCTGAGTCAGGAGGTTACAGATTCAGGCCCCACATCGTGACTTTGAGCTCACAGTCGAAGTTGATGCTCCAGTGCAGTGCTGGGGCCAGTGCTGCATTGTCAGAGGCTGTCCTTCAAATGAGACATTAAACCGAGGCCCCGTCTGGTCAGGTGGACGTTAAAAGATGCCGTGTCGCTATTGGAAAACAGAAGGGAGTTTCTCTCTCCTGATGTCCTGGCCAACAATCACCCAGATAAAATTGGTCACTCACTCCATGGCTTTTTGTGACACTGCTATGGGCAAACTGGCTGCTGTGTTTGCCTACAAAGCACACAGTCACTTCACTCTGTAGGGAATGTAGAGTTTTGAGCTGGTTTGACATTGTAAGGGAGGATAATTATATCTTCCACAGCGATTACAAGGTTTGCACTGACCGTCCTTTCCTCTCCTCTTGCCATTGAGCCCTTTCTTCCTTGTGTCTGTCCCAAACTCCTCACATCCTCACCCTGAGTCACAATCTCTCTAATCAGGTAACACACACAGGGGGACTGAGGGGGCAATCTTGGGGTTGAGGCCAGGCACCGGAACTCTTTTATTGACCCCGCACTGGGCGGCCCCACACTGGGTGGCCCTGGGTGGATGGGGGAATGAGATCAAACTGGCAGATCCTCAGTAACCTGGTGAAGGCTATCCCCCTGGTCTAATCTGTATCTGTGTGTTTTCATTTCAAACAGAACGCTGTCTCCACACCCCGGGCCAGCCGCCTGCTAAACAACCCATACCCGGTGACCCTACCACCCGGTGACCCTACCACCCGGTGACCCTACCACCCGGTGACCTGGTGGCTGAATTCCGTTGCTCAGTGATTGGGGCTGGCTCGGCACAAGGTTAATGTACATTTTACCCGATCAAGGAAGAAATTCCTCAGAGAAGCAGAGACAAACCCTGACTTCTACACTCCAGGCACCTCACCCAGACAGCAGCTTAACACAACACACCAGCCAGGATGTTAGAGACCCTGACAGGGGCTTTACAAGACTGTAACAACTCTGCGCTCTCTACACACACAGTAACACACACACATTCTCTATACTGACAGTAACACACACACTCTATACCGAGAGTAACACACACTGACAGCACTAGACTGTACTACACTCTATACTGACAGCAAAAGTGACCCAACAATCACAATCCAATTGAAACATTGAAACCTGACAATGGCTACCTCTGAAGTGCTGTGCGCAGCCTGACAATGTGAAATTATAGTACAGTAAAACTTGCATAAATCATCTTGTGATGAATTGTATAATTGCATAAAGTGTATTTGCACTTGACACACAGTCATTTTCTCAAAAAAAGCCACTGAGATTTCGTTGCACTAGTAGTATTTTACAAGTGGTATAAATGGCTGAGTCATAACTATTTCTCGTTCCGAAATAATCCTGCATCCTGATGCTAATCCTCTCGTAACTCGGATCGCCGTGAGCGCACTTGCCAGCTGCTCCGATGAAGGACCGCGTAAACACTTTGAAACAAGCCGAGAAACAAGATCTTATCCTGACACCACATCACAAAAGGCAAACTTTAACATCGTGAAACTCGTATTAAGTCGGCTGATTCAATTTATGTGAGTTTGCTCCTGACTCGTGCTTCATGTAAATGGCATTAAATGTTTTGGTCCCAACTGATACGGCTTATTTTTGTACAGTGTGAGAAACTTCAGACCGGCCAGCAATCGCTGTTGTAGTTTTCCGATTCCTTCACTAGATGGCGATTAGCACTCAATCAGTGACAGACCGAGTGGCCTCAGCTTCGTGAGCCACACTCTGGGGTCCCCAAGCCTTGGCTTTTGCCAACCTGCGCCAAATACTCTCCAGAATTAGGTAAACAGTATACGTCCCTCCAGGGGGAGAGAGAGAGAGAGTGCGAGGTGGAGTCCTGTAGCTCAGTGGTTAGAGCACTCGCTTTGCAAGTGAGAGACCTGAGTTCAATCCCAGGCAGAGGGCGAAACCTTGGGCAAGTTTCCTTACTCCACACAGAGCCTAATAATAATCCTCCAAAACCAAAAACAATAATAAATTGGTCATTTTCAATCTACGACTGTTTGTGGGACATTGCTGTGCGCAATTGGCTGCCGCGTTCGCCCCCAAATATACAGTCAATTCACTTTACAGTGTGTTCTGTGAAGCGCTTTGGGACGTCCTCCCGACGTGAAAAGCGCTATATCAAATGCAAGGATTATTATTATTATTATTATGGATTCCATTCCGACAATCTATCTCTTGAATTTCCATGTGTAGGTGGGATGCCTGGAATTGTCGGCACTGGGATTGGATACTCTGAAGCACAATGATGAGTTTATCGCATGTGTCAGAAACATCCAGGGAGAGAGTTCTCCTTCATCTCCCCGGCTGACGAGATAAAATCGGTCATTCATGGCTGTTTGCTGAGTCCATTGCAGTGTTGGACCGGCTGCCTCTTTCATCTGCAAAACACACAGTCACTACACTTTGCAGGGAATGCTGTGAGCTGTCCCAGTGACTGTCTGACGCCACCTGTCACTCAGCGCCAGAACTGCATCTCCCGGCGGCCACCTCGCTGGGCAACTAACGCGCAAGCGCACTGGCCTCGCCGTCAGAGAAGGCGGAGGAGGCAAAAAAACCATCAAATCGCAGCCTTCCTGCGGCTTCCGGCCCTCCCCCCACCCCCGCCCTCTCCCCCCACCCCCGCACTGGGAGCCGCCGCACCGCGCGAGGTGGTATTGTTGCCATTCTGCGGACAGAAACTACAACCCCCAGAATGCACGACGGTCGCATCCGGTGGGCCAAGCCGGGCTTCCGTCGAGGCGGGCGTGTAGCGCGCATGCGCTGCGGCCTGTGGGCTCGGGCCGGGATATGGCGACCAACCGACACTCAGCGGCTCAGCAGCTGCTCCCGGGGCCCGGCCAGGCCGCCTCCTCCTCCTCCAGCGCCGTCGCCTCGGGGCCCGCAGCCACGGCCTCCAGCTCGGCCTCCCCCGCGCCCTCCTCCTCCTCGGCGGGGAGCAGCAGCCGCGGGCCCGGTAGGGCGGCCGGCGCTGGGGCAGCGGGAGCGGGAGGCGGCCGTAGGCGGCCTCTGCTCAACGGCCTCGTCAACTCGTACGAGGACAAGAGCAACGACTTCGTCTGGTGAGTGAGTGGGTGGGTGGGTGGAAGCGGGTCTGGGAGCAGGAGGCTGGGCAGAGGCCTGGGGGGGGGAGGCGAGGGGAGGGAGACGCGGGGAGAGAGAGGGGGAGACTGGGGGGAGACTGCGGGGAGAGAGAGCGGGAGACTGGGGGGAGAGAGAGCGGGAGACTGGGGGGAGAGAGAGCGGGAGACTGGGGGAGAGAGAGAGATTGGGGGAGAGAGAGGGGGAGAGTGTGTGGGGAGACTGGGGGGATAGACAGGGGGAGACGGGGGGTGGGGAGAGAGATGGGGGACACTGTGGGGGGAGAGAGGGGGGGAAGAGAGAGGGGGAGACGGGAAGGGAGAGAGAGAGCGCGGAGGACTGGGGAGAGGGAGGGGTAGCGAGAGACTGAAGGAGATAGTGAGGAGAGAGAGAGAGAGAGAGAGAGGAGATTAGGAGAGAGAGGAAGACCGGGGACAGGAGGCTGGGAATGTGGACATCTCGGGACAGGCCGTGGCTGAAGGACGGGACAGGGTGTGTGGTGGGGGGAGGGTTTAGACAACGGATACCCGGGACAACTAGCATTCATATAACACCCTTCACACCGGGTAGCATCTCAGAGCATAGGGGTCCCTTACAAATAGTTACTACGCTTTATAGCTCTGTCAAGCTCTTTGATGCGTTTTGATCTAATATCAAATGCAAGGACGATGGAGTTTAATAATCATATAGGAGCGCCTCATTATAATGCAGTGGTTGGAATCCAGAAAATGCCAACCCCACATCATGTCTGAAGGATGTCTCGAAGCGCTTCATAGATATGCTGTAAAGTACAGTGGCTGTATTTTATGGGCGAAATGCGGCAGACAGTTGCGTACAGCAATGTCTCACAAACAGCCAGGGTGTGACCAATTTTATTTGGGAATTGTTGGCCAGGACACTGGGAGTGAGAAACCACCTTCCCTTTTCAAGTAGTGATCTTTAACGTCTCATCCAAAGGACGGCATCTTCGAAAATGCAACAACCCCGCAGCACTGCATTGGAGTGTTCAGCTTAGAGTATGTGATTCCAAGTCCTGAAGTGGATCTGGAACCCACAAACTTCTGACTCAGAGGCGAGAATGCTGCCACTGAGGTGGGCTGACACACACACTGAGCCGGCACACATTTCTCTGCTCATGAGAGCAGACAGCTGACTGTATGCTGGCTGTTTTTTTGCTCTCAAAAAAGGCTGACTCTAGGGTCACTGCAGATATCGCTTCCTGTTTGTGCACTTGCACAAAGAAGGAAGTCGTGGTGACCTGATGACCTCCATGGAGGTTGGGGTGAAAATGCACGTGCATTGAATAGAGTCCACATTGCCACTGGTTGTCACTGAATTTGTCCTATGCTGTGTAATTGTGCCTTATAACGCCTTTACACTATATGCGTATCTATTGTCACAAGAGGTGAGTGCTCATTCAAAGTGCCACACAGCCAGCAATTCAATAGCTCCCTGTGTGCAGTGAGGTGCTTCGAGACCTCCTCCTGGTGTGATAGATGTGTAAATTGTTGTAATTGTCCTGATTTTATTAAAATTCCAGGCAAAAGAAAGAAATTTTGCCTGGAGCCATTGTTTAAAATGCCTTTTTGTGTTGGAGGGTCCCATGTCTTGCTCCTCTTCATTGTCCACCATGGCCTATGAAAAGGCTATGTAGGTAAATGGTGGGAATCAGGGAGCAGACTTGGCTGTAGCCCTGTCAAGGATCCAACTTCTTTGGGTCTAATTCCACTTTTGTTTTGTTAGATAGAATAACATGAGGATCAATGTTCCATTCAGATCGGATGGATTGACTGAATGTTGAGCTGAAGCAGGAGGCAGCCAGTTCCTTGCGTTGAGGGGTTAGAGGCTCAGACACGTGCCACTATGTCTAGCGCAATGTTTCTCTCTTAGAACAGAGCTGTGTGTTTTACTGTGTATTTAAAAGGAGTGGAGTCAACTTTGTGTGTAGCAACAGGCACGCAAGTTAAAAGCATTAGTTAGTGACCACCAAATGAAAGAGTTGACAGGGTTGTGGAGCTCTCTCCTTGCTTCCTGATCTATGAAGATTGCTTTTATCCCGGCCTTGGAATCCTGGGCTACATTGGCTGAGGAATGGCCGGTTCAAGAGCAAGTTCACATAGCAACTTACTGTTTCAGTGACGCAACACTTCAAACAGGGATGGTTTGGGAAAACATAAGTTTTTATGTTTTAGAGGAACTCCCTCTCAAAATCTGCTTGTCTACAAATCCCTTCACGCCCCGACACCTTTCTACCTCCCCAACCTCTTTCTCCCAATCCCGCTCTGGCCTCCTGCTTATCTCTTGTCCCCTGCGCTCCACCATCAGCGGTTGTGCTTTGGAACTCTTTTCCCTCAATCTCTCTGTTACACCATCTCCTTCCCCTCTTTCAGATCACGACTGAAGACCTTCCTCTTTGACCATGCTAACGGTCACCTCCTCCCAGTTCTGCATCAGGCTCTCCCACTGTTAAGTGCTCTAAAATGCTGCCCTGCGTGAAAAGCGCTATGTAAATGCAAGTTGTTTTTGTTGTTGTTTGCTTCTTGTTTCCAGAACCCGTCTTAAAAACAACTACCTGTTTCAATGGGTGTTCGTTCATCTTCTGCCTACCTGTCTTACTCTGTTTGGGTTAAACAGCACTGGGCTTTGAGTTGACAGTTTAGCCGGACGCTCCAGTGCATTGCTGGGGGCCCTGCATTCATACAAGTCCAGTCAGGTGCCATCTTTCATATGAGACATCAAACTGAAGTTCAGTTGAATCTGCCTGTTTGGGCGGATGTTAAAGATCCCTCGGCATTATTTGAAATGTGGAGGTAGTTTCTCCTGGTGTCCTGGCCAGCAGTTCTTCAGATAAAGTTGGTCATTCACCCCCTGGCTGTTTGTGGGACATTGCTGTTTGCAAATTGTCTGACATGTGTGCCTACAAAATGTCACTAAACTAACAGAAAACTCTGAAGCTTTGTGAGACCTTTGGACAATCTAAGTGCTTTAAGGATTTTTATTATATACTTGAACAGAATGTGAAAATAATATTCGTTAGAATAAGCAAACTGCTCTTTGCTGTTTGTTGGGCCGACTTTCCTCATCCAAAAACAGCTTCCATTTACACAGCGCACTTCACTTGGAGCGGCATCTCAGAACACTTAACAGTGGTAGAGGCTTTCAAACCATGTCGAACCTTGTTTAACCAAGTGGTTTCACTGTGGTGTGCTTCATTTCCCCACCCCCCCCCTCCGTACATACACATGCAAGTGCGCACGCACACATATGCACGCACGCTTGTACTAGGTTTGCATAAATCACCTCCAGACTACTGTCGTGCCAAGCGATTTGTCTGTTAATGATTGTCAAATGTGATCTTAATCCAGAGCTGATTTCTTGTGGGAGTGTTTGATTTTATAAGAGCAGAGGGAATTGTGTGGAATTTGAGATCGAGCAAGTTACAGAGCATGACATCAGCAGCGGGGCTTGGCTTGTCACTGGGGCCAGGTGAAAGGAGGAATTGGAGTGGGGTTTGGGTTTGTTAAATTCAGCCATTGTTACGATCATCTGGGGATCCTATACATGAGGTGTTCTCTTCACACACTCAACAGCAGACGAGTTGCTTGCTAATCCAGCAACTAAACTTGCTCGTCTGTAGGTTATTATGCAAACCTGGCACAGGCAGAGGTTTGGGACCCCAGAATGTGCATTCGGTTAACTGCTGGAGTCTAACCAGCTAAAACTACATAACTTGCCAGAGAGCATGGAAAAGGAGTGGTATAACTGACACAGGGGTGATTTATATCAGTGGTATGATAGTGGTGTAGAAGTGGCTTTATATAGCAGTGGTGTAGAAGGTGGTTTGTGTAGGAGGAAATTCGGGGACCACTTGGGGAAAGTGCATTGTTAATTGTTGGCTACTAGACTGAAGATGATGGGTTGTTAATGAAACATTGTCAGCTTGTTTGAGTTAGTGTACTTCTTGTCTCCGAGTGAGAAGGATTTATTAATAATTTCTTAATCTATAAATAATAATTAGGATTATAATTATTACAGTAATGCGGTGTTGGGGACTTTAAACTTGTAATTTAGACTGATACTCCAGTGCTACATTGTCAGAGGTGCTGTCCTTTGGACGAAACGTTAAAACAAGATTCTGTGTTCCTAGTGATCAAGTGCTTTGACATTCTCAGTGCTGGATGGAGGTGCTTGCATTTGATATAGCGCCTTATCACATTGTTCAGAGGTCTCAAAGCGCTTCACAAGATTTAGGTGACTGCGGTGACCAATTTGAGTAGAGCAATGTCTCAGAAACAGGCATGGATTGAACGACCAATTTTTACTTGAGGGATTGTTAGCCAGGACACCAGGAGAGAGAAACATCTTTCTCTTTTCCAGTAGCGTCATGGGATCTTTAATGTCCACTTGAACGGTCAGATAGGACCTCGGTGTAATGTCTCATCTAAAGGACGTTACTCTGACATTGTAGCACACCACCAATAATGCACTGGTGTGTCAGCCTACACTGAGAGTTCATGTGAATCCACAACCTTCTGACTCAGAGGCTAAAGTTTTACTAACTGAGCCAGGCCATAATTCTACCATGAATGTTTGGGTTTCACAAACTGGGGGCTTGTGGTTTAGACATGAAGCTTGGGATGCTTTTTTTTAGACCATATTTGGTTTGAGTGAGGGCTTCGGGGACGTGAAAGTTGAATAATTTTGTTTGGCAGATAGTTCAGAGGGGTTACAGCCGAGTATTGCTTGATCGCTGGGGTTCATTGGCTGCTGTAGCCTGCATTGCTGTTGCTGTTAAACGTAAGGCGACGTTTGCTCTGTTTCTGCCTTCCCCCCCAGTGCTGTCAGCTTCAATAAATAAAACACTTACGGCCGTTGGGGAGCAGCGAGGCAGTGATTCAATAGAACCCTATTGCACAGCGCAAAATAAATTGGAGCAAGCTTAAGTGGGTTATTAACATGAGGAGCCCTGAGGTGCAATTTATTGCCTTGAGATCAGGAGGCAGCTCTTTCTTTTTCCAGTACTTTTATTTAAATGTTTGTGCTGTTATTATAGACGCAACATACGTGTGGGCAATAAAGTTGGTGGCAGGCGGGTTTGTTTTTGGCAACCGGTTTAACAGGAAGGGGCCTGAGCTCATTAATGGGCAAATGGGAGGTGATGGTGTCTGATGGGTGTTCATTCGCCCGTTACACAATAGCAAAGCTGTTCTGCTGGTGAGACGCTCAATGTAAACGTCCTCACGGGGATTTACTTCGGCTCGTGTTGGAGCAAGTTTAAGAATGCGCTCAACAGAAGATGGCAGCTGGGACTTTTGGAACAAAGTGTGCTGGCTTGGCCCGTTGCCTCTGTTTCTAATGAGTGCCTCAAGCATTTCACAACAGCCTGTCCTACTGTGTAAAGCTAAAAGTGATGAGAGGAACTAGACATTACCTCTCACAGTGTCCTGGCCAACAATCCCCTTGCGTCCGCCTGACTGTATTATGTATGTCAATTTAGGTCACACTCTTACCCCAAGTCCAAGGTTGTGGGTTCAAGCCCCATCCTGGGACTTTGAACTCACAATCTAGGGTCACACTCCAGTGCAGTGCTGGGGGTGTCGATAAACCAAGGTCCTGTCTGTCTCTGTTCAGCTGGATGTTAAAAGTGGACCTGGCGTTAAGGTCTCATCTGAAGGACCTCAACTCCAACAATACAGCGCACCTATAACAATGGAGTGTCAGCTTACACTGTAAGGGCTCCAGGTCATTTTACTGTAGAGATATCAGACACAAGTGAAATTCAATAATAATAATAATCCTTGCATTTGATATAGCGCTTTTCACATTTTCTAGACGTCTCAAAGCGCTTCGCAGAATAGATTGTAAAGTGAATTGACTGTATATTTGTGGCTGAAACTTAATTTCTTTCAGAAACTGCTTGAAGTCTTGTGATACAGTGTCAGACTTTACCACGTTAAGCGCTCTGGGACGCTACCCAACATGAAAGGCGCTATATAAATGCAAGCTGTTGCTTATATGGGAGCTGAACGGGGGCAACAGAGCAAGCTGTCTGTCTGGCAGAGTGCACTTTGTGTTGTATGTTAGGAATGTGAATGCTTGACACTGACTCTGTGTTTGCCTGGTCTCTTGCAGCCCTATCTGTTTTGACATGATTGAGGAGGCCCACATGACGAAGTGTGGCCACAGCTTTTGGTAAGTCCCAGATTTGCTTTTTGATGAGCCTTTTCATGTCTCTTGCTACCTTCCCATTGACTGGCGCACAAGAGGGTAATGCCATCAGAAAAGGGAATGATCTGAAGACTATCACAATGTTGTTAGAGGATTCTCTGACATCCGCCAGTGTTGTGTTCTAGGATTAGGTAGTGTCAGATCTGAGAGCAATTCATTTAAAATTGAGCACTTTTGAGCTCATAGCTCTCTGCTGTTTGAGGTGCCCACTTTCGTTGAGAGCTAGCGACCTGTTCAGGTGGGTGTTAAGGATCTCATGGCGCTATTGGAAAAATGAAGGGAGTTTGTCTCTCCCGGTGTCCTGGCCAACAATCCACCAAATAAATTGGCCATTTACTTCCTGGCTGTTTGTGAGATATTGTTGTGCGCAAACTGGCTGCCCCGTTCAGCTCCAGGCACACAATCACTACACTTTGCAGCAAGTCTCTTTAAGAGCCTTCAGTGGTTTTGATGTTCTCGATCTGGATTAAAGGATTGTTGTTTAAATACTATAAGAGCATGTGACACAGACTGTGAGTCTGGAGGATTTAGCTATTGACTCCCTGGCATGTCTCACGTACTCTGCATTCCTGAACTGCAGTGGCACATTCTTGTGAAGTGTAAAGATTAGCCTGACTTTCTCCAGTTCTTTGCAGTCTGGAGGGTGGGGGGAGCGTGTTATTGGGTGTAAAGAGGGGAAGGTAGGAGAGAGTGTGTTGGAAGGGAGATTCTGGGGAAGATTAAAGCTACACCTTCCATTGGATTAATCCTCCTATTCCCGAGATCACTACTCTCATTACAGCCATGAGTTCAATCCCTATGTTGGTGACTTTGAGCTCACAGTCCACACTGACGCCCCAGCTCGGTGCTGGGAGCAGCGCTGTATTGTCGGAGAAGCTGTCCTGTCGGATGAGACATAAAAGCAAGGTCCCATCTGCCTGTTCAAGTGGACACTACAGACTCTGTGATTATTTATTAATAAAAATAATACCTTATCATTGAAACATCTCCCGGTGCGCACAGGATTTACTGTAAAGTATAGTGGCTGTATTTTGGAGACTAACGCGGCAGTCAAATTGCGCTCAGCAATGTGCCACAAACAGCCATGAAATAAATTATTGATTTTATTTGGGGGATTGTTGGCCAGGAGAACAGGCAGGTGCGACTTTGGTTTAAGGACTTGCCCGAAAGATGGCGTCTCTGACAATGTAGCTTCCAAACCAAACAGCTTGAGAGTGTGAGCTTTGGATCAGATCAGGTCCTGGCTGCTGAAATGTGACTGCTTCTAAATAGAGTCAGTAAACTTCAAGGAAAAATTGTGAAGCGTAATGAGGTGTTGGGTGTTATAGCCCCTGTGTCAAATGCAAGGATCATCATCACCGAGTTACAAGTCTAAAAACACGCAGTAAAAATCATGTGTGTAATCTTGTTGGTTTTGTTACTGAGAGAGCAAAGACATTCCGCTTTAAGATGAGAGCTTCAAAGCCAAACAGCTTGAGGGTGTGAGTGTTGGATTGACACAATTTACAGACTGTCCAGTACATATCATGCTGAGATTCCTTCCCAGATCAGCACAGCTTTGTTACTGTTATGTTAAAGTGCTGGCCATAGCTTACTGACCTGGACCACAGTCCCCTCTGCACCAATAGAAGAAAGTTGCGCTCCTCATAATGGAATGTGCTGCGTGAGGCTCTGCTTTGTGCTTCTCAGCGGGGTGTGAAGAGGGAGCAGAGCAGCTCGCCTGCATTTATATAACACCTTTAATAATAATAATAATAATATTATCACATAGTATAACGTCTGGGAGCACTTCACATAGACTGGGTCAGACCCTGAGAAAGGGTCTGGGTAGACCCAGAGGTGGAGGATCAGAGGTGACTGAGGTGTGGTTGAAGAGGTAGTTTTTAAGGTAGGATTTACAGACCAATAGAGAGGGAGCAAGACAGAGGGTTAGAGGGAGGCAGGCCCAGAGGGTACAGGTGTAGAATCTGTAGGCTCAGCCACCAATGGTGGTGAGGAGAGGATAAGGGATAAAGTAGGCTGACGCTCCAGTGCCGACCTGGAGGACAACTGCATTGTTGGAAGTGCCATCCTTCAGATGAGACGTTAAACCAAGGTCCTGTCTGGGTCTTTAGATGGACGTTAAAGATCCCATGGCATTAGTCGACTGTTTTGGGACGCTGCTGTGTACAAATTGGCTGCTGAGTTCGCCTCCAAAGTACAATTGTTTCACTTTACAGTAAATCCTCAGGAACTCTTCGTGCCGTCATCCTGACATGAAAGTCACGGTATCAGATACGAGGGTGATTTATTATGAGGGAAGCTTGGCGCAGGCTGTTTGTGTACACAATGGGTGTTCAGAGCTGGCTATGTTTGCCTGGAATTTTTCTGCTCGATTTAATTTAGCCGACCTCGAGCTTCCAAATCCTTTCGATCCACTTTCAGTTCCGTACCCTCACTTCTGCCACTTATCCTGTTAGCTGCTAATACTGGTGTGATAGCAGGAAGTGGTTAAAGGGAGGTAGGGCTCTGGCCTACACTGACCTGTCGCTGAGCATCCTGGAGGCAGAGGCGGCTTCACAGAGGGCACATTATTTGCCAAGGTCCCTCGCATGAGGACCTGGATTAAGCAGCTGGTGCTGAGTAAATCTGGTATGCAGCATTGGACTTGGACCTCAAGAACTTCAAGGTGACTGGCACGTCACAAGCTGTCCAGTAAAGGTTCTCCCGCAGATGTCCATCAGATAGCTAATGAGGAAACTCTGAGGTTTGGGGCGACAGTTGCTGGAAGGTGTTACCTAGTCCGAGGTCGTGAACACATATTCGTACGTCCAGTACCTGGAGTCCACCTTGATTGGCTGCCGAGAGGTAAGCAGCTGCTGCTTAAACTCTGCATCTCCAATAAGTGGGACCATCGCTCAATGGGAGCGACGTTTGGCCGAGCTGCAGACAGGAAGACTGTGACAATGCTCTCACGCATTTCGTGCTGAGCTTTGTTGCCCAGTAGGAGGCTGGCAGAGGGTTCCTTGTACCTAACATCCACCTATTCTCCTGGGGGTTGGGGAGGTAAGTGGGGGCTCCTTGGAGCTCAACTGGCTCCAAGGTGACATGCCTGCCAACGGAATGCCAGAATTGAGCCCGCCCTCTGTGGTGGTCTTGCTTTGGTTCCTGAGCCAGGGCGGGTGCGCAGTATTCCAGGTGATGACAGCACAGCCAGTCTGGTTCATCGGCAGGGAAAGCTTGCCAGACAGTGTTATCAATGGCAATCTATGCGGAGTTACCCCAACGCACAGTGGGGTCCCCAAGCCTTGGCTCTTACCAACCTGCGCCTAATACTTTCCAGAATTAGGTACCCAAAATGCGTCCCTCCAGGGAGAGAATGTGCATTCCATTCCAACAATCTGGGATTTCCACGTGTAGGTGGAATGCATCGAAATTTCAGCTTGGTTTGGATACTCTTAAGCACAGTGATGGGTGTGTAAGACAGGCTGACCAAAAATTGAATGTGATCACAAAGTGAACGTGTGGTGGGTTCCACTCCTCACCTGCCCACTCTCACAGTGCAGATTAACAATAAAAGCAATAAAGTAGGAATCGGAACAGAGGATTAAAATGTGCAAGGACTGCTGAAAATCCGGCTAAGGACCCAGAATCTAATAAAGCTACAAACTGGATTGAGAGAATAAAGAATATTTAAGGTCAGGGCACCTGTCTGGCATTCCATTGCAGGGTGGAGGAAGTGCTACATTGTCAGGTGAGACCTTAAACTGAGGTGTTGTCTCCCTATTCTGCGCTGTTGAAGAGCCCAAGGCATGTTTTGGGAAAAGAGCAGGGACCTTTCCTGGTGACCTCGCCAATATTCCTCCAAATTGACCCAAAACAGATAAAAGTAGTCTATCTTACTGCTGTGTGTGGGCTATCACTGGCACATTTGCTTTACTACACTGCAATTATAAATACGTGCATTTGATATAGCGCTTTATTACGTCAGTGATAATCCTTGTATTTGATCAGTGCTTATAGCAAAACATCTCAAAGTGCTTTATGTTAATTATTGTTAAGGTAATTAACCCTTAATTATGCTTGTGTAAAGATTTGTAGGCAAACACTGCGGTCAACTGCACACGGCAATATTCCACACACAGCCAGTGGGTGTTTGTAACGATCAAGTTATTTTGTTAGATTACTGGTGAGGACCAAACTTCTTTTCCCTGTTCAGGCGGATTGCACCTTGGTTTAACGTCTCATCCGAAGGACAACACCTCTGCGCAGTGTAGCACTTTCACCTCTGAGTCGTAAGGTTGTGGGTTCAAGTTCCATGTTGGGACTTGGAATCACGTAGTCTAAGATGACACTCCAATGCAGTACTGGGGTGTGTTAGTTGTCAGGGGGGGCCATCATTCAGATGAGACATTAAATTGAGCTCCCATCTACCTGTTCAGGTGGATGTTAAAGATCCCATGGCACTATTTGAAAAGAGAAGGGGGTTTCTCTCTTCCGGTTTCCTGGCCAACAATCCCCCAAAATAAAATTGGTCACTCGCTCCATGGCTGTTTGTGGGACACTGCTACGAACCACTGGCTGCCACATTTCGCCCAGAAAATATACAGTCAATTCATTTTTCAGTATTTTCTGTGAAGCGCTTTGAGACGACTCAAAGATGTGATAAGGTACTATATTAGATGCAAGGATTATTATTATTTTTAAGAGGACAATAGTTTAAAATGATAGTGGCCAGCAACCAATATGTAGGATAATGATGTGTAAGTGCTTTACAAAGACTACAGATCACTGAACTGGAGGGGAATCGGGGGAATTCTGAGGGCTTTGAAGGCAGAGTGACAAAGCATTCCAGAGAGTAGAGGGAGGGAGGAGAGAGTGGACTGAGGGTGTAGCTCAGCTGATGAGAGGGAGAAGGGGCAGTGTTCTCAATGGCAAGCTATGTTCTTTTAGCCGGTTAGACTACCAGCTGGAACACAATGCTTGGAATGGGCAGCAAAATGATTAACATCAAAATGGGGAAAGAGGAGGTTTGTTTTGATGCACATGTCCGCACAAGTACATAGCAGATCTCTGGTCAGCGAATCGAGAAGGACAAGATTGCTAACGTCTGTTTCTTTCCCCAGTTATAAGTGTATCCGGCAGAGTCTAGAGGTCAGCAACAGATGCCCAAAGTGCAACTATGTGATCGACAACATAGACCAGCTTTACCCCAACTTTCTAGGTGAGTCCACTTGTTCGATTCCCAGGTGGGGCGAAACCTTAGGCAAGTTTCCTTACTCTACACACCTCTGTTTTTCTAGCACTGAGTGGGAACCTAGTTGTTAGTCGATTGGCGGGTTGCTTTCTGGGTGTAATAATCCTTCCCCCCCAAAAATAAATTGTCACTTAATCCATGACTGTTTGTGGGTCACTTTGTGCGCAATTGGCTGCAGCATTTCGTCCACAAAATATACAGTCAATTCACTTTACAGTATATTCTATGAAGCATTTCAGACATCTTGAAGGCTTGATAAGGCATTATCAAATGGAAGGATTATTATATGTAATTGGAAAAGAGAAGGGAGGTGCTCTCTCCTGGTGCCTGGCGAACAATCCCTAAGAAAAAAACAGCAAATCCTGTGAAGTGCTTTGAGACAGGTTAACCAAGGTGCTACATTAAATGTATTATTTAATTAAACATGGAATTAAGATCAGAAGTTAAACTGAAGTCCTGTCTGCCTCTTCAGGTGGATTTTAAAGATCCCATGTGCTATTCAAAAAGAGAATGGAGTTTCTTTGTCCTGGTGTCCTGGCTAACAAATCCCCAGATAAAATTTGGCGACTCACTCCATGACTGTCTGTGGGACACTGCTGCGCTCAACCTGGCTGCCGTGTTTTACACAATAAATACAAAAATACACAGGCCCTATATCAAATGCAAGGATTATTATTCTTTTTATTACTTAGTGAGGGAGTTGCAGGGTCCCTTAATCATATAATTGACAAATAGAGTTATTTAATAACAAAATAAATTTATAAATTAAGAGCACCCGTGATTCCCACTTGGTTTACACATGACACATATCAGATCTCATTGATGCTGATTCAATGCAGTGTAAAGCAGTCTTTTCTCAGTCTCTGTACAGCACCATCCGATGGTAAAGTAGGAACACTGCTCCACACACATTCCTTGATTTGAATGCAGTAAATCACTGGGATGTTTCCTTACTCCATGCAAATTCACTGCAGGTTTTATTAATAATGCATATGAGACTTAATCTATTATTAACAGCCCCTCAGCAGATTGACCTTTAAGATCCTCATTTCCATTTCTTTGCACTGTGATCTCTGTGGTCCTCCTCCCCTGTCCAGTTTCTCCACTTCCTCCCCCATCCAGCCACCTCGTTCTGCTCTTGTACCCTTCCTCTCTGTTTTCTAAAAGCCTAACTCTTTGACTACGGCTTCTGTCATACCTACTCCCAAACTACCCTGCTTGGCCTCCCACTTTATAGGTTAGAATTTAACCCTAAAGGGAAACCACAGGGTGAATCTCTCAAAGGTGCAGGATTCACCTCCCTCATTAGTACCGTATTCAGTTTTACTCCACGACCGTGCTCTGTAACAGAATGGAGAGGTAGACCAAAAATCTAAGGCACTTGGGCATAAACCAGTGGCCGTGATTTCTGCTGGGAAGGTATTCGAGGACTGGGCACAGGGTTAGGATTATAACTAGGAATGTAAAGGGGAAAAATGGCAGGATTTACACTCTATCCTCCTCTATTGCCTCTCCTCACACCTCAGCCTTCACGGTTCTGTTCTTGAATGGATCAGATCCTACCTCTCACACCACCTCCAATTCATCTCCACAAATGGTTTCTCCTCGAGTCCCAGGTCCCCTCCTCTTCAATATCTACATCCTCCCTCTTGGTTACATCATCCGCAGATATGGGGTCAACTTCCACATGGATGCGGATGACACCCAACTCTATCTCTCTGCCTCCACCCTCGACTCCAGGACCTGCTGTCCTGACAGAATGTCTGTCAAACATCAAGTCCTCGATGAGAGGTAACTTTCTACAGTTGAACATCAACAAGACCGAGGTCTTCCTGATTGGCTCCTGCCAGTGCCTCCACATCTGAGGCACTGACAGCATCACCATCCATGGATGCACACTCCACCTCACGGAGCCAGTCCGGAACCTTGGCGTCTTGTTTAACCATCAACTATCCTTTCTAACCCACATCCATGTCATGACCCACTCTACTTCCCCCACTTCTGCAACATCGCCCGGCTCCACCACTGTCTCACGCCGCAGGCCGCCCAGACCCTCATACATGCATTCATAACATCCAGGCTCGACCTCGCAAACTCCCTGCTTGTCAGCTTCCCCAACTCCTCCCTCCAAAAGCTGCAGATCATCCAGAACTCTGCAGCTCATATACTCTCCTGCACCAGGTTCTGTGATCTTATCACCCCTATCCTCGCCCGACTCCACTGGCTTGCCAACACACAAAGGATACAGTTCAAGATCCTGGTTCTCACCTTCAAAGCCCTCCATGGCCTTGCTCCCCTCTACCTCTGCGACCTCCGAACCCCCTACTAACCTGTCTGCTCCCTTCGCTCAGCTGGCTCCAGCCTGCTTCACATCCCCTGTTTTGCCTGCCCGATCATTGGCAGGCTGGCCTTCAGCCACTCTGAACCCATCCTCTGGAACTCCAACCCGCAGTCCCTCCGCCTTGTCCCCTTCCCTTCTTTCAAGACCCGTCTCAAGACGCTTCTCTTCGACCGTGCCTTCGATCACCCTCCTTCCTGCCCTGCACCCTCCCTGATCTCGACCCTCGCTCAGGTCCGAAACATTGATTGTCCAGTGCCTTGGGACGTCCTCCCGACGTGAAATGCACTTCATAAATGCATTTGTTGTTGCTCTTTGATAGAGTAGCATACAGAGATAGGCTGAGCTGCCTTCTGAGCTGTGAGTTCCTCTGGTCCTGTGGGCGGCTGTTGGAGCAGAGTGGGTCATCTCAAAGGAAATTAGCAATGTAGCCGAAGAGGACTAGTGTGGCCGGGAATTGGGATTAGGATAGCTGGTTTTGCTGGAGGCGCTAACACTGACACTGCAGTGGGTTGAATGGCCTCCTGCTGTGGGGGAAAATTTCTATGGAAGTGTATTATTCCAAACCAGACATGTTACAAAGCGATTGAAAGTGAACCCAACAAAATAAAGCCGGTGAGGAGAGGGGGTTTCCAGCACATCAACTCTGGGGGAAAACACCTTTATGCAATACCGCCAATCTGTCCCCATCTTTTCTGTTATTCGATCCCTTTCCTTGGTCATTGACTTTAAAATATTAGCAGTATTAGACCCTGCATAAGGTTCCTGTGCAGGCCATATTTATGAATGAGCCTGGCAAGTGATTGTTACAATAGAACATTTACGTTTGATACAGCACTTTATCCCATCAGTGGCTCCCAATACTTTACAGTATGAATGTGTAGAGCAATATTTGTTGTTATTATGTAGCAGATTAATCTGCCAAATGTAATGCGTTTTGGGTAAATTTGATGAGGGAGGAATATTGATTCGGGCATGGCAACATCAAATTAATACCTTGGTATGTTTAATGGTATCACCAGAACAGACAGGTGGGACCTGAGTTTGGTATCTGATTTGGAGGCCTGTGATTCTGGCACTGTGGTCCTCCCCCAGCACAACACTGGAGTGTTGGCTTACACCGGGACCTCAAACCCATTGCTTGACCCAGATGAGAGATGCCCCCAGCCTGATAGACAACCATCGGAGACATTACAGCCAAGCTCGATTCTCTCCTGACTCAACGTTGTCACACAAATGCCCTTTGCAACAGGATCACAGCATTGAGATCAGGAGGCTAAGCTGCTGTTTGTGGTTGTAACTGTGCGTGAAGTGCTGGGGTGTGGGTTTTTCTTTGTCCTCATCAGAAACAAACACTAAGGTCAACTGTGTTCTCTACATCCCATCCCCTTTCACTCTGGCGACAATTACCTGCGATGTGATAAGGTGCTATATCAAATGCAAGGATTATTATTAAGGATTAATAATAATAATTCCTTGCATTTGATACAATGCTTTTCATATCAGGAGGGTGTCTCAAAGACTTTTTCTGTAAAGCTACTGACTGTCTTTTGAAGATGAACATGGCTTAGCAGCAGGTTGGGAGAGATCCGGCGGGGCAGAACAGAGGTTCAAAAGGCTTTTGAACATTGTGTTGTTAATGAATGTGTTGTTAATAAATGTACCACTTCAGGTTTGTAACTACTGTAACAGCTGTCTAACCCTTCTACTAGAGAGGTGTGGTTAGTTAGTTTAATTCTCGACATAAACTAAGTGCGGTGTGATGTTCTCTTACAGTTAATGAGCTCATCCTCAAGCAGAAGCAGAGATCAGATGAGAAGCGGCTGAAGCTGGAACATCCAGTAAGTGGCTGGCTTTATTTTAGTTTCTAGGTCAATAGATGTTGCCCAGAGCCGTCTCCTTCATTCCAGAGTGCTTGAGAAGCTGTCTGTGCAGAATGAGCCTCACAGACCAATTGTGCTGGGCTTGCCGTAGTGTGGTGCTGCTCACAGACATACACAGCACGTCTTCCACCTCCATCAGAGCTTTCAAAACCATCCTTTCACCGACCATACCTTCAGCCACTTCCTTCCTCACCCTCCATCTCCACCTTGCTTGGGCTTGTACTCCTCTGTAAAGTGCTTTGAGATGCTGTTCTGTGTGAAAGGCACTGATTAAGCATAATTGTTGTCAGTGACTTTGCCAAAGCCAGAGAAAGAGAGTCTGTGTGCATGCGTATGAGTGTGTCGGGGAGGTGAGAGACAGAGTAGACATTGTAGCCAATTTATATGTTGTGTGAGGTTCAGTTTATCTGTACTTCTGCTTATCCACTGGGTCCCAGTTTGTCTGCTATATTGTCTTTTACTAATTAAATGGTACCTTGGGTTTGCTCTCCAGAATGGCCACAGGTGGCAAGCGATTCAGGATGTGCTGATCACAGACCAGGACAGTCTGGATCTGGCTAACGTTAACCTCATGCTGGATTTCATCATGCAGAAGAAGCAGCAGCTGGAGATGGTAAGCGAATTTTGCTGAGAAAAATCATGGTGCACTCGGTAATACTCTCATCTCCGAGTCACAAGGAAGTGGGTTCACGTTTGGACTTTGAATTCACAGTCTAGGCTGACACAAGCCAAAGCACTTCTACTTTGACTACAAGAACTAAACTGGCTTCTAAAGCGCACAATCTCACAGCCTGTCACCAGGAACGTAGGAATTGCTAGATGAAAAAAGACTACGGTCCATCTAGTTCTACCATCCTGGTAGTAGCCATGCTACAATAATGGACATGTTGATGGCAACTCATTCTGTATGGATTAGTTTACCACAACGTGGGAAGCTTTGGGAACCTTAGATCCAAAGTTACCTTGTTCTCCAAGCAAACTACACTTGCCGTATATTGTGTCTCAATTTACTCATACACTATCCCAAAATATTTTTAAAAAAATCAGCATTTGAAAGCATGACACATTCTGCTTCCACCCTGTTCCATAGATTTACACTGGCTTCCGTCCTGTACAGTGGTAAATCTGCTCAGGCTAATCCAGTCGTTCATCATTGCTCATGCTTGATCTGAAAGCTATTACCGTTTCCTAACTCTGAATGGTTTTCTCTCAGACCCGATGGATTTCCTTCAGCTGTTTTTAGTTCAGGTTGCACTTTCTCTTCCCTATTAAATGGGTACTGATGAAATGCCACCAAACACTATCAAACTGGAGCACAAATAATGCACACTTCAATGCATGTCCACTCTGAAATGTGAGGAGGTCAAAGCACTCAACTTCAATAAATTGTTGTGTGAGACAGCTACATAATGGAAGCAAGATTGAAGCAAGGAACTATGTTAGCATTTGGCACTTGGTTTTGCATTCTCAGCGCGATGTGCAGCTTATTCTCAGGTACATACCTCAAAAGGTCTTAGCTCTGATGAGAGGCTCGGCAGGATCTGATTCTGTTCCTTTGAGTTGGGTTGATCTGATTGAGGTGTTTAACCAAGGCAATTGACAAGCTATATAGTGAACGACTCTGGAGGATTCCCAAGTAAGGGACAGATTCTGGAAGTGAGATCAGAAAACCTCACTTCACACTGAGGTTGCAAGAATGTGGAACCCACAACTCCGGAGATCTATTTGGGAAGAAAGGATATACATACGGTATATAATTAATAGTAAAGATTAAAGTATTTTTTATAAAACTAGACATGATACTCATTTTTGTTGAGTTTCTAGAGATGGGGAGAGCAGGGAATGAGATTAGAGTAAAGAGCTCCAGTGGGGGAGGGAGCACCAGCACAGACATGATGGGAGAGAGCAGGGAACAGGATTAGAATAGAGAGCTCCAGTGGGGGAGCAAACACCAGCACAGACACGACGGAGTGAGCAATGGGGAGTGAGCTCCACCAGGTTATGATGGGTCTAATTTTAACATTGTAATTCTATATATGAACCTCTTTATTTGAAGCATTGAGTGCAGCGGAAAGTGTTAAATCTGGGAGTGACAGATGAGACTAATAGGCTGGCGGCATTTACCAAGGAAATCCTGCTTTGCATTTAACCACATTTCCTTTATTCAGGAATCACAAGCAGCCCAGTTGCAAATTCTAATGGAGTTTCTTCAGGAAGCAAAGAGGAATAAAAAAGAGGTTAGTGAGACATATGCTGTATATTTCAGCCGTGTCCTTTTCATCCTGTCTGGTGATGAGTTTAGCTCAACTGTGACCGTACAACTAGCTTCCACTCTAAAAGGGTTAAGGTCTGAGATCGGAATGACTCCTGCCATTTGGGGCAGGCCAACCAATAACAGCTCCAGCAGAGCAATAACTGGGCTTTGTGTCCATCAGTGGCTCATAATGCAGCCCGGACATCCACAGTCTTTGTCCCGGGGAAATTGAGATTTGTGGATTTCTGGGATTATTATCTTATTGTGATAGATGTTGCTTTTTCTGTCCCTCAGTCTGTAGGAAATCTGGCTTGTCCCTCTTGTCTATGGCCACTGGTTCTCAACTATCAGAGCTCCTGCCCTCACTCTGTCCGTCTCTCTCTCTCTCTCTCTCTCCTCCCGCTGGGCAGCTTTGTTCTGTGTGTGTATGTGGCCACCCATTCCCACAGTTTTGGTGAGTGTCAGGTGAGTCTCTGACTGGCAACCCCACATGCTCACAAGTACTTGGTAGTACTCAGCCTGGCTCAGTCGGTGATCTCCTACCTGAGTCAGAAGGTTGTGGATTTTCAGCCCCACATTGGGACTAGGAGCTCACATTCTAGACTGATGATCCAGTGCGTTGTTGGGGGAGCACTGTTTGTGGAACATTGCTGTGTATAAATTGGCTGTTGTGTTTGCCTACAAATACACAGTCACTACCTTTCAGAGTAAATCTGGTGAAGTGCTTGGGATATCCTCCTGAAGGCGTGCTAACAAATGCAAGGATTGCTCTCCTGGTTAATCTCTCCTGTTGCTTTCACAGCAACTGGACCAATTGCAGAAAGAGCTTAATGTTCTTGAAGAGGACATCAAGCGAGTAGAGGTGAGTAAAGCTCTCATATACCAACTTGCCACCCATGCTTGGGGCCATGACATGGTCAGGGCCCTCCGTGCTGGTTTTCCCTGTAAAGTGTTTCTCTTGACACTAGTGGTAAGACAAAACCCAGTCATTTCAATGGCTAGTTTAATTCACATATCTCATCCCCGATGCAGATCTGTCAGCCTGACTCAGTTGGTAGCATTCTTTCCTTTCAATCCAAAGGTTATGGGTTTGAGCTGCACGATTGTACTTTGAGCTCACAGTCTAGGCTGACACTCCAGTGCAGTGCTGGAGAGAATGCTCTGCGTTGTCAGAGGTGCTCTTTCTGGCCTCTTCACTATGAGCTGCAACTCATCCACACTCCATCACCCTCAATCCCTCAACTCTCCTTACCAAACTGCATGCCAATCACCCCAGGCTTCACTGCCTCCCGAGCTCCCCTCAGACCAATTTCTCAACCTCATCTACAAATCTATCCACTCCCCACTTAACTCTCGGATCTTTCCCTACCTCACTAATCCGCTCGCCGCTTCCGCTCGGCTAGCTTGGGTTTGCTATGCATCCTCGGTATCGCCACGCTATCATTGGGGGTCGGTCCTTCGGTTCCCCTAACCTCTGGGTCTCCCTCCCTCTGTCCTCCGGCTTTAATTTGTGCCTCAAATCCTATACGACTTGCATTTATGTAGTGCCTTTCACAAAGGGTAGAGTCTTGGAGTGCTTAGCTACTTATTTATCTCTTTGAACGTGTGCTGAATGCTCCGAGATGCTTCTCTGTATCCCTATCCCTCCTCACCTTCATTTTTTGTGGTATCCCTGTGAAGAGCTCTGAAATGTTGCCCTGTATAAATGTGAGATGTTGTTTGTCAGCTGTTGAGGGCGAAAAGGTTGCTTGCTATCTGCTTCAAGAATGCTGAGCAGGATTTCAGCCAGAAGAGCAAGTGCCTGGTGCCATATCAAATGTCTATACAGATCAGATTTTCAAACCTCTGCAGCGTTTCTTCTGAATCATTGCAGAGTATTTTGCAGTCACTGGGGCTTGGGGTTCTGCGCTCTCTCAACCACCCCAAGCGAAAGCCTGAATGGGTTGGGATGGATTACTAGACAGTCCTCTCAATGGCAAGCTATGCAGGTTTAGCTGGGTAACTGCTGGGTTTAGACTGATCCCCATGTGTTGGCTCTTGTCAACCTGTGCTTAGTAATCTCCAGGGAGTGCACTTTCCACTCCAGGAAACCTCTGTGTGAACGTGGAACTGTTAATGGTTTGGCGGATTTCAAGCATTGCAGTGTGTGACTAGCATTAGATAATTAGTAACGTTCACAAATGCATTTGTTGAACTAAATGTGACGAACTGTTTGTGAGAGTCATGTTGCACTACCCGATACCTGAATGACTCTGATGGTGACAAACTGGGATTGTGAGTATCACAGTACTTATAGTACAGCCTCGCCATCAAGCTCCCCCCTTCCCTCCCCTCCTCCATCAAATGCTTATGTGTCTGTTTCCAGCGTTTGCCTTGTGTCAGGACAAAGCACTTCCCCTGGAGAGTGAGAGCAACTCCTTGACTATCCACCTTGTCCAGTGAAGTGTCTCGAGCCGTCTTCAATCAGGGTCTGTGAAAGACAGGGAAATGGAATTGTTCACTCGAAGGGCTTTGGGACAGCAATCTGCTCGGAAGCTCCTTGCTGCCTTGTTTCCTGAGGCCTTTGACTGAATGTCAGTGTTTAACTCATTTCCAGAGGCTCTGTTTCAGGCGTAATGAGCCATGTAGACTTGATGTTGGGGCTGACAGATAGTGCTAATTGATGCGCTGAATGGTCAAATTCAGAGCCCGAGAGTCTATCAGACTGATACACAGGGAGGAGGCAACAGCACTCGCTGTCAGAGTTTTTCTGTGTGAAATACAGGCAGTGTAATAGGATTGTACAAGGCTAACAGGATGCTATCTTACAGGGGCTGATATTCACTGAGAGGACTGGCCTGCACTCTCCCATCAGTGAGCTGATCCCCCAACAGAACTTGGACAGCACAGTGCCACAGTTTGAAGCTCCATCCCCATCACACAGGTAATTTCTGGATCGGTGGCGTTTTATTCACATGGCAGATTGATTGTGTGTGTGTGTGTGTGTGTGTGTGTGTGTAAGCACAGGGGCTCCCGGGGGGCGGGGGTGCGAAGAGTTGTTTGCAAATGGACTACTGTCATACCATCTCCAGGGTTACAATGGCTGGGTCGGACGGTTATGGTGCCAGCCAGCTTCTGGGTCTCAGAACCTCTCACCTCTTCTCCAAATGGCCACTTCCCCATGCAGTCGTTTCAGTCTGTGCTTTCCCAGGACGGAGCCTGGCAGGGTTTCAGAGACGCTCAACAGCCTTTTTAATAATAATCCTCGCATTTGATATAGCGCTTTTCATGTCGGGAGGACATCCCAAAGCGCTTCACAGAACACACTGTAAAGTGAAGTGACTGTATATTTGTGGGCGAACGCGGCAGCCAATTGCGCACAGCAATGTCCCACAAACAGTCGTAGATTGAAAATGACCAATTTATTATTGTGTTGGGTTTTGGAGGTTATTATTATTATTATTTAAAGTATTATTATGTAAAGTGAATAATAATAATTTATTAAATAATAAAAGTGAATTTATTATTCACTTTACAGTGTGTTCTGTGAAGCGCTTTGGGATGTCCTCCCGACATGAAAAGCGCTATATCAAATGCGAGGATTATTATTAAAAAGTCATACTTTTTGCCCTCCCTTCTTCCCTTCTCCTTGTATGCCCTTGCTTCCTTCTGAGAAATTAACTAGAGTACATTTGCAATGTATAATGAAGAGGGTAGAGACCCCTTCAAGAGTGGTTTAGTAACTACTGACTTGATTGATGTGGTGGCTTCAAAGCTGCAGACTTTTAAAGAGGCAGCGACCGTATTTGTTTGATGAATAGTAACAGGAAACCTCATCATCCAACATGGGACTATTGCTCAGTTTGGAACATACAACCACGTGTTTCACATTATTTGCAGATTGGTCAGGTTGCTGTTGCGGTTTTGTTTACAGGTTCGTTTTAAGGCCGTGACCCCGCGTTTCAGTGCGTCAGCCCTGCTCAATCAGCAGTGCTCTCACCTCCGGATCAGATAGGTTCAGATCTCATGGCTAGGACTTGTAAGCGGGGTCTCCTTGGAGCTGAACTTGCTCCAAGGTAAAATGGCTGAAACAGAATATTGGAATCGAGCCAACCCTCTATGGTCTTGGTAGGCTGGTTCCTAAGCCAGGTGGGTCCATAGCATTCCGGGGCACTGCTGATGACAGCACAGCCCTGAATGGCTCATCGGCAGGACTTGGAAGGGCAGATCAGTCACTGGAGGCAAGGAGTCATCCGATCAGCTCCTGTTAACCCTGCAAACCAAAGCCCTAACGGGTTGGGTGGTCCTAGCTGGGCAAGCAGTGGGAAAGCTTGCCAGACAACAATATCAATGGCGAGCTATGCAGTTTTAGCTGGTTAGACTTCAGCAGCTAGCCCAATGCACACTCTGGGTTCCCCAAGCCTTGGCTCTTGCCAACCTGCGTCTAATATTTTCCAGAATTAGGTAAGTAGGATCCATCCTTCCAGGGAGAGATTGCGCATTCCATTCCAACAATCTATCTCGAATTTCCGTGTGTAGGTGGGATACATGGAATTCTCAGTTTGGTTTGGATACTCTTTAAGTATGGGATAGTTTTTCCGCATGTATCAGACACCTGACTGTCCAAAACAAAATGGCTAGGAGTCAGTGACACTCTGCTGTTTACAGACAGAGCACAGCATTGTCACTTGGCCTGTCTCCAATGGTTGCTAAAGATCAGTGGAGTCCTGCAGCTTCGCGGTTAGAGCACTTGCCTCACAAGCGAGAGGACCTGGGTTCGATTCCCGGGCAGGACGAAGTTTCCTTACTCCACCTGCCTTTGTTCACCTAGCAGTAAGTAGGAACCCATTTGTTTATCGCTTGGCAGATTGATTTGCAGGGGTAATAATCCCTTCAAATAAAAAAATTTAAAAATGTGTTAACTCAATTCACAACTGTTTGTGATACAATGCTGTACGCAATTCGCTGCTGCGTTTCTCCCACACAATATACTTATACAGTCAATTCACTTTACAGTATATTCTGTGAAGCTCTTTGAGACGTCTCGAAGACGTGATAAAGTGCTATATAAAATGCAAGGATTGTTATTATTATCTCATGTTACCATTAAAAAAGAGAAGTGTTTTTCCTGGTGTCCTGGCCAGCAATCCTCCAGGTCAGCTGGTTATTCACTTTTATACATTTTGCAGTATGCACAGATCGGCTGCCATGTTTGCTATTTTGCCTCACTGCATTCACAGTAATCCCTTTGGCACTGTTTAAGAAAAACGCTTAATAATTCAGGTTATTATATTATTTTATTATCAATAATAATCATCCTCATCCTGCCATTTGATACAATGACTTATCAAATTGTCAGTGTCTCAAAGCTCTTCACAGGAAAAGTACTTTGCTGTAAAGTGTAGTGACTGTGTATTTTGTGGGTAAAACGTATCAGACAGTTGTGCACAGGAACATCACACAAACAGCCACAAAGTGAGTGACCAATTTTATTTGGGGATTATTAGCCAGGACAACAGGAGAAAGAAACTGCCTTCTCTTTTCCAATTGTGCTGTGGGATCTTTAACATCCACCTGACGGGGGTTTTCAGTATGATCTTGCATGTTGTATGTAATCTAACTCTGAATGCGCTAACATTTGTCCCTCAATTATTTTTGATCTTTCAGCAGTATTATTGACTCCACCGAGTATAACCAGCCCCGGGGGTTCAGTGGGAGTTCCCAGGTGAGCAGCCTTTAGTGTGACAAATCTACAGCCTGCAATGTGTGTCTGCGCTATCCCAGAGCTTCAGTCAACACAACACTGATGTGACTCAAATTAATATCTGGGACAGGGCATGTTATAGGTGTAGGCTCAGCTCCGGTTGGCAGAAAGTGGTGCGGGTAACAGCAGAACGACTCACACTCTAGCCTCAGGTCTGGGTGAGGTGGCCTCTTCCTCCCTGGGAGTGTTGATGATCATATTAATTATTAAGACTGCCTTCACATTAAACCAGCTCAAAATCCCTGACTCCTTGAATTAGTTGTTCTCCACGGTAAAGGTGAGGGGGGAATCCGGGGGGATGTGTTTGTTCAGCTTTGTCAGCCTGACCTAGAAGTTAGCGTTCTCGAGGTTGAGGGCTCCAGCTGCATGTTGAAACTTGTTCTCCGAGATATTTTACCCAGAGAAAAAAAGGAAAGAATTGTAGGACTATGGCGTAAGAGCTGAAGAGTGGGACTAATGTTTAGCTCTTTTAAAGAGCCGACATAGGCACGAGGGGCTGAACGGCCTCCTTCTGTGCTGTAAGATTCTATGCCCTGGTTGAGATGTTAAAAGTAAAGGCCTGTTTTGGGTAAATGCAGTTAAATACAGGTTTTCTCTTTTTACTTGCTGACGATGTGAGTTGACTGCTAACCGTGTGTGTATTGTGTACAGGGAAAGAGACAGACATGGTATAACAACACACTGGCGTCCCGGCGGAAACGCTTGACTGCGCACTTCGAGGACCTGGAACAGTGTTATTTCTCCACCAGACTCTCTCGTATCTCTGGTAAATGTAACTTCAAGCTCTTGCCGCTGGGTCAGAGGTTCATGGGTTGAAGCCTCATGCCTGGGACTCTGATCCTAAAGTCTAGGCTGACACTCCAGTGTAGTGCTGGGGAAGCCATGAGACTCTTCAAAAAGAGAAGGGAGTTACTTTCTCCCGGTATCCTGGCCAACAATCCCCCAGATAAAATTGGTCACTCACTTCATGGCATGTTTGTGGGACATTGCTGTGGGCAAATTGGCTGCCACGTTCACCCACAAAACACAGTCACTACATTTTATAGTAAATCCTGTGAAGCGATTTTAGATGTTTAATGTTATAAGTGTTATGTCAACTGCTAGGATTATTATTAATATTACTTCTAACAGAGCATTCCATGTTCCGGTAGTGTCAGGGTTAAAGATTTCCCTATCACACTACTTCATACTGTGTCACAGAAATTCAGCCCTAGTCAGGAACGGCTCATGTGTATGCCAGCATGTGAGTACGGGCGTGCGTACATCCCAGTGTGGTACAATACAAATTACATTTGTATCGTGCCTTTGAGGTTGGGAGGATATCCCAAGGCACTGGACAAATCAGGGATTTGGACCCTCGCTGTGGGTCGTGATCGGGGAGAGTAGCCGAAGGCTCGGTCAAAGAGGGAGGTTTTGAGATGCGCCTTGAAGGAGGAAAGTGAGGGAGTGAGCCGAAGGGACTGTGAGATGGAGTTCCATAGGATGGGGGCATAAAGGCTGAAGGCCAATGACGTAGTAGTCTGGGCGGGAGTCATGGAGCAGGCCACAGCTGACTGAACGGAGGGATCGGACAGGTTGATATGGGGTCAGCAGGTCACAGAGGTAAGGAGTGGCAAGGCCGTGGAGGGTCTTGAAGGCGAGGACGAGGATTTTGAACTCTGTCCTCTGGCTGATGGAGCCGAGCAACGGTGGGGGTGATGGGGTCATGGAGCCTGGTGCGGGAGAGGACATGAGCTGCAGAGTTCTGGATGATCTGCAGCTTGTGGAGGGAAGAGTTGGGAAGGCTGACAAGCAAGGAGTTGACGTAGTCAAGCCTAGATGTGATGAATGCGTGGATGAGGGTTTTGGCGATCTGAGGGGTGATGCAATGGTGGAGCTGAACAATGTTGTGGAGGTGGGGGATGGCAGAGCGGGTTCTATTTAATGCGTGTGGGGAGATTGGAGATAACCTCTTGCTTTGCTGCCAACAGATGAGACTAGATCAGCAAATCAACTGGAGGAGTTTCGGGAATGTCTGTCGAAGTTTACACGGTACAGCTCAGTCAGGCCGCTCGCCACTCTGTCCTACGCCAACGACCTGTATAATGGATCCAGCATCGTGTCAAGGTGAGACACTATACATTGTTGGCTAGATCCTGCCTCCTGGTGTTCACAAAGTCATGTTGTCCAACTGAAACATGTGGAAGAATGATGATAATTGTATTCAGTACAAGTGTTTAACTGTATTTAGACGTCCAGAGGATTGGTGTGTGTGAGCGCCATCATTTTCATGGCAGATAATGATCCGTCGCCAGGTTCGGCGCCACATCTTCTGTAACATGGATGGAGTCAGTGATGAGGAAGTTACTGGTGTCAGACTTTGTTACACTCAACTCATCTGCACCAGAAAATAAAAATTCATTATAAGAAAAAAAACAGGAGTAACAGGACATTGTGAACACCCTGTACTAAAACCCCCAAGGAAGGGCTAGAGTGCTGGACACACTAAAGTTTTCTTTTTAGGACAATGGAGAGAAATCACATAGTCTAAGCTGACACTCCAGTCCAGTGCTGGGGAAGCCCTGCGTTGCCGGAGGTGCCGTCCTTCGGATGAGATGTTAAGCCGAGGGCCTGTCTATGGCTGTTCAGGTGAACGTTTAAGATCACATGGCGCTATTCAAAAACGAGGGAGTTTCTCCTGGTGTCCAGGTCCAGATAAAATTCATCACTCCCAAGGTTGATTGCTGGATGTTGCTGTGTGCAAATTGGCTGCCATGTTCGCCTAAACTGTACACAGTCACTACACTTTACAGTAAATCCTATGAGCCACTTTGAGAAGCCCTGCTGACATGAAATGAATGGATTATTTATTTGAAGGGTAAGTTGGGAAGATGTGAATAGAGTAGCTGAGTGCTAAACACTGGCTATCCCACGGGTGTGCTCAGTCTACGTCCTTACCCTGTCAGCCTGCAATGCTCTCCAGTTTGCGCGGGTGGAATTTTAGACCGGAATCCGGCAATTTCACTTGGCTATTTGAACACCGTTGTTTCCGCTGGGGGTCAGAAACCTGTTTTCACAGCGATATGACTTCACAGCGGGGGAAACTAGGTCAGCGTTCATGTGGGTCGGTGTCTGAGATGCTCGCTATACTGTATCGGGAGGTGTGAAGAGTCTCGCTACACTGTCCGCTTGAATCAGGAGGTGTAGAGGGCAAAGAGCTGGAACTGGAGATTGCTGTTATGTTCTGTTATTTTGCTATGTGAAAAGGCTGAGGATATGGAGATGTTGCCAGTCTAGGGTTACAAACCCACAGACAAGCTCACAGACATTTCCCTCCCTGTTTTGGGTTTGAGACGGAGGATGTTGAAGGTGTGGATTGTTTCAGAGTGAAAGCTCCCCGAGTCTGTCCACACGATGGCAGTCTGTGCTCACAGCCCTGTTATACACTGCATTCATTGCGTTACACCAAGCCCCATGGGAGACCTGCTGTTCAAATCCTGCAATCCTGGAGCTTTATCTACAAGTCAGCAATTGTAAGCAGCAAGTCAGGAGCCTAAGAAAATATAGGAACGAATCCTCAAGGCCAGCGGGCTAAACACAACGCTACAAGGCTCGTTAATGGGGAAAAATCTGTTAATGGAGGCTAAAAATCTAATTAATGGCGGAAAAACCCTTTAATGGAAAAAATCCTAATCCTTGTGGCCAGTAGAGAGAAAAACACCCACACTGCTGTCTCGCACACATCTATTGATTTCTTCCCCAAATAGCTTTCTTAATTCCCTCTTGAGTTTGTGCCATGATCTGCTCCACCGGTCCCTGCATAGCGTGTGCGACACACTCACTGTGAGCACTAATTAAACAACTGTCCCCCAGCTCTTACTGAAGGCCATCTCTGAGATTGACGTGCCATCGCTGCTGCTGCTGTGGCAAAGACCTCTTTCAGGAGGCGGGGTGCATTATGCTACTGTTTTCCTGATGTTTGTGATCTTTGAATCTCAGGACCCGGGCTGGGAGCCTGGTTTTTCGTGCCATCTCCTGCCCTCTCCATCAATATTTGGTTACGGAGATAATAATCATAATGCTTACGTTTGATATAGCGACTTTCACGTGGGGAGGACGTCTCAAAGTGCTTCACAGGGTTCACTGTAAAGTGGAGTCGCTGTGTATTTGTAGGCAGCCAATTTGCGCACAGCAATGTCCCACAAACCGCCATGAATAGAATGACTGAGATGGTTTGCCGCAGGTGATCTGTGGTTTTTCCAAGGGGACTTAATATACAAAACTAATATACAACACTATGGTAAACACTCGTTTACCGTAGCTGTGTAGAGCCTCAGAGCTATGCTGTTTATGGGTTTGTTTAAATTATAGCAAAATTAAAAAAGATAGCATGAATCCTATTGTTACTTCCTCTCTCTTTATATATATTATATAATATATATAAGGTAAATTGTTCACCTTCTGTGTTGTGACTAAAGGACAAAGATTCTAAAATTAATTTTCTTCATTGCTTGGAATCCTCCACAAACGGTTTAATACTGACTGACCAACTTGTGTTGCTGTACCTGCAAAGTGTGAAACGTTCGTGGTCTGCTCACTGGATGCCCGTTCTTGTGTTCACTCTCCATTTCTGCTTCTCTGCTGATAACTCAGCTTGTGCTTAATTGGACTTTAAGCTATTTGAGTTGATCAGTTTTGCATATTAACAAAATAAGCGATTTCCCTCCTCGGCAAGGGGAGCTGATCAGATAACACAATTGGATTACTAGTTTGTATTTCGTTACCTTTTCTGCATAGAGAACTTGTGGGAATAGATATAAAAAGCCTGAAGGACACGTGTAATTAGCCCTGCACTGTTTTTAAAAATAAAGAAACAGAGCATTTTTATGTTGCCTATTTTATGATGACAAGTGGAGGTCAGATTTGTCCCGAAATCCAATATCCATTTGCTACTATAAATTGGATTGTGCATTCCGAATCAGTAGCTGCATAAATCAAACCTGCCTCGGGGAGCACATCACATCGGTGCCAGCTTGGCTTGTTGCCAGCATAAACTCGCAGAGGAATTACAATCCACATCTTTTCCTTCACCCCAACCCCTTCTCTCCCCTCTCTATAGCAGATGTTTGCATCTTCTCTGCCCTCTCAACAACAACAAATTCTATTTGTATAGCACCTTTCACTTCGGGATGATATCCCAAGGCGCTGGACAGTTAGGGATTTGGACCCGATCAAGAGGGGTGGAAGGAAGGGAGGGTGAGTGGGTACGAGGGTGACCGAAGGTGAGGTCAAAGAGGAAGATTTTGAGACATGCCTTGAAGGAGGAAAGGGAGGGAGCAAGGCAAAATTGTGTGATGAAGTTCCAGAGGGTGGGGGCAGAGAGGCTGAAGGCCTGTCTGCCAATAGTGGGGCCGGACTGGGAACATGGAACAGGCTGGAGTGGATACAGTGGTACTGATCCCACCGTGGTACAACACCGAGGAGAGCAGCGCAGAGTGTGGGGGAGATTGACACTCAGCGAAGCTATGTGCAGGAGGATTGAACTGGTGTCTGCTTGCCATGTGCAGTGAAGTGTGGCCTGTGAAAGGTAGTTTCCTGGCTGCACGTGTGACCGGGATGGTGTGTGGATAGACTGCAGTGATATCAGTGGCTGGTCCATCGGGATCGTCGTGGGGAGAACAAGGCCCACATTGGTATTGGCTGGTAATGGGCTCTCTCCCTCCCTCAGTTTCCACATGGCTAGCTGTGGTTTCAAAATCCTTGATCCTTGACGGTCCAGCGCCTTGGGATGTCCTCCCAACAAGAAAGGAGATATACATATGGAATTGGAGTATAAATTTGAAACAAATCTGCAGAAACATACATGTTCATACATTTACTACTTGCATACATACAGGTTCCCTAGGGAGACGGTGGAAGCAGGAAGTGTTGATCCTTTCAAGAACAAAGTAGATAGATTTATGATAGGAAATAATATCTTGGGATACAACACTAGCTTGCATTTATATAGAGCCCCTCACACAGGGTAGCGTCCCAGAGTGCTCATATGTAGCTTGAGATATGACATGTCAAGCGACTACCGGGATGGTGGAAGGCGAACTGGATGGACCTTGATCTTTTCGTCTAGCAATTCTTCTGTTCTTCATTTGTTGTTGTTTCCAAACCCAGTCCTGGTTTTGATATGAACACCGTTTAGGGGAATGTGAGTGTCTACCCCCTAGCTTTGCTGAGGTTGGTTGAGTGGTTTACATTGGGTTTCTAGCTGCCTGCTGGCAGGACAACCTGGCGATAGCTCTGGGAAAGTAGGAATGCCAGGAATTTTAATTCTAATTTTTAATTTTGATTCTTAATTTTAATGGATATTTTGTAATTTTTTTTACAGTATTGAATTTGACCGAGATTGCGATTTCTTTGCTATCGCTGGGGTGACGAAGCGGATTAAAGTGTTTGAATACGGCAATGTGATCCAGGACGCAGTGGACATCCACTATCCAGTCAACGAGATGACCTGTAACTCGAAAATCAGGTGAGCTTTCATGCGAATAGCTACTGAATTCAGAGTTTCCAAATAATTTGTGTTGTTTCTCCCCACTGGTGTACATCTCTCTGCCCCCAGCCTGGCCTCCTGTCTGCCTCCCAGCCTGGCCTCTCTGCTCCCCCCACCAAATTGTATAAATTTGCTGGCTAATTACAGGTCATTTGCAATTGCTGTTTGATGCTGGTGGCAGTGGGTTTCGCCTCTCTGACGAGCTTTACACTGTCAACGCTGCTCGTTCCTCAAACAAATGATTTTTGTTCTCAACCTCAAAGTTGCTCAGTCCCAGAACAGATCCCGAGACCATGCCCTGCTTTGTAGAAGCTGATTACAGAGGCACAAGTTGTGAGCAAGATTATTACAGTGAATAAAGTTTTCCACAGTTTGAATCGTAAACAGCAGGTGGTCCCTCTGGGGCAGAGGCAGTTCAGCTTTGTGCTCGTAGCTGCAGTTTTCCAGATTTAAGTCATAATGGGCATTGAGTTAATCTAGAGAGCGCTCACTCCCGTCTGGGGCGTGTCTGGCTATTAGCAGAACGTTGTGGGTTCCAGCTCCACGTCGGGACTTTGAACTCTTATCTAAGATGACACCTCAAGGTGCAAGGTTCAAGATATCATCATCCTTCAGATGAGATGTCAAACTGAGGTCCTGTCTATGTGTTTATGTGGACTTTATAGATATCGTGCCACTATTCAAAAAGAGAAGGGAGATTCTCTCTCCCGGTGTCCTGGCCAACAATCCCCCAGATAAAATGGGTCACTCTCACTCCATGGCTGAGTGTGGGATGTTCCTGTATGCAAATTGGCTGCTGCATTCAGCTCCAAAATAGTCACTACATGTTATTATTCTATTATTCCTGTGAATTGCTTTGAGATGTCTAGACAGGGTGAAAATGAGCGGTATAAACTCAAGGATGATTTAGTATTAGCAACTTTCCGTCTCTGACTCCCGTATCACAGTCTAGAACTGGCAAAGGATGAATGTGCCTTTGTTAGTTCTCAGTTACTGACACTGGACACTCACACAGTGAGGTGGTCTCGTCACAATGGGCAAGAGCTATTATGACGCTCCCTGCTCCCCAAAGCCACATGCACAAAGCTCTCCCTTGCCAGCCGTAGGCTGTCTCTCCTGATGCTCTTCATGTGCATTAATTCCTGTACAGCTCTGTGTCTTTGCTCCCAGTTTACGCCATCTTTCACAGAGTGTTTTCTCATCAGGCCTGCCGTACTGGGGACAGGCAGGCAAAGGCAAGGATGTGTGACCATCATGGCTCCTGTGGGACTCCAAACTCTGAGGCATTGTCCCTCCCACGGAGTGTCTTTCCTGCTCTCCCCCCGGCTCCATTGTGCAGCCGTCTGTTCCTTTATATCCGGTGCTTGAGCTTGCTGAGTGAATGATGATGGTGACCTACATTGGCATGTTGGAGTCCTCTCATACATTAGCGTGAGCACAAGGAGGAAGCAGATTCTGCTGCACTTTGTTGCCAGGCTGTTCGAGAGCGTGAGGAAGATTAGGAATGTTGTGCTTGTAAATGTCCTGAAAACATCGACAGCTGCAGGCTGTGCAGATTGATAAGAAGCGTCTCACAGTGAGCAGTCTGATTGCTGCTCTCCTGCTTGTCCTTCACCCCAATATTGGTGGCCAAGCCTTCAGCCACTCCACCCCTGTCCCTGGAATTCACTTCCCAAACCTCTTTCCTGTTCTTCTGGCCTTCACAACCCTACTGATCTTTTCAACCCAGCTTTTCGTCAAAGTCCATCATTCTCCTTCCAGTGCTTCAATGCGTTTGTTGTATGAGTGCCAACCAGTAAGTGTGAGAAGCTGTCAGGCAATGACATGGGACGAATTGGATACTGCAGTGTGTTGAACACTCCCTTCACATAAAGCACCAGGTACAAAAGCTGCTTTTCTCTCTCATGGTAGTGACACCTGGTCTGAATATTGTCCATTTTCTCTCGCTTGATGACCGACCGGCCTGTCAGATGTCGGGGGGGGGGGGGGGGGGGGGGGGGGGTGAGAGAACAGGCTTGCCCCAGCTATTGCTGCCTGGATAAATCAGTACAAGCACAACCCTACAGAGACAATCCATTGTTATCTCCCCTGCACACATTCATTAGCAATATAGTACACTGGGGAAAATCACACTTTGTTTATGTGCATCTACATGCAGATAAGCATCCTTTTTTCTCTCTCTGCCTCCCTCCCTCTCTCTCTCTCTCTCCTCTCTGCCCCCCCCCCCCTCTGCCCCCCCTCTCTCTCTCCCTCTCTCTCTCTGCCCCCCCTCTCTCTCTCTGCCCCTCTCTCTCTCTCTGCCCCTCTCTCTCTGCCCCCCTCTCTCTCTGCCCCCTCTCTCTGCCCCCCCTCTCCCTCTCTCTCTGCCCCCCTCTCTCTGCCCCCCTCTCTCTCTGCCCCCTCTCTCTGTCCCCCTCTCTCTCTGCCCCCCTCTCTCTCTGCCCCCTCTCTCTGCCCCTCTCTCTGCCCCCCCTCTCTCTCTGCCCCCCTCGCTCTCTGCCCCCCCCTCGCTCTCTGCCCCCCCTCGCTCTCTGCCCCCCCTCGCTCTCTGCCCCCCTCGCTCTCTGCCCCCCCTCGCTCTCTGCCCCCCCTCGCTCTCTGCCCCCCTCGCTCTCTGCCCCCCCTCGCTCTCTGCCCCCCCCTCTCTGCCCCCCTTCTGCCCCCCTTCTTCCCCCCCCATCTGCCCCCCTCTGCCCCCTCCTCTCTCTCTGTCTCTCTCTCTCTGCACCCCTCTCTAGCCTGCAGTGTGTACTGTGCACCTGCAGGCATTGCCCAATGATGGTGGCTGTGTTATTGATGCATCGAGCAGGTTGTCTGATTGCTTGTTCCGCAGCATCCAGCAAACAGGAGCACTCAGCAGTGTGAAGTGTGGCAGTAAAATGCATGAAAATTACAGCAAAGACAAAGCCGTTTCAGTCCATAAAGTCTATTCCAGTTCTCACTCCCCCATTACAGCTACACATACCAATTCCAAATCAGTGCTCTGTCTTTTGTGCCCTTGTTTATGATGTTGTTTCAAATACTATTCCTGTTTAGATGTCCTCCTGACTTGAAAGTCGTTATACAAATGTCAGTTGTTGTTGTTAAATGTTATGGTCTCAGCTTCAATAGCGCTTGGCAATGCATTCCATGTCCTTCCCTCCTCAGACTCTTCCAGTGAAGGAGCTGTCTTAATAGCCCCTTCTTCCTGATTCACCAGCAACCGGCAATAATTTGCCACCATTTATCCTCAATCTTTCTGAAACTTGGTAACTAGTGCCTTCTTGATCGCCGCTTCAATCTGATCTGAAGTATCTCGGAGGGGTTGAAGCCAAGTCCTGCTCTCTGCAGTAACCTTAATGGATTAAACTGAGTCGTGTGCAGCGTGTCTGGCTCCGCTCGGAGATCAGCCGCGGTGCTGGCCTACAGTTACCAACTTCTGCTGGGCGGGGAGTGCTGGGCAGGCAGAATAGATGGATAATAATAATAATCCTTGTATTTGATATAACGCTTTTTCATGTCGTTGAGACATCTCAAAGCGCTTCACAGAATATACTTTAAAGTGGAATCACTGTGTATTTTATGAGTGAAACATGGCAACCAATGACGCACAGTAGTGTTCCACAAACAGTCATGAAGTGAGAGACCAATTTTATCTGAGGATTTATGGCCAGGTCACCAGGAGAGAGAAACTCTTCTCTATTCCAATAGCACCACAGGGATCCTTAAAGTCTGCCTGAATAAGCAGAGGGGACTTTGTTTTAATAACGTATTATCCAATGGCAGGCACCTCCAATGCAGAGTTCCCCACTGCAATGTAGCTTCCGACGTGAGGCACGAACCCACAAAGTACTGACCCAGAGGTGAGAATGTCACTGACTGAGCTAGGCTGACTTCTCTGTTCGCTGACAGATAGTGCACACATTGCCGAAACCTTCCAGCCCTTTTCTCTCCTATACATTGTGAAGACTATTGTGGTGGGCAACAGCTGGGAATTTGTGGAGCGTAACATTGTTTTAGAAGATTGAGTTCTTATGATCTTCTTAGTTCAATGTCTATTTTGCTCGCCGGGGCAAAACCCATGCTTTCTCACAGAGGAGTACAGAGTGCATGGTCGTCCACTTCATAGCTGTCTCACTCCAATTGGAGCCCAGATGTTATTATTGACCAGCTGGAGATTAATGGCTCAGATCAATAAACCATGGCTCTTCAACGTAGTAAAGCAAATTTCTAATTTATCTTGTCAATTGCAGGACTGTGAATTCTGTGTTTCTGCTGGGGATAATCATTTTCTTGTTGTTTTACTGATCAGACAAGCTGTGGGGTGAGAAGCAGGATTGCATTGGGTTGAGCTTATTGTCAGGACACGGAGGGGCAGACAGTCACTGGGGCAGGGATTCTTCACACTTGGTTCCTAAGTACCCTGCAAGTCAAAGCCACAATGGGTTGGGTAGTCCTGGCTGGACAACATGCTTCCCAGGCAATGTTTGTAATTGTAAACTGTGTGGTTTTAGCTGGTTAAACTCCAGCAGTCACACTCTGGGTCCAAAGCCTTGGTTCTCATTGACCCGCGCTTAATAATAATGATATCTTTGCATTTTATATTGCACCTTATCATGTTGTTCAGATGTCTCAAACTGCTTCACAGAATATACTGTAAAGTGGATTGACTGTAGTTTTGTGGGTGAAATGCGACAGCCAATCGTGCGCAGCAGTGTCCCATAAACTTTTGTGGATTGAGTGAGTGCATTTTTTGATGAGGGATTATTAAATCCAGAAGGCGATCTACCAATTGACTAACAACCAGGATGCTAGTTACTGCTAGATAAACAGGCGTGTGTGGGTTAGTTAGGAGTAGGAAAACTTGCCTATGGTTTTGCTGGCCCGGGAATTGAACCTGGGTCCTCTCGCTTGCGAGTTGAGCATGCTAACCATTACGCTAGGGGACTTAATACTCCGCTAGCCACTACAATAGGGGACAGAGAATTAATACTCTGCAAGATAGAGTGCATGCACTGTACATCACAGACCAGACATGAGAAACTCGTCAGTTTGGTTCTGATACTCTTAAGCCTACTGATGGGTGTCTGCATGTCAGATGGCAAAAATAAATGCGGCTTTTATAGGTCCAGTGAAGATGGGAAGTTTCTGCCAGTGATTGTGTGTGATCATGATCATCTGACAAATCTTACTGAAGCAGAGATGGCTGCTGGAGAGACCAGCAATCTGTCCCTGAAGAGTAGGGATTAAACTGAGTTTATCCACATTATTAATACCTCTTGTGATTCACAGGACCTTGCCCTCTATTGCACAAACTAGCTGTGAGTTTTTATTGGGGGGGGGGGGAGTGAAGGTGATTTTGGTCTGTGAGGAGAGAAGAGAGATTCATTTGAATCTGCTGTGACCTGTTAATGAATTTAGCCCCAATTCCCCTTCTGTCTGAATTGTAACACATTTAAGCCGATTAACAGACTCAAACAAGGCAGTCCCCCCAGAGGCAGTGGAGGTGGATCCAGCCTTGTTTGAGGATGTTAATTGGCTTGAATCTTCACCAGATTGTCCAGAAGGGACCGATGATGCTGGCATGTACAAAGTGGGTACATTTAAATGTTTTAAATCTAAGCTGCATTCAGACAAATTGCCAGTCTTAAACTGAATTACATTTGGAAAAGGCAAAGGATAAGCTTATGAAAGATTTTTACAGCAGGAAAAAGAATTTGAAAGATTTTTATATCTGGTCACCCAAAGGGCCTTTAGTGTAACTGAGACTAACTGTTCCTCCAATCCCCCACTTCCGCCGCTAGCTGCTTCTGTGCACGTTTTGCTATGCGGAGAGCAGCCCAGCTGGGAAGCTGCTGCCCCATACACCGATCCCGGCTCAGGTTATTGTAGGCAGTAAGGGGGAGGTAAGAATGCCAGAATCGAGCCAGGCCTCTATGGCTATGACTGCACAGCCCAGCTCATTGGCAGCACCTGGAAGGCCAGACCAGTCACTGGGGGGAGGGACTCTTCCTGCTTGCTTCCTGTTAAATCCGCAAGCCAAAGCCCTAAAGGTTAAGGTGGTCCTAGCTGGACAAGCAGTGGGAAAGCTTGCCAGACTAGTGCTATGGCAAGCTATGTGGTTTTTGCTGGTTAGACTCCAGCATTACCTTCCAATGCACACTCTGCGGTCCTCAAGCCTTGGCTCTTACCAACCTGCACCTAATGCTTCCTGGAATTAGGTAAACAGGATGTGTGTCCCCAGAGAGAGAGTGCACATTCCATTTCAACAATCTATTTCTGGGATTTCCATGTGTAGATGGGATGCATGGAATTCTCAGTTGGGTTAGGATACTCTTAAGCATGGTGATGGATTTCCACATGTGTCAGACACCCATCTGACCTCCTGAAACAATGAATGGAGTCAGGAAGCTGATGGAGGTTAAGCGTGGAGGTAACCCTCTCTCTGAGTCTCTTCTGATCTTCACCCCCACCCACTCTCACCGTAAGGAGTCTTTGTGCACTTCACTGTTCCAGTGCATGTATCTACGGTTCAGATTTCTCACTTGTGTGTTTTCCAGAAACATTTTTTTATTACAGAATGCTTGCATTTTCTACAGCCTATAGTATCGAGACATCTCAAAGCACTCCCTTGGGTAATTTCTGTCTGTATTCATAGGTGCAAACAGCAGCCAATTTGCACACAGCAAGGTGCCACAAACAGGCATGAAATGAATGGTCATCTTCTATCTAGGGGTTGCTGAGCAGAAAACTAGGAGAAATTCCCTTCTCTTTCCCAGTAACGTCACAGGATCTTTAAAGTCCACCTAAATGGGCAGACGGGACCTCAGGTTAACAGCTTCGCTGCAGGACTGCAGAGAACAACATCTCCTGACAGCGGCTTGGGGTGTCCTGGAACCAGAATGTTGCATTCTGTGTTTCACAACTCAGCTAGTGTTGAGAGCAGCAGGAATAGGACGTCCTTCAGACCTGCCAGGTTTCCATTAGTAATTTCTGTATGTGTGTTTTGTAGACAAATGCAGAAGGCAATTTGCACCCAGTAGGGTGCCACAAACAGCCGTGAAATGAATGACCAGATTCTATCTGGAGCATTGCTGACCCAGGAAACAAATAAAAGCTCCCTTCTCTTTTCCAATCATGTCACCTTATCTCTTCTCTCAGTTTATCCGATCATGGCAGATTCCAATGTATTCCATACTATCACCACATTCTGCCTGAAGAAATTGTTTCTGATCTCCATTCTACCAATCCTAGCTGTGATTTTAAGATCACCTCTTGGTTTCTAATCAGAAGGAAAAGTCACCTATCTATTCATCTGAAGGACAGCACCTCTGACCATGCGGCGCTACCCCAGCACTGCACTGGAGCTGACAGCATCAGATTCCAAGGCTGCACTCTCCACCTCTCAAAGCCAGTCAGGAACCTCGGTGTTCTGTTCGACCCTGAGCTGTCATTTCTCCCTCATATCCGCGCCACAACTGGCACCGCCTTCCATCACCTCCGGAATATCGCCAGACTACGGCACTACCTCACCCCTCACGCTGCTGAAACTCTGGTCCACGCCTTTATCACCTCAAGGCTGGACTATGGGAACTCTCTCCTCGCCGGCCTTCCCGGTATCTCCCTCCACAAGCTGCAGGTCATTCAGAACTCTGCAGCTCGTGTACTGTCCCGCACCAGGCTTCGGGACCACATCACTCCCACCCTCGCTCGCCTCCACTGGCTCCCCATCCCCCAGAGGATCGAATTCAAGATCCTCACCCTCCTACCTCTCTGACCTACTATCCCCCTACCTACCTATACCCTCTGTTCCTTTGGCTCCAGTCTGCTCCACATCCCCCGCCCCAACCGCCCTACCATCGGTGGCCGGGCCTTCAGCCTCTCAGCCCCTAGGCTCTGGAACTCTATCCCCCAGTGCCTTCGCCGCCTCCTCCCTTTCCTCCTTCAAGGCCGGTCTCAAGACCTTTCTCTTTGACCGTGCCTTCAGCTCCACTCTCGACTCTCTACCCCCTCCTCGCTCCCTCCCTACCCTCACCATTTCCCCCCTCCTCGCCCCCTCCCTTCCCTCCCCTCACCCTGACCATTTCCCCCCTGCTCGGGTCCTGACCCAACTGTACAGCGCCTTGGGATGTCCTCCCAACGTGAAAGGCGCAATATAAATGGAATCTTGTTGTTGTTGTTGTTGGAGCGTCAGCCTAGACTGCGAGCTCAATGTCCCAACGTGGGGCTTTAACCCACAACATCTGACTCAAAAGGCGAGAGTGCTACCAACTGAGCAAGACTGACGGCTCATTTTAAATCCCTCAATTATCATAATAATAATCCTTGCATTTTGATATTGGAAAACAGAAGTGCATTTTTCCTGGCGTCCAGACCAACAATCCCCCAAATAAATTGGTCATTCACTCCATAGCTGTTTGTGGAACATTGCTATATGCAAATAGGCCGCCGCATTTGCCTACAAATAGTCACCACACTTTATATCATATTCCATGAAATTCTTTGATTTGTTCTCATGAGGTGTAATGTCAAATGGAAGGATTATAGAATTATTTTTCAACACCTCCTAGTTTAATGTCATCAGCAAGTGTAGAAGGCTGCCCTCTGTTTCTACATTAAGCACTTTGAGATTCAGATGACCTACCGACATGGAATGCAATCTATAAATGCAAACTGTATTATTAATAATAACACTCACATTTGATTTAGAGACTTTCACATCGTCTTAAAGCACAACGTTTACTGTGAAGTGTAGTGACTGTGTATTTCATGGATGAATACAGGTAGCCGCCAATTTGTGCTCTGCAATGTCCTATAGACATCTTTAGTGTATTGCAGATGCAGGTGATTTATGTACTAAGCCCAAGGTTTTCAGTGTGAAAAGCTGGAGCCCAGTGCCGATCCCCGGGGTGGGGGAGCCCCGCTAGTTACTGTCACCAATTGGAGAGAGAATGCCCCTTATATCCCAGCCCTTCCATGTGATAATTGCCTTTGATTCAATGCCTTAGCTCACAGAATGCCTTTCAGTAACCATGGGCATCTTGCAAACTTCCTCTATTCGCACAAGAGTGTTAAGCTGCCTGTTGTATCAGTAAGTGAATCATAAATAACGAGTGTTAGCATCAGGGCAGTGTTGCCTCAGGCTGTGAGTCCTCCTCCACAAGCCAGAGCCATTCACCATATGTGTTGCATCAAAGTTATGAAGAATAACTGATCTTCATAAAAATGTAGCTAGCTGCGCTGCCAATTCTCCCCATATGCTGTTCTCACGGATTGAATTCGGCCTCAGTGCAAGGCAGGCTGAATATCTAAGGATCTGATAAATCTGCTTATAGTCATGAGGGAACAACTGCTGCAGATGGCTGTTATGCTGTGGTTTTGAAGTATGTTGTGAGGGATGGCTGTGATTGGGAGCACTTGCACTTCATCTGTCTCCTTGCCTTTATTTCAGCTGTATCAGCTGGAGTAGTTACCATAAGAACCTCTTAGCCAGCAGTGACTATGAAGGTACAGTCATCCTGTGGGACGGATTCACCGGACAGAGATCCAAAGTGTATCAGGTAATATAACTCCTATCGTCTCCATCTTCACACTGTTTTACAGTCATATTTATGAACAACGCTTGTATTTTTACTGTCGAACCTCAGCAAGCTCCACATCCAATCGCTGCCTAGTGTGGTGACTGTTTTAGTGGTGATTGCATGTTACGAATATTGTGTGATACAACACAAATAGTCATGAGGTGAATTTTTATCTGGGGGATTGTCGATCAGGACACTGGGAGAGAGAAAGTTTCTTTTCCAACACGATCCGCCAAAACATCTCACGGCATTCCAACCCTGGAGTGTCAGCCTGAACCCGCAATCTTTTCACCCAGAGTGCACAAAGCTACCCACTAAACCAGACTGACATTTACAAAGTATTGCTTTCCTCTTGATCATTAAACCCGCCCAGTGCTTTGGTGCTGGGACTTCAGTGTCCGCCCAAACATGTCCCTAGTGCTTTCTGTAACAGTTTGTCACAATCTGCGAGTGGAAGCAGCTCGGCTGATTATCAAGGTCTTAGAATATCCTCTTAAGATGCAAAGCTTTCTCCCTTCTCCCCCTCCCCCTGGCCCTAGGTTCATTGGTGTGATGTGCTTAGACTGCGGGTACAAACAAATAGGTTATTCCGCAGTAGAGAAGGGCCACGGCTCTTTAAGCCTCAGAAACTGCACAACAGCCACTTTGGTGATTGTCTCCCTATAACTCCTCGTCTATGAAGGTCTTCCTTCGGGAGCCAAAACTGTTTTTGTGTTAAACTCCAATATTAGGGGAATTTAATTTACTACTTCATGTTCTTAACTTTATTGCAAGGCTGGTTATTGTTTGCAACAGTTGTCTTGACCATTTAAGATTGTAAACGGTCTTATTTACAATAAACGTAAATAAGAAACGTCGGTAAGTTCAGTCGTCATTTGGAAACTTGGCGTCCCTTTTGGCAGTAGTGCCCGACCAGACCAGCTGACAAATGTTAAAGTGGGAGGATTGTAATCCTGGGGCGGTCAGGCACTGTGGTCAGTTGTTAATCAGCAGATAAAATATTAGCACAGGTCCAGGGTGTCATCACCTGACTTGCATGGTGATGTAGGTACTGTACAAGTGTGTGGACTGAAATGCCAGGCTTTCTACACATGACAGCTGCACTGAAGAGTATCACCATCTCTGGCTGAGTGGTTCTCAGGCCCTGGGGTAAGAGAGGCTGAATAGGCTGTCTAATCCAGCTGAGAGGTAAATGCCTTGTTTTGCTGTCCACCCAGGAACCAGTGCTCTAGCCTTGATCTATTGTATGTTCCATTGTATTACCTGTGCCTAAAGGCAACATTCTCATTCCAGGAGCATGAGAAGAGATGTTGGAGTGTAGATTTCAATCTAATGGACCCCAAACTCCTAGCTTCTGGGTCTGATGACGCTAAAGGTAATGTAAAGTTCCTCTTCACTGGTACTGACGTGGCTGTCACCCCCACTGTAGCGCGGGCACTGCTCTGTGCAGGTTCATATATACCCACTGTTAAACCCAGCCACATTAGCCCAGCACCTGCAGGCTTCAGTTCCCATTTACAGCATAGAAACAGATTGTAGTAAGTTAGTGAGTTAGAACAACAACGCAGACCTGTGATCACACCCAGGTTCTTCCCTTTCATGTAGCTCACTGATAAACTTGTGGGCCGTATTCTCAGATCAGTTGAGTTCAGATCCCGTGACGTCCTTCTCAGATTGTATAGCGTAGTAGTAAGGTCACACGTAGAGCTCTGTATTTTGGGAGAGTACTGTGTCACCACAACATAATGGGCTGCCCAGGGTCTAGAGAGTGAGGAGAGCAAAGAGGATGATCGCCAGTGTTAGAAGAATGAGCTGTGAGCAACAATTAGACAAGCTCGGGCTCTTCAGTCTTGGAAAGAGATGACTCAGAGGGGACCTCATAGAGGTATGTAACATTTTAGATGGGATTGAAAATGTAAACCCAGAACAATACTTTCAGATTTGTCAAAACAGCAGGTTCACAACAGACACCAGGAAGTTTTTTTTACCCAGAGGGTAATTATCAATTGGAACAGGTTACCAGGAAGGGTTGTTGAGGTCAGGACACTGGGCTTGTCTAAGAAACAGTTTGATGCTGTGTTGGGAGGAGAGGAAGGTGAGGATTCTAGAAGGATGAGGTCAAGTGGGCTAAAGGGGCTTATTCACCTGAATTTCTCTTGTGATCTTGAGGGTGAAAGGCTAACCTCCCCTTTGGTCACCCTTCCTGCCCTCCACCCCTCCTGATTCCAACCCCCAGCTCGGCTCCAATTCCTTGGCTGTCCAGCGCCTTAGGACATCCTCCTGATGTGAAAGGCGCTGTGTAAATACTGTGCAAATTTGTTGTTGTTAAGGTGCCGAGTCAGGGAATGCCGGTTTTGGTTAAGGGGTGGACGTTGAGTTATTTCTGTGGAATATCGCGTTCTGAGGTGCTTGAGTTTCTGGGTATGTGGAGTAATCAATAATAGTTGTACTACTGTAATAATTCTGGCATGTCTTTTTGAGCACTGATTGCATTATTATTTAGCTAAACTAAATGTGATAATTACCTATTACATACAGAATACCTCTTTCCATTGTGTAATGAATGGCCTCGGGGAGTCTAGGCCATTAACTCGCTGTTTAAACGCCATTAAATCTGTATTCCCCTGAATGTCACAGTTACAGCTGTACTGCAGGCAGAGTGGGCACGTCCCAAACTATACCCAGCATCCAGCAAAGTGCTGACCCTGACTCGTGGCCCATCACAGCATCTTCCGCATGGAATGGTTCATTACAGTTCATTTTTGGTACATAGTTTACAGCAAGCCATATGTGCACTGGGCTCTAAACGAGTGTGTGTGTGTGTTTGTGTGTGGTCGGTGTGTGTATCGGAACGTGTATGTATCAGGGACGTATATGCTGCAGTGTGGAGTGTATTGTGCTAGTAATGTGCACAGTACATACATACCTACCACAGTAATTGCTGTGGACCAGGGGCACCATGTGGTCACAGTGAGTTGAATGAAATGGCAAAACTCCCTGGGAACAGGCTTCGTAGCAGCACTAGTGGACGCCGGACTCTCGTTCGTCCCCTGTTGCTGGTTTGAGCACTGTGATAGGAAGGTTAGCGTTTATACAGATAGGAAGCGATCAGTGACTTGTATTGTCGCGGGGAGGAGGCTGTCTCATACCCAGGTTGTGTATTGTGCTGCTGCCCTTTGTTATCGTGGTGGTAGGCAGCAGAAGCTCGGTTAACTTATATTGTCCCATCATTCTTGATCAGCCAGGTGGAGAATAGGTTGTCCTTCCTTATGAATAGTATTAATCGTTGAGAAACAACTTTCATTCTCATTAGGCACTGTGTAAATGTAATTTGTTGTTGTTGAAAAAAATGGGCATCTTTAATCTGATCCTCTGAAAAGTAGAGCTGATGGATTTGATGCTAGAAGCGGTTCTGTTAACCATGTTCTGTGTCCCACAATGCGTTGCCGGCAATGACTCACTCTCTGAATGTTGTCATTTATCGCAGTGAAGCTGTGGTCCACAAACCTGGATAACTCAGTGGCGAGTATCGAAGCCAAGGCCAACGTTTGCTGTGTTAAATTTAGTCCCACTTCAATGTACCACCTCGCCTTTGGCTGTGCAGGTAATGTCCAGCATTCACTCCTCGTGACAGGCTTGACTGAGATTCTTGCATTTGATAAAGCACATTATCACGTCTCAAAGCATTTCATGGAATATACTGTAAAGTGAATTGACTGTATTTTTGAAGGAAGGACAGCTGTGGGTCGAACCTGACCCCTAGGTTGCGCACCGGTTCGGTGAGGTCAGAGACATTAACAGAAGCCAAGGAATATGGCTTCCGTCTTGTTGACAGCCGTGGATTGAGTGACCAAGCTATTTAACTATTTATTTTTGAAAGGATTACCCCTGGAAAAGCCATCCGCCAATCAACCAATAACTGAGTTCCTACTAACTGCTAGGTAAACAGAAGTGTGTGGGGTAAGAAAACATCCCTAAGGTTCGCCCCGGGCAGGAATCGAATCCGGGTCCTCTCGCTCTCAGGCGAGCGCGCTAACCTATGGATTTTCCCCTGGGCAGTGCAATGAATTTGGATTCCGATGTCCCTGCTCACCTTCCCATTACAGCTTTAATCAGTTCTGAATTTACCGTCTTTTTTTAACAAGAACTTTATTCATGAGGACAGAGCTATTTACTGGGAGCTGCTTTCCATCTCCCGGCTGGGTGAGCAGGGTTGTTACCTAATTTGCATTGCTGCAGTCAGATGACTTGCTTTCAGGCTTTTAGTGGGGAAAAAAAGGGCAAAAGCAGCAGAAAAAAAACGCCACTGAGTCGGAAGGTTGTGGGTTCAAGCCCCAAGTGGTGACTTTTGGCTCACAGTCTAAGGCTGACACTGCAATACAGTGCTGGTGGGACTGCTGCATAGACCCTTGTCTACCTGTTCAGGTGGACGTTAATGATCCCATGATACTTGGAAAAGAGAAGGGAGTTTCTCTCTCGGTGACCTGGCCAACAATCCTCCAAAGTAAAATTGGTCACTCACTTCATGGCTGTTTGTGGGGAAACTGCTGTGTGCAAATCTGCAGCTATGCTTGCCTATAACTACAATGACTACATTCAGACATGTCCTATGAAGTGCTTTGAGATGTTTTAATAATAATAAAATTATCATTGCATTTGATATAGCACCTTATCGTGTCTAGGGGACATCTCAAAACATTTTACAGAATGTACTGCAAAGTGAATTGACTATATATTTTGAGGGATTATTATACTGGGAGAAGCGATCCACCAATCAACTAACAACCGGGTTCTTACTCACTGCTAGGTAAACAGAGGCGTGTGGAGTTAGGAAACTTGCCTAACGTTTCGCCCTTCCCGGGAATCGAACCCAGGACCTCTCGCTTGCGAGCCGAGTGCTCTAACCAATATGCTACAGGACTCCACAGGGTTTTGAGGTTATGGGCGGTGTATCAAATGTAAGGATTATTGAATAGAAACAGAAAGCTTATAATAATCCTTGTTATTATTACCAAGCACTCTTTGGAAATTAGATTTGAAAATGAACAGTTGCTGAAACGAGTCTGACCCACATCCCCCCACACAGTAACACCCTGGCATTGCTCACTGTTCACTAACTTCTTTCTCTTCACAGACCACTGTGTCCACTACTATGATCTTCGAAACACTAAGCAACCAATCATGGTGTTCAAAGGACATCGGAAGGCTGTGTCTTACGCAAAGTTTGTGAGTGGAGAAGAGATTGTATCAGCGTAAGTTATTTTGATGTCTGCCTGGCTGGGGTGGTCTGTCTGTATGTCATGGCTATGGTGGGGTGGTCTGCAGTCCCACCACTGGGCTCTGACTGGGAGGTGTGGCTTCGATAAGACGACCCGATCCCTACCCAGAGATGCCTCGCCTCAAAGACAAGTGTGAGCGGGTATTGAGGTGATAATCACTCTCTCTCTCATTCTCTCACATTCAGTCACTTTCACTCACACTCAATCACATACACTCGCTCACACTCACCCACATTCACTCGCTCGCAATCACATTCGCTCACTCTCTCACACACTCGCGCGCACACACACACAGGAATAAGGCACTCCCCATACTGTATATTGGATTTGTCTCTCTCCAAACTTTCTTTAGGAGTTGTTGAACTGTGAGCTTTGTAGACGATGTGCTGACGGCATGACTGTTATAGGAGGGAAGTCAGGTTTTTGTGTGTGTGTGTAAAGCTCCCGTGTCTGTGGTTTGTTTGCAGCTCCACGGACAGCCAGCTAAAGCTCTGGAATGTCAATAAACCTCACTGCTTAAGATCATTTAAAGGACATATCAACGAGAAGAACTTTGTGGGCTTGGCATCCAATGGGGATTATATTGCCTGTGGTAAGTAATGGTTATCCCAGCCCAAGGGAAGCATTAAAAAACTGGTCTCACAAAACACTTCACAATTACTGGAGTGTGGTGACTGTTGTGGTCAAATGTAGCAGCTGGTTTGCACAGGTAAATTCATGGAGTGAATTACCAATTTTATCTGGGACTGTTGGCCAAGACACCTGGAGAGAGAATCTCCCTTCTCTTTTTAAATAGAATTATGAGGTGCTTTAACGAGCAAGTGGGACCTCAGTTTAACATCTGATCTAAAAGATTAGTGCCTCCAACAATACAACACTTCTCTTGTTCTCCCAACATGAAAGACATCGTATCAAATGTAAGGATTGATTAGGATTGATCAGGTGATATTATTTCCTTACTGGCCACGCTCCCAGGTAGAGATGTTCCTGCTATATGGCTCTGGTTGTGATCACAACCGGGTTACACTGTTGAGGTATAACAGAAGCTTCAGAGCAATCAAATCCACAGCCGTTTCACTCAGCTGAACTGCTTAAAAGAACTAGGAAAAGTCAGCGACTTCCCAATTTTGGCTTATTTCTTTTGTGGAGTTGGATTTCCCTGGAGCTTCACTTGGGATTTAATGAATAAATTACATTTCCACTAAAGGGATTTCAGGCCAACAAGAGAAACCTGCTGTGTTTCAGCAGGAGGGCTGTAACCAGCAGCTGGTGCTCAGGCACTGCCTTGGCAAAGCTTCCCTCAAACATGTTCTTTGGTCTGCTGGGTGTCTGACACTCGCGGAAACTCATCACCGTGCTAAAATGCCTCCAAGCCAGACCCAGTTCCTTGTATGCAATTTACACATGGAAATTTCCATGTATTGGAATGGAATGCACATTCTCTTCCTGGAGGGACGCATCCTGCTTACTTAATTCCGGAAAGTATTATAATAATAATAATCTTGCATTTGATAGAGCGCTTTTCACGTCGGGAGGACGTCCCAAAGCGCTTCACAGAACACACTGTAAAGTGAATTGACTGTATATTTGTGGGTGAACACGGTAGCCAACTGCGCACAGCAATGTCCCACAAACAGTCGTGGATTGAAAATGACCAATTTATTATTGTTTTTGGTTTTGGAGGGATTATTATTAGGCGTGTGGAGTAAGGAAACTTGCCCAAGGTTTCGACCTGCCTGGAATTGAACTCAGGTCTCTCACTTGCAAAGTGAGTGCTCTAACCACTGAGCTAATAATAATCCTTGCATTTGATATAGCGCCTTATCACATCTTCGAGACATATCAAATCGCTTCAGAGAATATACTGTAAATTGAATTGACTGTATTTTATGGGCAAAACACGGGCGCAGGTTGGCAAGAACCAAGGCTTGGTTGGAGTGTGCATTGGGCTAACTGGAGTCTAACTGGTTAAAATTGAATTGTCAGTCTTGTATCCCAGTTTCCTGTCCAGAGGTTCTCCACGCAGAGTAAGCTGGTCAGTTGCCATTCAAGTAGGAAACAAAATATTGGGAGAACAGGAAGGGAGGAGGCCGGGAAGCCTGTTCTACTACTTTTATTAGATCACATCAGATCTTTAATCCCACTTCCACAATTTTTCTTCATATTCCTTAATCCCATGGATCTGTCCAACTTAAAATCAGCCCACCTCTCTCTCTATCCGTGCCTGCTGGGGCCATGGCTTCCAAGCTCTGGGTGATGGCTCGATCTTAATACTTCGTCCCCTTGTTTTGCATCCCAGCTAAGTTCCAGCCAACCTCTCAGCTAGGCTAAGTCTCTTCAGACCAGGTATTAATCCAGTGAACCAATGCAGGACACTCCCAGGATAATATATCCTTTCTAAAATTGGGCACCCCAAACTGACACTTTACACCACATGAGGTCTGACCAGGGCTCTGTATAACCCAGCAGCACTTCCTTTTATATCTAGACCATTGTTTTTGTTATCGAGCCCAGTATCACATAAACCTCTGATAACTTTCTGCACCTGTGACCTCCCGTTTCTTGACTCTTGTGCTTGACCTGCTAAATCCATTTAACCCTTTCCCTGCCACGCATTGCCATCTGGCTTCCAGCATTCCTTCATCTGATGCCGTGTTGGTCTCTTATCCATCTGTTGTAAACGGGTGCTCCAACTGGACTAATTAATTAATGCTTCCCTCCTTTCCGCCCATGTGGAGAAGAGGCAAGGAAACGGGATTAAGAGATCCTTACATTTGCTACAGTGCCATTCACGTCAGAAGTGCATCTCAAAGCACTCATTGTAATTTACAGAAAAGTGTAGTGACTGTGTATCTTGTAGGCGAACGTGGCAGATAATTTGCACACAGCCATGTCCCACAAACAGCCATGGAATAAGTGACCAATTTTATCAGTTGGATTGTTGGCCAGGACACTGGGAAAGGAAACTTCCTTCTCTATTTGAATACTGCCACGTGATCTTTAATGTCCACTTGTATAGACAGACACCTCCAACCATGTGACACTCCCCCAGCACTACACTGGAGTGTCATCCTGGACTGAGCTCAAAATTCCAATGTGGGGCTCAACCTACAAGCTCCTGACTTGGGCGAGTGTTACTGAGCCAGGCTGACAACGTGATCTCACGTTCCTGTGTTTGCAAACACTCGTTCTCTTGGTCGAACAAGTGTTCTGTTCACCTTATCTGATATTGATTTAATGTACGGAGCTGCAGGCTTGAACTTCACCTTGTTTATCGATGGATTTTAATTGTCTTGCTGGCTTTCTGAATCTGTACAATTCCTGTGTCCAACGCTCTGTTTGTTCCCTCCAGGCAGTGAAAACAATTCTCTTTACCTCTACTACAAGGGTCTGTCGAAAACGCTGCTAACCTTCAAGTTTGATACAGTGAAAAGCGTGTTGGACAAGGAGAAAAAGGAGGATGATACCAACGAGTTTGTTAGTGCCGTGTGCTGGAGGGCTTTACCGGACGGGGTAAGTGCTGGCAGTCCCGGGCAGGTGGGACCCCATCGCTTTGTGTTGCTGAGAGCGGTTTGCAGGCCGTGTGTAATCTTTTGTGTGCAACTGGGAGACGAGGAAGAGAAAACAGTTGTCTGGAGATTACAGCTCATGCTGTGATTGATTTGCTTCACATCGTTAGGGCCGCTGTGTTTCAAATAAGGTCCGTAAAGAGGCAGTTTGTGATAGTTAGAGGAGCCAAGATGGGGAATTCTCTCTGCTTCACTGGCTTTTAGTGGAGTGGCAAGGGGGAGGGGTGTTGATGAGGGAGGCCCCTGGCTTGGGTGGGCCTTTGGCGGGGATGGGGCACTTGTGAGCAGAAGTGTGTTGGCGAGGGGCAGTTAACGGTACCAGCATAGGAGTTACTGTGTTCTGCTCCTACATCTCCTCAGACGCCGGCTCAGTACTGAATCTGTCTGCACGTCTCATATTGCAGCACTGCTGCGTTGCTGACTGTTGCACAGTTGCGGGGTGTTGAGGGTCGCTCTGAGGTGAATAAAGTGCCTGGTTTATCAGTGAGCTGGCGGACACCAGTGCAAACCACTCGGGATTGGGGGAATCGCTCCCAGCTACAGCAATGGAATTTATTGGCTGAGACGGAAAGACACCAATTACTGTCAGCCTGTGAGCTCTGCGGTCAGCCTGTGAGCTCTGCGGTCAGCCTGTGAGCTCTGCGGTCAGCCTGTGAGCTCTGCGGTCAGCCTGTGAGCTCTGCGGTCAGCCTGTGAGCCCAGGGAAAATTCTTAAATCAGGTCCCAAGTTGGAATGCATTTCAGTCTAATGGGGAAAACTGGTTTGAAATTCAGCAAAATGTAAGAATTTGTTGGTGTTTTCACAGGCTGAGACTGGGTGCTGATGCCAGTATGTCAGATTACTGTCAGCCTGTGAACTCCTCCGCAGTGTATATGATGCAGTGACAGTGAGCGAGTGGGGTCTGTGAGGTTATCAGTGTCAGGCTATAGGCAGTGTTTGCCTGTGTAGCCAGTTGGCGACTGGCAGCTTTTGGTTACCACTGGGATGTGTGTGTTACTGCAGGTGCTGTGGTGTATAGCAAGCTATAGCAGTCAGTAGGAACTAGGAACAGATGTGCTCGTGGCCTGTTTCTGTGATTTCATATTAATAGAAAGTCTTCAGCTTCACTGGGTAGATTTTCTCAGACTGGATCATTTACTAGTGTGGGTGCGCACGCGTGTACCTGCGTGTACTCGTGTATGTGTGTAGGGGAGGGGTGTGCGCATGTGTAGGCGAGGGGCGTGGGGGCGGGCGGGCGAGAGTGTTACGTGTAACGTCCCTGATCGAGCTCCACGGGGTGCCTCATCTCCCCTCCACAATAACATTCCCCGCACTACGCGCACACACACACACACACACATTCCCCATCCTGTGTTTTCCCTGGTTTCAGGACCAGGGATGTACTTGGACTGAAATCACCTTCCCCTTCTCCCACACGGGCTGCTCCTGACAGGCTGAGTGATTACCGAGGATCTCGTCTTCTCTCGCCCGTGACTCATTCAGTCCCTGGGGACGTACGAAATGGAGGTCAGCTCCATTCTTTTCAGTTTGCTTGCGAGAGAGAGAATCAGAGGCATTCTCATTTTCCTGCTGCTCTTACTCCCTTTTCTATGTTTTGAGTTCCAGCCCTGGGCACGTCTCGCTTTCCCTGTCAATGAAGTGTTTTACTCTTTCTAATAATGACCATAATTTGTGGAATTTTGCCAACGATCAATCCACAAGATTGTTCCATTTTCCCTGGATATTATTTGGGGTCAGCTGGATCACCTTAAAGAGACCACAGGCCAAACTACTGAGCGTTCTTCATGTCCATTCCAGACGCCTGTATGTCTGGAATGGAATACTCGCTCTCACCTGAGGGACACATCCTGTTTACCTAATCCTGAAGAGTTTAGCAACAGGTTGGCAAAAGCCAAAGCTTGGGGGGATGCCAGAGTGTGCTTTGGGGTAACTGCTGGATTCTAACCAGCTAAAGCCACGTAGCTGCTTAAAATCCAGCAGTCATTGGGAGCACTGTCTGGCAATCTTTCCTGCTGGGCCCATCCTACCCATTAGGGCTTTGGATTGCAGGGTTAACAGGAGCTGAGTGGGAGGATTCCCTGTCCCCAAAGACTAATGTCCCGCTCCGAGTTGCTGCTGATGAGCCAAATGTCTCAAAGTGCTGATTACTGATACGTGTAATGACCGTAGACTGATGCGGCAGCAGTTTTGGACACAGTAAGTATCTCACAAACAATCATGGGTTGAGTGGCGAGGACACTAGGAGAAAGCCCCTTTTCCTTCCAATAACATCTCAGGTTAATGCCCACCTGAACAGACAACAATAAGCCTTGCATTTGGTATACCGTCTTGTCAAAACAGTCTCAAAGCAATTGAGCTTTTCTGTAAAGTGTAGTGACTGTTTGCAGCTGAACGCTACAGCCAATTTGCACTCATCAGTGTCCCACAAAAATGAAGTGAATGGCCTCCCAACCGTTCAGCGCTCCCCCCAGCAGCGAGCTGAAGTATCAGCCTAGAATGTGAGCTTGAAGTGCCAAGGGGATTGATCCCCAGTCCTCTGACCCAGAGGTGAGATACGGACCGAACCAGCCAAATCCACCTGAAATTTACCTCCTGACAATGCAGTGCTCCCCCTCACACTGCACTGGAGTGTCGGCCTGGACTAGGAGCTCTGCGTGAAGTGAGGTTGGAACTCACATCCTTTTGACCTAGAGGTGAGAGAGCCTGGCACTGAGCCGAGCTGGCACTCGAGTCCTTGACTGTTCAGAGTGAGAGAATCTTCCTGTTAGAGAGTACGTGCGGACATCGTCAGCCTTGCTTCAGAATAATGACTGCGGAATTCTAGCCCTCCAGTGACCCCTTAACAAAATCACTGAAATGCCCAAATCTTTGAGGGGACATCATGATTAACGCTGCTGCATTGAAGCAAAGTGTAAAATCTGCATTGCTAGATTGCCTGCGAGTAAATGGATTACAAGCCTGTGGCAGAGCCACAGAGGGGTGGTTCAGTCTTGATATCGTTGACTTAATCAGGCAAATGTGCAGATGCAAAGTTATTAAATATGAAGCTCGATCTGTATCCTTGACCTTGAGTTTTTTTAATGCATCTTTTCGGGTGCACATGAATTGTTGCAACTCTTAGCTTTTCTTGTGCAAGCGGGCCGGAGTTCGCTCAGCAGCCTGCTCCCTGTCCTCCGCTCAGTGGACTCTGGCCTGGTCCATGTCCTCCGCTCCCTCCGCTCTGCGGTCAGGCCTTCAGCCTTTCTGCCCCCACACTCTGGAACTCCATCCCACAATCCTTTCACCTCTCTGCCTCTCTTTCCTCATTACTCTTTGACTACGCCTTTGGCCAACCTCCTAACCCCATCCCTCCCTGCCTTCCACCCTTCCTGATTCCAACCCCTAGTTCGGGTGCAAATCCTTGACAACACTTTGGGATGTTCTCCTGATGTGAAAAGCGTAACACGAATGTAATATGTCGTCGTTCCTCCAACTCGCTTTCTCCCTTCCCTCGTCCCAAAACGTACCTCTTTTACTGGGCTATCTTTCATCTTTCCCCTCGGCTCCCACCCCCATTTTGGGTGCCCATCCAGCACTGTGAAGTGTTTTGAGATATTCTGCTGAGGTGAAAGGCGCTTTATTGTAAGTTGTAAATTGTAGCAGTATATCGCAGCTTGCTGTCTCTGCCAAACAGGTCTGTTTTCCGTACAGCCAGGCCAGTTGGCTCAGTCAGTACTGATGCCAGCTCTTACAGTTTGGAGGCTCATTTTGAAATGTTCCTTGTTTAAATGTTGCTCAATATATACATGCAGCCCCACGTTACACATGCCAGGACTGCTGTGTGTGTATCCCTCTCGTTTAGTAACGTCACCGCTTAGGTCTTAACAACTGATGCTTTGTATGTCGACCTAAATCAGTAGATAGTGCTCTCGCCTCTGGGTCAGCAGGTTGTGAGGTTGTAATCCCCCCCCCCCCCCACCCCCCATTGGGGCTTTGAGGTCACAGTCTAGGCTGATATTGCAATGCACTGCTGAGGGCAGCGCTGCATGGTCATGGCTGTCTGTGGGACACTGATGTGTGTAAATTGGCTGCAGCGTTCGCCTGCAAACAATCGCTACACTTTACAAAACCTCTGAAGTGACTTGAGAGTTTTTGACAGATGGTTTATCAAATACAAGGCTGATTGATTGTTACTGGGTGCTGGCTGCCCACAGCAGAAATGTCGAAACCTCTCAAAGCGTGTCCTGATGGCTTTCACATCGGTGAGAAGCTATAATGCTGAAAACATGTGCCAGATATTAGGGAAGTAATAATAATGTTGGATTTGATGTAGCGCCTTATTATGTCTTCGAGCCATCTCAAAGCGCTTCACAGAATATACTGTAAAGTGAATTGACTGTAAAGTGAAACTCAGAATTTCCAGCGTCTTACAAGAGAAAGGGCGTTGAGGTCGCAAGCTGCACGGTCACTTTGACAGGGGGACGGCAGAAACTCAGAGTACTTGCTCTTCTCCCAAAAGCTATATATAATAATAATAATCCTTGCATTTGATATAGTGCCTTATTATTGCGTTGGGATGGCTCAAAGCACTTCACAGAATATGCTGTGAAGAGAAATTGACTTTGTATTTTGTGGGTGAAACGCGGCAGCCAATTGTGCACAACAGTGTCCCACAAACAGTCGTGGATTGAGTGACCAAATATTTTTTTTGAGGGAGTATTACCTTGGAAAGCGATCGGCCAATCGACTAACAACTGGGTTCCTACTTGCTGCCAGGTAAACGGAGGCACGTGGAGTAAGGAAACTTGCCTAAAGTTTCGCCCCAGCTGGGAATCGAAACCAGATTCTCTCACTTGCGAGACGAGCGCCTTAACCACTACGCTACAGGACTCCACAAAAGCTACCAGTGGACTCCAGTGTTACAAGTGGTTTTCCTCACAGTTCTCTGAATCCTTCTTTGATAC